TTCACCATTTGTCAGGTTCTAGAACACAGGCATACTTATAGGCGTCCGACAATGGTGGTATTCCTTGACTTAAAAGCAGTGTTTGACTCTGTTGACAGAGAGGTTCTGTGGCAGTGTCTGTCATTGAAAGGCGTACCTCAGAAGTACATAAACCTTGTGAAGGCTCTTTACTCGAACACTACTAGTCGAGTCAGAGCTTATGGCGAACTGTCATTTGCTTTCGCAACCTCAAGTGGCGTCCGCCAAGGCTGTCCACTTTCTCCATTTTTGTTTAACTTCATCAAAGATCTACTGATGGAAATAACGCTCTCATCGACTGAATTCTCGGCTATTGATCTCCTACCAGGAGGTCCACTTATTGACTTAGAATACGCAGATGACATAGTCCTGTTTGGTGAAGACGCTGATGAAATGCAGAGTCTTTTGGTAGCACTGAGCAACAATGCTAGAATGTTTGGGATGCGCTTCTCTCCCTCTAAATGCAAGTTGTTGCTTCAGGACTGGTCTGCATCGACGCCTGAACTAAGGATAGGGAGTGAAGTAGTCGAACGCGTCGACAACTTCACTTATCTTGGAAGTCTGATCAACCCTAATGGGTTGGTGTCTGACGAAATCTCAGTAGGGATTCGAAAAGCTCGTTTGGTCTTTGCCAACTTACGTCATCTATGGCGAAGGCGAGATATCCATCTTCCAATTAAGGGGCGAGTATACCGCGCGGCAGTTCGTTCCGTTCTACTATACGGCTGTGAAACATGGCCTTTAAGAGTGGAAGATATTCGTAAGTTAGTAGTATTTGACCACAGATGCCTTAGAAATATTGCGGGTATGTGCTGGGATCACCGGGTAAGTAATAGTGAGGTTAGACGCAGGGTACTAGGGAATGATGGTAAATCAGTTGATGAGGTTATGAATCTTCATCGACTGAGATGGTTGGGCCATGTGCTGCGTATGCCTGAACACCGATTACCACGACGCGCAATGCTGACTAGTGCAGGGGATAATTGGAAGAAAGTTAGGGGCGGTCAAACCAAAACGTGGCATCAGTGCTTGAAGTCACTAACTTCTGGTCTGAGCCATGTTGGTAGATTCAGACTGCCTGGTTGGGGTCCGCGTGACTATCGTAACCAATGGTTGGAGACTCTTGGTGACATGGCTCAGAATCGATCACAATGGCGTCGGTGTATACACTCTCTGTCTTCCTTTAAACTAAGAGATTAAAATCACTTCAAATCTTTCTTTCTAGGACCTAATTCTTTCTTCCTGTACTATGTCCTTATATGCAATCTTTCTTCTATATATTACCACCACTGAACTAACTACTTCTATGAATCCGGTGTTCATCTTGTTGTGCTAATGCGGTATGTTAACTTGGACCGATGCATATACGTGCCTGGTCCTACGTTGCAGCTGACTGACTGAACTTGCTCTCTTATATCAGCTAGCATTGAACGTTGGGTTGAGCAATGGTTAGGTTTATGTAACACAAGTATCATGTAGTTTGGTCGGTGAACAGTAAGTAACTAGTATAATGTTGTATACAGACCTCATTGTTGATCCAATGTTTAAAAAATCAATAATTCATTTAACATATCAGGTACATTTGTAGATGAAAGTGTTAACTAACATGAAGCTTTGGTCGATTGGCCCCAATAATTTAACATTATTCACTAACACCCATTATTATCTGATCAATAACTAGAGTTGTTATATATAACCTGGTGGTCATTTATTACAAGTTTGTATGATCATCATGTAGCGTATGTGTAATAATGGCAATTTTAATAATAATAATAATAATAATAATAATAATAATAATAATAATAATAATAATAATAATACCGTTTTTAATTTGTTTTGTAACAAAACTGGATCTGTATCTATTACATAATAACAATGAACCTGTTTATTTCTCTTAAAAAAACTTTTCATCATATTGACATATGGAACATATACATGTATATTTCTTCTCTTCTATATAAATGTTAATGAGATGTTAAAGGAGGAATAAAGCCGTCTCATAACATTGTATGTTGACATATATCACAATCAATAAATCATTCTTATGCCTATTTTACCATTCGTGATGTTTTTAGACAATATTCCAGTGTGAGTTAAATCAACGATGAGTACAGAGTTTCAAGTTGTAGCCTAGTAGCTATAAAGCAGTTGACTTAAAACCACAGGTTAGAATCTTATTGTGGATTAATGAATCGAGTAGTATCACTGAAATTCCTTATACAATTCACTGTAGGACAAAGTTAAGCAGATAAACCTGTATTCAGCAAAGAAATTACATCCAATTATTAATTTGTAACTCAGTGTTTTAAGCTAAAATTAATTACTAATTAATGAAATTATGAAGTATTATTGAACGAGTTCACTAGAACATCTACCATGTATACTTGTTCAATTAATCTCTACTATCATGTTAGATGAAATAGAAGTGAGCTAAATGAAGATAAAAGATAGGCAGACAGTTTTAATCAAGACCATTCCTGAATGGTTGACAAAAGGTTCTAGCAAATATTAGAAGGCTTGGTAGAAATACACTGATATATCCATACTGTAGCTGCTACCTTAACGAGGTAGTTAGGCTTGAACATCGCCATGACCTAATCGAGGTATATATTGACTGGAACACTCGTTCAGTTAAATCAGTTGGAGCAGTAGGACTAAAAGCTCGTGGTCCAAGGGTGAAGTCATACAGCTGACTGTATTGGGGATATGAAAGCAGTAGTGTTTCTTTCAAACAACCAACATCTCCAGAGATGCTGACTTCTGACGATGGGAGGAGTTAAAAGTAGATCCTAATAACAGGAAACTTCACCTTACCCATGGATCACATGATTCCCCATCCTCAGCGGTTAGGCCTTAAAGTTAAGAATCTAACTCATCTAAAACTGCTCTAAAAGAATTGCGTGTAACTAGCCTCTAGAAGTTCTCACTTAGGGACTGTATGTCCGCCCCGATGTCATCAAGACTACTCATAACAGTTTTCTTTTCAGACACCTCAAGAAGTATCCCTTTTACTGTATAGGCAACTTGGAGGTGAAGAATTACTTCATACTTCTAACTGAACATAAGGTTAACGTTTTCATAATCAAGCATTGATCTATGTAATAAATAAAGCTGATTACATAAATTCATGCATATTATGCTGCCTACTTCAACAAAAGTGGAAGAAGGTACACAGTATACAAACTAGTAAATGTTAGACATCCAAGAAAAACATAACGATAAATATAAGTTAATCATGTATCGAATTTCAAAGTTGCCGTTTAGGATTCGTAAGATTAAAGACTCTTGGAATGAATTAAAAGTTCCTAAATGGTTTCTATACATAACTTTCTGATGTTTTTCTCTCAAAAACATAAACATCAAGTTAATTGCTTGTTTATTTATCTATATCCTATAAACTGTTTTGTCTTTTTCCATTATCTTAGTATCTCAGTCAGTCAGTCAGTCAGTAACAACGTGGAACTTCGTATGTATACGCATCAGTCCAAGTTCCCATACCACATTAGCACAGAGATGCAGTTAACGATTCAAATCCCATAGTGGTAGAGGTACTAAAAGTATAAGCAGTAATCGGAAAGATTAGGGTTTGAAGATGTTAGTCAAGGAGTATAATACAGTGAAATAAATTTCGAAAAAGGAAAAAAAGAGACAAGGAGAACTCGGGAGATTAGAATTCGGGAGGACACAAAGAGTGGATGCACCTGCGCACACCATTGCAAACGATTTTGAGTTATGTCATTCAAGGTTTCTAACCATCGGTTGTTATCGTCTCGCGGATCCCAACCAGGTAGCCTACACCTACCAGTTACTCAATAAAATCAATATAAAGAATCATAAACTCTTTAATCACAATTGAAGATGTTAGACTACATGATTGAAAACTATTACCAATAGGAGAAATATATCAACTATCTTTACTTTTAAATATTAGTAGTTTATTATTCATAATTTCTCCATATGCAAAATTTATTATGCATTTATGAAACAGCTTACACTCATAATAGTACATAAATGGTCTAAGTTATCACAATATAAAACTAATTATTCAGTTATTAACTTATAACTCTACAATATTTTAGTATAATCAGTGGTAGTTGTGATAAGGTTATATTTTAAATATTGTAGAATGGCAATTGTGTCTGCCACTCTGATAAGGGTGTTGAGTTTAGGCTATTGTGAAGAAATAAAACCGAAACTTTGGAATACAAAATGTTTCTTTTTTAACTCCTGTTATACCAGACAGGTCGGTCGGATAGTGTTAAGACTAAAAGCAAAAAAATCTACGTCATTTCTAAATCTCAAAAGAATAATGAACGAAGGTGGCTTAAATACAGATTGATAAAAGATTATTCTGGCCAAAAAGAGTTCGTTAAAACTGAAAAGGCTGGGGTAACAAGTAACAATAGACTCTTATTTAGACATATCCAATAAATTAGAGCCTAAAATCAACCAATGAGAAAGATGAGTCAGTGACTAATCTTTAAGCCAAGTCATTGGAGGAATAAGCCGAACACTTTGAAGAACAGTTCAACCGGCTTCCAATTCCATTCTAAATGCACGCTGCTCATCAACTCTAGGCTAAGGGGATATGGTGTTTGGATGGTCCAAGTAATGCCATCTAGTTAAGCTAATGTTGATTACAAAAGTTTGTAAAAGTAAAAATCCTCTTGTAATAGCCACAGAGTGATTAATTTGAGGAAAAGTTTAACTGGCTTTTAGATATTGCCTATGTGTTCATCATCCAAAAAAAGTTCGAGGTTGCGAAAGCGTTATATTTAATTCAACAAAGACAGGGAACGGGTATATTATGCTACTGTCTGTTGGCTTAGGTTGTGTAGGGACGTGAAGGCTTTCTCGGTATATTAATACTGATCACATTATCTTATTTCTAAACCTAATCTTAAATTGATAATATCGTTAAAGTGATTTTTTCAACAAAAATTTTTCATCTTTAATTTTTAAACAAAAAAATCATAACTCACAGCCCAATTGGCTAATTTAGGATTTATTCCTAACAAACGTTTCATATCTGCTACACGACAATCGATAACTGCCATCCACCATAAACGAGTTTCGTTGCTAGTAAATGTAGAGTAGACGGAAGGACGAACAGCAGCAACATTGACAGAAGTAGCAGGAGTGGTAATAGCGGTGGTAGGAACTAACTGAGGAGAAGAGGGGGGTGTCTTATGGACCACTGGCTAGTATAATATAAAAAGCACATATACAACGTCATTTTTCAAAAAGTGATGTTTATATATATATATATATATATTACGACAAAAGTACTTTTAGACTTATATAATGGGCGATAGAATACTAACCGATATACATTTAGGAATTTCCGGTAATTTAGAATATAATTTGAGGCTAGACATTTAGCTTCTGACAAGAGATAATCTTTCCATTAAATTAATGAACCACTATGATTTTAAACGTCCCAATATCACTTTCTAGTAGTTTACGTATCGGAAAACTCTTCTAGAAGACAACAAAATCGAGATTTAAGGTTTATTAGTATCTTAATTCAGAACAGAAGCCAGTGACTCAGGTATCAAGTAAACTCATGTATTCAATTTTAAACTATACTTATTATGTGAGGAATTATGATACTAAAAAGTTGTCCAAACCCATGTGGGCAGGGTGGGACCTAAACCTGAAACCCAATTATTGAAAGCAAAAAGACTTAAACACTAAACCAACTTATAACCATCTAGCTGTAAACAATAAGGTTTCTCGTTAAAAGGAATTACATTCTTTCCCAACGACATGAAAGAACCAAGTAAAAAACACTGGGACAGGTTTTGAAAATAGTTAAATGTCTATATTTACAGGCGTTTTCAACCAAATTATTCAACACGAAAATCTTATATCTGTCTTTCTATTTTAGGCAGTGCTAACACTTAAAACCTTTTCCAGTTGGTGGTTACAATATTATTTGTTTAATACATAACGAACAACAATACCATAAACTAATATCATCAACTAAAGATCAGTCCAATTGAAACTATTTCCTATTTTGAAAGCTTACATCTACATTAGAAGAATTCAAATAGATAATTACAAAATATACTTACCGATTTTGTTGACTGACTTTCTTGATGTGATAGAATCTGAAATCAATGTCTGTAAGAAGAACTAATTAGCTTACTGTTGATTTGGGGACATTTTGGTTTTCTGAAGACTGTGAAGTTGTTGTTTGAGTAGATTGACACATCTGATAGATAACTAAACCGAATGAATGAACTTACACTACAAGCTAGATTCTCTTTATCTCGAGCTAAATCTTTTAACACCAAATATCTCTTTTTGTCCTGATAAAAAGTGCATACGCAAAATATCATGGATTTCCTACCGAGCCATATTCAACCACAGCAATTGAAGCAATTAGTTTCTTAATAGAATACCGTGTTTCTGAAACAAAAATTTTCAATGGGTCATGATATATAAAACTAAAACAGTCAGGTGAAAAAAAATTAATGTCGATTTACTCGAGGCGCTTAGTATGAGTCGAAAATACAGTGATTACTTATTAAAAAGCTTGATCTGACATCACTGTGTGGTTATGAATTATTTCCGCAAACAGAAGCATTGAAACGATAATACTGATACTTCGTAAAACTGAATTTATCTGAATTTCAAAGCAAATAAAAATGATCTCCCACTTCTACTAAATAACTAAAGGTAGATATGTAGACTGGTTTGATTTATCTCTGAAAAGTAAAGTTTTATAATACTTCCCGTAGACTGAAAGAATCTTCAAACTATGGTTCACTGATGTAAATTTAAGTGTCTAAATGAGATTTTCACGTTTTAATGATACAGACGTGTACTTGGACGTAAGAAGTGGTGCGTAGTGTTTTATAGAATCTGAGCTGAATTCAAAAAACTTGTTTATAAAATCCATTTACAAATACATGAAACAACTGATGAAACTATTTAATACAGCAGTAGTAAATAAATTATCCATTTAAATCATTGTTATTCTCAAAATCCACGACCTGAGATTCATACAATTATAGCAACGGAGTGAATTTTTGAATCTAAAAGTCACAACTAAATTTCAGAGAACGATAAGTACTAAATAATTTGCGTACATCTCAATTAAGAGTACATTTCGAAAGACATGTTAACGAGCACATCGAAAGTCTTAATTTTGATTAACTAGCTGTTAACTATAAATGACTATATAAGATTTTGCATTGAGGCAGTGGGGTCATAAGGGGTTAGGAAAGAAAGATGAGTGAAACAAATGATGACAACTGCGAAGAAAATCTGATCTGGAATTTCTGCTTGCCAAACAATAATTTTAAGTCATAACCACAACCCTAGTAATTCTACTCACACACTTATATAAGATAAAACATACAGCCCTACTAAACATTTTCGAGGGTTAAAAAAATAAAAGGTATATATATTCGCGTTTGTGTCTCGGTCCCGCAAAAATTTGCAAGTGCAGATTCCCGGACAAAACGTAGCCTAAAAATCGGGAGATTGGGAAAATGCATTTTCCCAATCTCCCGATTGTCTTGCCATGGCAAGACAATAGTAATCCTAATCAAACTGGCTGTACTTGAGTACTTTTCAGAAACATTACTAAAAACTCAGATGAAAATTAAATGGTAAGGACAATACAAATAGCCATTGGATTATTTAAGTAAAAAACAAGAATCTAAAAGTAACCCATAATCCGGTTATACAGCATAATACACACACAAGTGCAACAAGTTACCTCGATTTAATAGTTCGTCATCTTTAATGAATTTGAGGATTTGTTCGCTGGAAACACGTCCTCCAAAATCGTTAAAAGCCTGAACCAGCTTTGACCTTGCATCTATAGACATTTAAATGATGCACTGAAGACACTATCTTTTCGCTACCACGGTTGTTTTACTGCACTCGTAAATAAATTACTTATGATCACAAAGCTCATGAAAAAAAAAACATTTTTTCAACCAAATACTTTATAATATGCTTCTTCTTTGTGATTGACACCTAATATCAAACTCCAACCTTCGTATATGCCGTGACCAAGTCAACTCCAGTAAATATGTTCAAACCCTGTAAGCTGTTTATAAAATCTTTGATATGAGGTACTAGGTATCTATCTGGTACGACTTGACCGTTAAGGAATCCATAATCCTCACACGGTCGCCAATCACCTTTAATTTTCTTTGGGGCCATACCGAGATTTGACGCAAAGTAGCTATCGAACGGGTGGATTATACTCAGCTGTAGTGTCCAGTCGAATTCAAGCCTGATATGAAATAAGCGATTGTAGAAGCACCCATTCTCAGTCGTCGTGACTTGAGAATAGGTTATTAGATTCCCATATTCTTGGAAGCCTTTTTGGGCCATGCACATGGTTGCCTGCACTTGGTCGATCTGACACCGAACTTCCAGTGATACCGACAGAACTCACCAGATTGTCTGGACGTTTTTAATCTATTTTGTGACGTGGATCTTCGTCGTTGTGGTGACCTGCTCCTGTATCTATGACCCCTTTGCACTTTGGCGAGACTCTGTGGGACTTTCAACGCTCAATGAGTTGTTCTCTGACTGAGTCTTTTGGTGGTTAGTATCTTAGATATGATTTATCGCAAATGATTCAGTCGGGGGACCTCTTTCAGTTATTCTATCTGCCAAGTTAAATAAAGAGTTGTTAGTGTTTTGAGCATCTAAAGAGTATTGGATGTAGCTTGAGAGACTTTGTATCCATTCCTGTTTTAGAACTGCTTCATCCATTGTGTTAAAGCCTACTAAGACTTGGAGGTGACGTAAAAACTATGGTAGTGATTTAATTTTATCCTTAAGAAGGCCTCCAAATCCTTTGGTCGTCTGAAAAAGATAAGCAGTTCATTATCCCTCATCTTAAAATGGTGTATGGTTGTAGTGTTGACGGACTTTGATTTAAGTAGCAGATTTCTTTGTACACTGAAGAAGAGAGGACAGAGCATAAATCTCTGTAGCAAATTTCCACAGATTTGATGATGTTTCTCGCGAAATAATGCTCTAGTTGATCAAAACAAAACTCAAGGTCACTGCGATCAAATTACGTGAGTCTGACTTTCGTAATTATAACACCACGAATACTTTGCGATAAAAGACGGTACATATAAATATACACATACGCATTCTTGACAAACATAATGAGGAGGTTTATAGCTACGATAAAAAAAGCAGAATGGAAATTAAACTTGTGTTCAATTAGAGCTCACCAATCCTGACCGTTATTGCTACCTTGACGTGGTGGTCGGACTTGCCTATCGTGATGAAGCAACTGAGCTATACTGGCTGCAACAACCGTTCCTTAAAGTCCTACCATGCCACACAGGTCGGTTGAAGAACGGTAAGACTAAAAGCAACAAAACCAAGGTCCGAAGGCGAAGTCGTACTGCTGACTGTACAGAGGTGTGACAGCAGTAAGGTGTTTCTTTCAGACAACCAGCATGACAGCGATGCTGCCTTCCCACAAGGAGGGGTGGGGTTAGAAAAGGTCGACCCTAGAAATGCACACCTCGCCTTATCCCACGGATATCCGTCTCCGGCGGTAAGATCTCAACAAGCACGGAGCTAACACAAAAATTGCTCATAAAAAGGTCGTGTGTGACCGACCTCAAGCAGCTGTCCCTTGGGCACTTCGGTCACGCTCTCAGGTCACTGTGACCACCTCTAATCCTATTTCCTTTTCAGGTACCTCCAGCAGAACCCTTCCACGGCGTGGGCAACCGGCAAGTGATAACCGCCCTTATACCTCTAACAGCACTCAAGAGCTCACCAATCTCCTGCCCGTGTGTATCTCTCCTTCTGTTGATAGACGAAGCCAGACTAGTAGTGAATAAATCTTTATTTAGATCATGGATTATCTGGAGCGCGAACTTATCTTTTCAGGCGAAAGAGAAAATACTGGTGTTGGCTAGCATTGGAATCCAGGAATCACGTTTGCTCTTATTTGGGATTCGTCAGCCGAGTGTACCCACATCTCATAGTTTATGTTCGGGACTAGAACTATTATAATGCTTGTGACTCGGGACAATATCAAGGCTATCCTCTCAGGACAAAAATATTCTAATAAGGGAATGATCAAGTGTAATCCTAAGTATTAATGGGGAGATTCAAACAAACAATGAAAGAATGAATTAAAACACACAAAGTTTTCCAACATTCAATACAGAATAATGGGAAATATAATGCCTATACAAAGTAAGGAAATGAATGACTACTTGAACTTCAAGTGTTTGGCATTACCAACATATTCGTGGTCAACTCCTAACTGACCAACATAGGCTGTTACAGGTTCAGTACGGCTGGTCAAATGAAGAGTTTATAAGAGTGCTATGCCCACCTATTTCACCGTTTCTAAACCTCGCTGATTAGCTTGCCTTCTTCATTCTTGACTAGCCGCCCTGGTTTACTAAAATTCTCCTCTAGTTTCTTCGTTATATCAAATGGTTGTCTTAAATTTCTTTCTCCAGTAGCTTTTTTTCAGCCGTTGCTGCTAGGTCGTCCGCGTATTTCTGCCCGTCGGCTCTGATGCTCCTCTTCACTTGCTTGTTTGCTTCTGAGTATTCGGCGTTTACCCTAACTTCTATTAAACTTGTTCAGCTGTTGTTATTTACTGTCTTTTTGTTCCGTTGTTCCTGAATCTTGCTCAGATTTTGGATAAAGATTCACTCTTCATGATGATGATTTTTGCACCTTAGAACCTACTGACACATTGAAGTTAATAATTTTTTGATCTCTTTCCAATTGTTCTTCACAGTAGTTTACTCTTCTTAGAGCAGATCTGGTGAGGCTTGGAACCTGTGGCTGAGAGCAACTTTATATCCGCCCAAGTTGTCAATATTTCGAAAAAATGTTGTTTCTTCAGTTGTTCAGTGCTTCTCTAGCTTAAGCCACATCTTCGCCATCATCAGATAGTGGTCTGAGATTATGCCATCTCTCTTGGCTTTAATGTCATACGTTAACTGTCTGAATATTTTAGCGATGCAAATAGGGTCGATCTGGTTTTCTGTAACGTGATCCGATGATGCCTATGTAGCTTTGTGTTTGCGTTTGTGGTGGAATATTGTTCCAAATACAGCCATGTCGAATGCATATAAATTAGCAAACCTATCACCAATCTCGTTCCGTCCTCTTGGTCAGTTCATGTCGTCCATGATATTTTCATATCCAGTGTTGTCTATATCGACTTTCGTGGTTATAGACGGAAAAGAAAAAGCCTTCGCTTTACAAGCCTCCGTATCCAGTAACAGTAGATCACCGATGCCTCCAAGTAAGAACGTTGGTATTTATTAACGATAAAAGCGAAATAGGGATTAGTAAGTCACGACGAGATACTGTCCTTAAGATTATGTCAAGTCTTCTCTTAAAGGACTCCTGGAAAGTTGCTTGGATTAGCTCGATCAACAGTGAATTCCAACATTTGTCAACTCTAATGGAGTAGACAGTGTACCTACAGTCCTTTCTGCTGTGTTGTGCATACAGCTTTTGGGTGCTGCCTCTAAAGTTTGTGATGAGGCTGATGTTGATTAGCCGTTTAAGCGGTTGTTCTGAAGTGTTTAGGATGCTATAAGTTATTAGGTCGCTTCAAAGACGCCCGTAGTCAAATGGGTAAGGATTCATTGATTAGAGGCTGTCTTCACAACACTTGAATTTGAGTCCACAAACTAATTTCATGGCTCGCCATTGAATACGTTCCGATGTATCCTAAACCTCTTGCACTGAGGGAGTAAATACTGTTTCCTTAGCCTAAATGGAGTCAAATAAAACTGTTGAGGATCTTGTGGAATGTTTTTTCATCGAACTGGCCAAACATGAGCTTCAACATCAACCGTGCAAGGTTTGCTCGAAAGGCATTCTTGCCGCAGTTAGCGATACATGCTGTGGAAAACCATTTATTCAAATCGAGAAAAGACGAGGTCTTAGTAATGTAGGCTATGAGAAAATGACGTTAACCCAGATCTCAAAACGTCAATTATTTAGGTATAAAATGAGCCAATTGATAAGACATATGAAATTGACCCTATGAAAAGCTTTTGGAGAAGTCAAGGTATATAACGCCAACCTTCCCCTTGTGATCAAGCACGGTTTCCCATCTGTCCACAGTGGTCAGAAGGTTGGTTATACAAACGTGACCTTTTCTGAAACCGTGCTGTTGGGATGAAAAGACGTTTACGGATGCTAAGTAGTCACGTAGAACGTTGCATATCAGGGAATCCGTAAGTTTTAAATATATTGAGAGTAGTGTTGAGGGCCGGTAGCTTGCTGTTTCGCTGTATCGACCTCTTTTGCATATAGGTGCGATGTATGCTAGCTTTCAATTTTCTAGTAATGTGCCTCGGCTTTGTGAATGTGAGAACATAACGCTAAGCGGTGCTGCCAAGAATGAAGCTACTTCCCTCAGTACAGTAGACTGTGGCATATACGGGTTAGGAGAAGTGCCCTTTTTTAGGTGCTACAATTTCCGGTACACCAATTCAGCGTTCAGGTTCACTTCAGAGAGTTCTGTTGGGAAGTAGTACAGTCTTCACGTATTTTCGTGGGTGAACTAGTATGGAACTAATAACCGTAGAAAATGACACAGCTATCACTCTATACGGTAATTTGGCTACATATCTCCATTCTTGTTTGGTCTCCAATTAATCATACGTTATGATTGAGATTCCCTTAAGAAACTATAGAATCCTTTTTGGTTCCTCAAGTAGTGATTATAACTCACCATAATTTTATTAATTGGCAGGTTCGACCGTTCAAACGTGACTAGGAGTGCTTTCCAACTACTCAGATGTAGATCACAAGAAACAAACAATGTGCTAGTTCCTCTAAGGAATATTGATGTCGAACTGATCTATGGGACAACCGAAATGAAAATTCCAAACATAAAACTGCATGTTTCTTATGCCTTACATTATATTTGAGTTTGAAATTGTTAACATGTGCCTGCTATGAGGGTCAATCAGGAAGGCGGCTGTTGGTCAGTTGACTTTTTGCGAAATATTGTATCATAGGTGTTTTAGCCCTAGCGGGAGTTTGACAGTTAGGCGAAACCGTGTCCAACTAAAAGTATTTGAATTATTTAAAGGTGTAAGACTGTTCTATGTCCTAAAACCCCATCTGAGACATCTTGCAGACTACGCACACCACTTAGATAATTCCCTCCTAGAGGTGCCCCAAATCAAAAACACTAGTAGTCTTTAGACACTTATCTAGAGTTTCGCACCGCGATAAAATGGATTTTGAGCAAACCCTGCACTTGAAATGTTCAAGCGCAAGTTTGGCAGTAAAATGTTCTACCTAATCCTTAACAGCTTTTTTGGTGAGACAATTTATGGACGACCTTTGATCAACACTAAAGTGACCTTAAAATGTCCGCCTACTCACCAGAGTTAAATGAGGGTTATAAATTCGTGTGAGGGATTAGAATTAGGATTTATAGTTGGACGTTAGGTTTGGGATTTAGATTTAATGTTTTCATCACGAACTAATATCAGGTATAATGCCAAAAATAGTATTTAACCAAATAATTGGACGAGTTTCACTTCAAAATCCAAGATATACTATCTTAAATCTGACCAGTTTGCCCATAAATCATAGTTTCTTTAGTTTTAATTCCGATTTGCAAGAATTATAGTTTAGAACTATTGTTGGTGGTTGGGTGGTTGTCACGATGTTTTCAAGCAAAAGGTTCAAGTTATTAGCTTAGTATGAACATCGATAGTTACCTGGGAAATTATTAATTTTGACTTCATAAGATTTCGTGTATTCACTTTTGAGAATCTCAAGACAAACAAGTATGTGAAGTCTCAGTTCACTACTAAATTATCAGATTGCAGTAAATTCACTTCAAGTCGTTCCATACAAGATGTTTATTTCGGTTGTTCTGGTGTTATGTCAGAATCCAGAATCGTCTTCGTAACTTTTAGGTCCTTACTCAATAACTCATCACTTAATCATTAAGTCACAGGTCCATATCCATATCTGCCTACTGTCATTTGGCAGCTAGGTAATCACATCGGCCATCTCAGTAAATTATGGACAAAGTCTTGTAGTAGTATACATCATGACTTCTTCCTCTAAATGTTTTTGATTTTGTCACAAATATTTCCCTAGAAATAACTTTTCATACGGATATTCAGGGATTGCAAGTCTAGAGGTTATAGTCTATTTAGAACACAGATAATATCTTTAAGACTAGTAAAGGTACTGGCAAATTAGTCATTTGAATATATTGAGTAACAATACAGGGATGTTTGCAACATGTTTCTTCTACTCTTAATATTAAATATTACTTGCTGCTTCTCGACATTCTGAGTTAGGATCATGTGATGTATATGTTATTTGCAGCGTAATTTGTTCAACGGCCTCTAAACTGATATCAATGAAATCACCTGTATTTTTCGGTTCCAGACGGGGACGTTTAGCTTACTCAACCCCATCTACGGATCGGCCTCGTATTTCATTACTTTGAGGATTGGCTCAGTAAATAGCCCCCGAATTTCCTGGTGAGGGCCTGCTCTCCCTCTCGAGATGCTTTCATATGGTCTCGCGTATGTAGGCACTGCCGGGGATGTTCTACTCATTGTATTCTCGTGGTGAAGGTGTTTGCTAAATTGAGATGAAAAACGAATGTTCAGCACCTAAAGAGGGTTGGTGGGTATGGCGGATCCTCTTAAGGGGGTTGGGAAACCTTGATTTCGAACTAATGGCGCACGTGGGTTCCAGGGTCCTGAAGGAACAAATAGTGTATGAACCTATTGTTGATCACTGGCTATTTATTATTTTATTTATTTAGACAAATAAACACTGGTACAAAGAGGCACCAAATAGATATGCGCCACAAATCAGTCGATTTGTGTGAGGGCTGGAATACTACCTGGGTTCCCAAACCGAAGCAGGTGGCTTTTTTAGGTGGCCACACCCGGAGCCTTTGACTTAAACGTGTGAATCAAAAGGCAGTGGAGCAACGTCAGTAAATGCAGTCCCATGGTAGCCGGTGACCAATGATTGGTTCATACGCCATTTGTTCCTAGAGCCCGTGTGCACTGTTAGTTTGGAATGAGGGTTCCCTAACTCTCCTAGGTGGATTTTGTGTCCACCAACCCGGTTAAATCATCAGACACTCGCTTTTCGTCCTCTCAATTTCGTAAACAACACCCCCACCACGAAAAGGCTGTGAGTAGGATTCCCCTGGAAGCGGTTGTATACACGTGGTCATGTGAGGGAATTTCGAGAGAGAGAGCTTACTCTCCCCACCCTCGGCCGTATCATGACATTTCGGGGCTGCATCTCCTAACGTCGCTCCACTGCCTTGTGGATTAAACCTCTAGGTCAAAGCCTCGGGGAGTAAGCTTCTAAGAAGACCACCTGTTTCGGTTTGGCGACACGGAGATCATCTCACCTCACACGCCAAGTGAATGATGACTACGTTGTGCGGTGCATATATATTTAGGTCCCCATTGTACCAATGTTTTCGTGTTTAAATTCGTGATAAGAATACCAAGAAGCCTTCTTCATTATCTGGTCTGTAAGCGACAAATTCACAAGTGAAAACAGCTCGTCGGTCCTTGGTTCATCATTTTTACCTACAGAGTAGATGCTTCCTTACTATTTGAAGGGCAGATATACTTCAGAGTAATTCGGTCTCTAGTACTTTGTTGCCACATAACATGATTTTCAGAGATTGCAGATATCTATGTTATTATTACTTCCTTTTTTCATACATTTTGATGGTTTGTCGTTCTCCACTTCTTTGAGACTATGTACAATAACTAGTTTGATTGATTCCTGATATTTCAAACTCAAAGGAGTTCTGAAGTTCACCTTCACCCAAACCAGTGCCATATAGTGGTTTAGTTGCTTGAAATTTACTACATTCGGCTTTCAGTCGGTACACTATAAGTTCGAATCCTATTCCTCTTCTGTTAAGAAACCCGGTATTATCATTACAAATAAAAAACAATGGGACTTAAAGTTGGGGACGCAAACTTGTAATTGCCAAGTGAGTCTCTCATCTTGGTTCATATTAATAAAGTCACAAGGTCGAAATGCTAGTATCATCTCATCTTCAAGTATCGAAGGCTACTCCTGGCTGTTAACTACATTACCAGTTCAGCTAGGCCCTCCAACCACAGTTAAGTTGTTCGATGAACCATATTAGACAGAAGTTTGATTTAATAAGTAAACATTTCTCAGAGAAAAAATTTCCATGTTTACTTAGACTGCTCGTAGACTTTGCTTCATACGCGATTGAGTAGATTATGTTCGTTGTAAAAATATAATAATAACACGGTGTCCACATTTTTTATTCCTTAGCATTTTCGGGACTGTAACAACAAGAGGTCTGTTATGACTTTTTCCCTTTTTGGATTATTGTGAATGGGAAAGGATTTATACTATTATAAGTTTGGAAATATACATTGAAATGTACTCATTTGAAGGGAATTACAAATCAAAGCGGTCATTAGTGCTTGATCATACCCAAAAGGTAATGTCTTAATTATGTATTTATTTGCTTATATTAACAAACATAACATCTGCGGGTTGTGATAAATTCGTTTTATTTCGCAGAATCGTCGCTGGCTACATACAAACTGTGTAAGATATATTCATTATGTAAAAAAACAAATATAACTCACCTATAGGATACGAATGTGTCTAGTTCATATTGCGTAAATAAAACATGGGGTACATAGTGCTATTGAAATACCGATAGTAACGATGGGAGTGATACTTGGAGTAGGAAATGAAAATACTGTGTAAAATATCGGTTCGGGAGTTGAAAGCTCCCACCTTAAAATTGCTTTGGAGTACTGTTGCGGGGGAGGTTTCAAGTTCGGTGAATAAGTTTAAATTGTTGGATGGATAAATAGGATGTTGATTTATTGATAATACAATGTGGTATGGCAACTCGAACTGATGTACGTACGAAGTTCCACGTTGTTACTGACTGACTGACTGACTGACAATGTGGCTGACCAATAATTGTTCACCAAACGAAGTTGTTGACGCAGACTACAATTGGATTGATATTAAAAGACAAAATAACTGACTAACGCAGTATTTTTAGTAACAGCATAATTATGTACAAAACACTAGATACAAAAATAAATATGATTAAACGTCATAAGTTATTGAAGTATATGAGTTTGATAGGCCACTCACTTGCCAGTCACTTAAGACCAAACTGTTAGTTTTATTTCTTACTCGAATCAAGTACCAATAAATTAGATTGACAACTACTACCTTTAACACAAACAGTTAAATTATTTTGTCTCATGACAATTACAAACTACTCAAGTATATTGATGTGATATTCTGTATTAGTTGTATGGTGAATAGTACTGCGCAAAATACCTTGACCTATGTTATGCCCCGATAAGAATAATGAATGGTGATTTTTGGATCCATTTGTGGACCAATACTATACGCATAATTTTATCGTATACTTGTTAATTAACTAAACTATTCATATTCATGTCTCTCTTATCATAAGCTTTATTTTAACCTATAAACTGTTATTATGCGATTTCCCATTCTTGAATTATTTCCTGTCTATTAATCTTTGCCTCCCACATTCACAGCCACATTTGGCCAAATTTTGTACAAATGTTATTTTCTATTTTATGGTACGTTGTGGTCTGCTTGGCAGGTATATAAACAGAGTTTGTTTGAAATACATGATTCATATTGCAGAGGCTCGTATTGGTGTTCTGGACTTAACTGGCTGAGCTAGGAAGGAAGCGAGGCCAACCAGGACTCTAGGCTGCTCGTACGTGTTTTACGTGTTCTTGGTCCGATCGATGATTCACTGCTCTCTAATCGGCGGTCACAAGTTATAACAACCTAAGATATAAATCTCTTGATATATAATTAGACAGTTCAACTAGTCTAAATTTCCCCTATCATTTCGACTGGTTTACTGAAACGCGCGAATTGAAAAATGTGATTGAATGCAACAACTGTAGGTACCTTATCTGTTTTCGACTCTGTAACTAAGTGTGCTAGCAGCTGGATAACCACTAGTCATCTCAAGTTCGCTCACCCTATTGGTTTTATTCGCGATTCTGATGTACTTAGCATTCAACTCCGTGATGTGATGGTGTGATGTCTAGTTGAAGCATTCAGCCACTGCGTCCCAAGTTCGAATTCCACTACAACTTTATTTCGTCGTGAATAATTTATTCTCACAAAATGGTTAATTTATATTGATTAATCTGTAAATTTTTCCAAGGTAAAGTGATATTTAGTTCCCTAGCATTTGGTTGTGCATGTCTTCGAAAAGTTACTAGCGTATAATTAGACCATCAGGTAATTTAAATTTATATTTGGCTGAAGATATTGAGTTAATATGATAAATCAGTATGTGAGGTGTTGTACCTTCAACTCATCATCCTAGATATGTGTATCACATTTTACGACCACCGCTCATCCCGATAGAGTCAATTTACGAAGGCACTGATCATTAAACTGATCTGTGTCACTGAGCGGAGACTTCCGGGTTAGGATCTGGGTCATGCAGCACCACGAATAGACTTTCTTTTAGCTTTCCGCCGGCGACCATACCACGTTGAAAGCACCGGTCCTCGTCTTTTAGCTTTCCACTGTATCTTACATTATTCTCCATTTTCTATTACTTGCTATTATCCTATCACTATCCTGGTGTGAATAATCGTGACCTTACTATTGCATATTTATGCCCTGTCGTATATTATAATTGGCTGATAATTTCGTATTGCTGCGCTGAATTGGCGTGTAGACTTGGACCGATACACATTTATACTAGGTTCTGCGTTACTTATGATCAACCAATTGGTTGAGTCTGTTGTTTTTCATCTCTCAGCCTCCTTCATACAGTCACAAGCAACGTGAAACCTGGCTGATATATGTATTGGTTTAAGTTGTTACACCACATGATCATGGTGAGGTGAAATTCTCAAAGAAAATTCCAGGATGATGAAAGTAGTACCAATATCAGTAGTAGTAGAAAACACTAGGCTTAAGAAATCTGATTCGAGAAGAGTGAAGGATAAGTTCATTTAATAAGCAGTTTAAGATTACTTTAAATCTCCAGATCCAGTAAGAAACAGAGTTAATCCACCTGTATTATCGCAAACAATTCTTAGCTGTATCATTCAACGTCTTCAGATATCGGCTATTGTGTTCGCTCAGATTCCAACCAGTTGGTCTCCATCTACCAACACAGCTTACTCCAGTAGTCGATGACTCTGTGAATTGATTCCAGGTTTTGGTTTAGCTACCTTTAGCTTTATTTTGGTTCACTCCTATACCAGCAAATATTGCAGGTCGAGGTTGGTAGTGGTTAAACATAAGCAATACACGTCCCAACCACTACAATCGACAAAGTTTCATCATATCATCAATTGATTTGTCATCTTTACCTGGTACTATACATCCCTTCTCAGTATTAGTCACTTAGTGGTCTCAGCATACACGAGTACTGCTTCGAAAGCATCTATGATCATATACAAGTAACCTACGATTGATCATGTCTGTCAACTGTGAAGTAAGACAGGACGATTCACTACTCTTGTTTTGCTATAAAGTACTTACGGTTTCTAATTTTCCTATTTTAAGACATTATTATTATTATTATTATTATTATTATTATTATTATTATTATTATTGGTCAACTTAATTATGAATCCCTAGCAATTATATTTAATCAATCTTTTTTATTTGGTAAATTATTTCTCCTCCTTACACCTTCACAGTTGTCAACTCATGCGCTTGTTCAAAAAACACGTGAAGAACGAAAGTCACGTGAAGTAAGTATTATGTAATACAATTTATACATCTAAAACAAAATATGAAATTAATGTTATGATTTGTTATATTTATTCATTGTTTCGTTCATGAACGAACCAAAGTTTCTTTCAGTAAAAAATATGTTTTGTTTCCTGAATAAAGAAGGCTTTCAGGTAGAACTTATGATATATGAAAGCAAGAGATATGATCCAGTTTCTTAAACAAACTGATTCCATGAAGTTAATAATTATGGATCTGGATTATGTAACAGAAAAATTGTACACGATCCGGTTGAAGACATTAGCTGAAATGACTCAAAAATGATTACATTAGCAAGAACTGGTTCATAATGTTAGTTTTTAGTTATTGAACAGCTATTTACTGTATACTTTTCTTATCCCCTTCTCTACTTATGGTTTTCTTGTTGATTCGAATGTGCTTTCATCCTACCTTTTAATAGTGGTACTTGTCAACCTGGTGTATATACATCGTACTCTTGATGTTTATACTTAAGCTCAATCTAAGTATTCATTGATTCAAACCTCAAAACGTTAACCAATAGGTTATTTAATCATGATATTCACCTCTTGTTCAATAGTTATTATTTATTACTTTTGTTGTCAGTATTTGAACTGTCGTTTCATTCACCCTAACTCCTTTTTTTCTGGATTTTGCTTCAAGGACTGTGTAAATAAATACAAATTAAAAAAATCCATGTCTAATAATTTCATTCAGCGTTTCTCTTAATTTTGGCCTAATTTTTATTGATTAGGATTTAAATTAACAATTATTCTTGTAGTACTGCAACGTGTGCTACTGATATCGACTGATATAAGTAGTATGTATCATTAATGAAAAGTGACATGTCTGTAAGCACAAGGTTAAGAAAATCGAAAAAAAGAGAACCAGAACAAAGAATGATTGATGTGGAAACGAAAGAACAATGTAATCTGAGATGAATGACTAACATTTTGCAAAAATGAATTATTTAGCGTATGATTCTCAGGTTTTAATAAGATGTTCTCTAATTTTGTATTGAAATACATTCGATTGTTCCCCACTTGTATTCTCGTTCACTACAGTACAGCAATACTTGTGGATGATGTAAATAAGACCTATGTAGTTAGTATTAAATTTGTCTTCTCACAAATATTGTTTGATATAGTTTGTTTTACACTAAAGTAATATTATATTGTTAATAAAATAAAGTGTTATTTCACAATTCTATCATTTTCTATGTGTATTTGATCAGAATATGGTCAAACAAGAACGTGCCGCTACTAAAATTCAAAAGTGTATTCGAGATTATGTTGCACGAAATAAAATGGTAAGATTTCAAACTTAACTAATCATTTGCATTTTTAAAAAAAAATTATAGTTGATATTGTTGTCTTTGTAGCTGGTTCTTGTTGATGTATATAATACCGTCAGTCAGCAACATCGTAGAACTTCGTACATACGTACGTATGTATATTAGTTCGAGTTGCCATATAACATTAGCTCAGAGACACAAATGTTGATTCAAATCTCTTAGTGGTAGAGGTAGTAAAAGTATAAGCAGTAATCGGAAAGATTAGGGTTTGAGTTGTCAAATCCTTTCATCTGTACATAATATGAAATACAATAAATATAAAGAAGCACATAGAACTGATAAGAAAATAAGTATACAGGTGTTATATCTAGAAGAGAATAAATGAATAGTAACCGTTAGGAATTATTTACGGACTAATATTATACGAATATTTTTACTGTATGACTGTTATGTAACTAAATTATATGTATATTCATATTTCTTTCATTATGAGCTCTTATTTGACCTATTGACTATTATCATACAATTTACTATTATTGAGATATTCCCAATTGATTAGTCCTAGTTTCTCACAATGACAACCACTTTCGGTCTGATAGTGTATAATTGTTATTTTATGATATGATGTGTTCTGATTTATTTGTATATTCACTCACTATGCTTGAAATATATGATTGACAGGTAGGGCTCGGAGGAAGAAGGACCAATCTAAACTTTAGACTTCTCGTGCTAGTGTATGCATCATTAATTTGGTTGTGTAAGTTAGCGTATCTCGAGATAGTCATATAAGTCAAGGACATAACAATAGGTATACAGGTTCAATGGTTTATTCAGTCGACATTAAATCATTTAAAACTGAAATCAGAAGTCTGTATCTCATAAACATGTCACATTATCAAGAAAAAAGAACCTCCAGTTCATATAAGTATTACATTAGAATTTGTTGAACGTCAAAATTATTCGATTATATATAAAATATTCACAAGTTCACAGATCATCATTTCAGCATTTTCGTTAAACAAAACTGCGTTGTCAGGAAAGTAATTGAAAAACAAATTTGAAATTTGCAAACCAAAATTATCAAAGTTTAGTGATAGAAAATATCATTTCTATAAGAGGGTTGACTTTGAGATAATGGAGGAGATTTTTAGTTCAAGTGGATGATTTTGATAAAGTTTTTTCTCTGATGATGATGAATCTACAAAGGACACATATCAATACGACTAAATCATCCATTTCATAAAACAAAACTCCATCAAAACTGTTGACTTTCAACAACTAGTTTGTAAATCTAAACCGATCACCTTACATACATTGACTTATTTAACTGAATTCTATTTATATAGCACTGTTCAACATCAAGAATTGAATCTGGTTCATTGACGAAATTTATTTTAGAAGTTACATTTGAATTTCATTTCAAATTTATATACACAAACATCAGAAGGAGTTTTGTGGAGATTTTAGTAATTTTAATAGTTGAAATCATGAGTCCATTAAAGCTAGACCACCATGGAAAACCTGGAAGCACTGGGCGACCGTTTCGTCCTAGTATAGGACTCCTCAGCGGTGCGCATACACGATCCCGCCCCCTGCGATATTCTAACCCAGGACCTATCAGTTTCGCGCGCGAGCGCTTAACCATTAGACCACTGAGCCCGCATCCAACTGTGTTAATGTCTAACTTTCACCAATCCGCGAAATCGCGCCACCGTCACCATTGTCTTCAGTGAGCTGATATCTCACAACAGATCTGGTTGAACTCCTGGTAACGGCTTCCAACTAGAACTCCAGGAGTGTCTCTTGAAGTCGGTCACTAGTGAGCAGATGATAATTATCAGGAGTTTTGTGGAGGACTAAACGGCTGTCCAGTGCTTTCACGTTTCCCGTGGTGATCTAGCTTCAATTGACTCATGATTACAACCATTGAAATACATAAACATATTTACTCAATTCTATCGTTCTTTTTCTTCTGTTTTTTCTCTCCCTCTCTCCCATGAACATTTTTTTAATTTTCTAGAAACGTTACTTTATTGAATTATTCAATGAATTATCCAATCAATTAGATGATATAATAAATAAAACTGCTTTCAATATGGAGCATGAATTTGAACATAAATTATTGAAGTTACTTCAATGTTTCAATACATGCTATCGTAGTAAAAGTCCGGAACAAAAACATCTTGTAAGTTAGGATGTATGTATTTTTTTCGTTGTACAGTTGATATTATAACTTCTTCAGTTCTTAGGTTTGCTACTTTTAACATTACCACTCCTCAGCCGACTAGCCTGGCGCGATAAAACCAATAAAAACTAATTTTACAACTAATATACCTCGATTGAGTTACTATGATATTATAGCCTGACAACACTACATCAAACTATTAACCATAGTCGATACCATAATCGACCGAGACTCACTTATTGAATACCCCTTAATCCAGTGCACCGTTGACTTCAATCTTTGGTAAACCATTCCAAGGTAGATACTGAAGCCTCCTACAATAAGCAGTTCCAAATAGGAAGAAACAAGAGAACCTGCTAAAACCCTATGGACCATCTACTTTTCAACTGTGAACATAAGGCAATAGATTTCGCTGTTTCAGATTTGTTCTCACTAAAAAATTACATCTGTTAACCCTATGTATTCATGCGCTTTTAAAAATTCTTGTGACCTATGACTTCGTTAATTACTGACAAAATTCATAGGGAATTATCATGGTGGTTGATTGACTTTGCTTCTAGCTTTTTTTGTCTAGGTGCAAGAGACTACTACATTTGAATTTATGTATTACATGTAATATGCGACAAAAATATTGTAATATTTACATAAGTGGTCGAAAATCTCTTCCAATAAAGATGAACAACGGTTTTTATTCATATCTATTTCATCCTAGTCTGGAGCTGTTCAATAGTATGTGCTCAATTGAGTTACCACTGTATTAATTTCTCACTGATACATTTTATTTCTCAAATATATATATTTTTCTCAACTATTAAAATTACTATAATATCTACAAAAAACCCCTTCTGATATTAATCAACATACGCTCACGAGTGACGGTCTCTAAGATGGATATCCTGGAGTTCTAGTGAGAAGCAGTGACCAGTGAAGTTCAACTGGGTCAGTTGTGAGACAGTATTTAACTGATGACAACGGTGGCGCAATTCCGTGGATTAATTAAAGTTAGACATTAACACCGTTAGATGCCGGCTAGCTCAGTGGTCTAGTGGTTAAGCGTTCGCGTGCGATACTAAATCCTGGTTTCGAATCTTGAGAGGCGGGATCGTGTATGCGCACTGCTGAGAAGTCCCACAATAGGATGAAACGACTGTCCAGTGCTTCCAAGTTTTTCATGGTATTTGTTAATATTTATTTGAAAACATAAATATTGGTACAAAGGGGCATGAAATATATATGCGCCACACAAAACACTGAGAATGGGAAGAGAAAAAAGAATGTATAGGGAAAAAAACAATAACGAACACAGATTAGTGTAAGGTAGTGTAAAAAAAATAATAATGGGAGAAACGGAAAGGAACAACCAGAAGAATCCTTTCAGTTAAGGAAGATACAACCACTTTTAATGAAGAAAGTACACTAACCACTTCTCCGCTTTTTCCAACCAGTCCCAGCGTCGGCAAATAATGCACGACGTGGAATTCCCCGGGACGACATTCGTAGAACATGTCCTAGCCACCGAAGTCGGTGTTTCAAGATGGTGACACCAATTGCATTATCGTCTCTGCACCCGAACACACGATGCCGAACCTCTGCATTACTAACATGGTGTTGCCACCGAATGTCAGAAATCCTTCGGAGACAACGATGATCAAACACAGAGTCGTCTAACATCCTCAACTCACAGAGGCCAGGTTTCACAATCATAGAGCAGAACTGTTCTCACCGACGCGTTGTAGATCCGACCTTTTACAGCGAGACTGACATCACGAGGGCGCCAAAGGTGACCCAGATTGGCATGAGCCTCTCTGGCTTTCATTATACGTGCAGCATTGATCTCATCACTCACGCCACCAGCAGCACTTATGCAGCTACCTAGATACACGAACTTGTCGACTAATTCTATCTGCTCACCATCCAGGTTGAGTACAGGGTTAGAATCCTGCCAATATTGTGGGAGTACTTTGCACTTTTAAGGTGCAAAGCACATGCCGTAGCTGCGGACATTGATTGCCAAGTGATTAAGTGCGGATTGCATGGCTTGTGAATTATCGCACAATAAGACAGTGTCATCCGCATACTCAAGGTCGAGAAGTCTTTCTCCATGCAACAAATCCACACTGCTATTACTTACATCCATCAGCGCTGTTTTCAGAATGTCATCGATGTCAAAGTTGAAGAGGAATGGTGAGATTGGACAACCCTGTCTAACCCTACTGCTTGAATGGAACAATGGAGAAAGGTGGTTGTATGCCCTCATTCTACCTGAGGTGTTTGTAAATAAGATGAAAATGACGTTTTCCATGGTGGTCTAGTTTCAATTGACTCATGATCTTAACTATCAAAAATATATTTTTGGTATTTAGAAAATAGTTTTATTGTTTTTTTCTCTTTGTATTCATACCATAGTTTACTGTTTGTCGTTTATTATTGTCCAAACGTGGAAAAGATGCACAAGTCAACTGGTTAACTAATGGTTCTATTGATCATATTTGCACGCTAGGGAATTCGTTTTTAATCAGCATTAAGTGAGTTTATTTCATGTTTTCATGAATCTCTCTTGTGGTTACGTCCTTGATCTGTCTACCCACTTTCGTGCTGAGGATAACTCTTCTAAACTAGATTAAGTCCTTGACGCGATAGGCTGACCGGCTTAACCTTGAGGCTAGTATGCATGAGTTCGAAGTGGGGTAGAAAGAAGAAAACTGTCCTATCACCTGACTGGCTGACGAGCAGCAAGTGAGAGAAGACAAGTCAACTGGAACATTAAATGATTTATTTTTAATTCCGATCTGGTTCCCGATTTTAGATCACTGTGAAATGATACATGAATAAATAGATGAGTAATCTGACCACAACGTACAATAATTAGGGAAATGCAATTATGTCCAAAACTGAAGATTAGCGTAGAAAATAGAGTACAAAATAATACATTTAAATTACAATAACTTTGGAACAAAAAGGTCTATGGCAGTGAATCATACATCAAACGAAAGCTTATGGATATGTAGAATAGACTAGGGACAAAAATAAATATTACTATTTTACAAAGTTTGAATTAAATAACATAACGTCCCCGAAAAATAGTTCCCGTAGTTTATCGAGGTTTCTTGTTTCTCTGTCTACATCTTTCTGCTACCTCAGTTATATTATTCTTCGATCAATACATTAGGAATTTTAACGAATCATCTAAGATCATATTGACTTTATTCACATACTTATCATTGTTCATTATAATCATATTTCAGTCGAATAATGATAATAATATCAGAAGGGATTTTGGGGGAATTGTAGTTATTTCAATAGTTGACATCATGAGTCAGTCGAAGCTAGACTATCATGGGAAACCCCTTCTGTTACTAATCAACATATGCTCACTAGTGACTAGCTTCAGGATGTACATCCTGGAGTTCTAGTGAGAAGTAGTAACCAGTGGATTTCAGCCGGGTCAGTTGTGAGATAGTAACTCACTGATGACAATGGTGGATGCGTCGCTCAATTTCATGGATTAGTTGAAGTTAGACGGTTGCCGGCTCAGCGGTCTAGGGGTTAAGCACTCGCGCGCGAGATTGATAGGTCTTGGGTTCTAATCCCGCGAGCGCGATCGTGGATCTACACTGCTGAGGAGCCCCACAATAGGATGAAACGGCCGTCCAGTACTTCCGAGTTTTCCATGATGGTCTAGCTTTAATTGACTCATGATCTTAACTATTGAATCGATAATATTGTTTTCATTCTGCATGAAAATTTGAAAAGTTACTTTGTGATCTTTAGATAGAGCTTTTAATTGTGGAATTTGAGATACCTTGTATTAATTAGTAATATCAAGAGATTTTAATTAAACTTGCTTTTCCTGATCCATTTTAGTTCTAGTTCAGGGAATCGATAATATAAATTCTTGAACTGGGTTTCTATATCAATTCTGTCAGTGTATCTTCGAATGTGAAATTTTAATTGAACCTAAAGTACTTCCATCAAGTTAAGACTTAATGTTTCCAATAGACTTCCCAGGATTTTCAGGAATAATTTCGTATATTTGATCTTTAAAAAGGGTTTTTGATGATTTTTTCTCAAGGTTTTGTACATACTTTTGTCTGGATCTCTTGGAAGAAATTCTTGAACTCAATTTCATTTTGCCTACTTTTGACTCCTAGTCAATTTTTATTTATAGTTTATTGGACACTGTTTGATTCTGTAGTGAATGAAAACTGAGGTACGGCAAACCAATTTTTTGTTGTATACAAAATCAAACAGTGCCTTTGTAAAATATGATGACCATACATTAAATACATTATTTGCATACATTATTTGTCCTTTACATACTCCATCATACTTATAATCATGTTTTTATTCCGATTACTTTCTGTTTTCTTCCCTGTTGGTGAGCATTCCACTTCCAATTCCTGCTACATACTACTTATGTCTGTCCGCACCATAATTCATGTATCCTAATAGAGCTTGATTAGATTTAGTCTCGAATATCAACGATCTGATGATAAAAGCCCTTACATGTAGGCAATTTACACGCTATCTGCATTCAGTGGTTTAGTCAGAAATAAACTAACATTTGAAGAGACAGGTACTTGGTCCAAGTCTCAGTGGTAACATAAACACAGGGATATTGTTACATTCATCTGACGATTTCCAAATGGGGCAAAACTCACTTCCAGGATTCTATTTCTGATCACCGTCCAAAGTTTATATTCTGTTTTAAACATATACCGCTCAGAAACCATAATATACAATCCTTTTCATGCTATGCGGTTTTCTAATATATAAATCAGTTTACATGATTTAGTTTCGCTACTGTAAAACACTGAAATCTTTCTTATTGTTACCTTTTTTCCCCTATAGATATTTATCAAAACTTCCATCATTAACAACATCATCAAACTATACATTACCAATTCGTGTATTAGAAGAATTATTCAATATTTTAATTGGAACATGTTCATCTACAAAAATCTCTTTATATTCAAAACAACTATACTTCAGTATTGAATGGATTTGTCGTCATTTATCAAAGCATCATTATTTTAATCATTTGGCTTATTTTATTGATCAACAATTACCAACTACAACTGGTTACCTTAAAGAATTCACTATACAATCATATGTATTTGATCCTGTGGAATTTTTCAAATTACCAAAAACTCGTGCTTTTATTAATTTAATAATTGCACCGTTGAAATGTGCTTTTAACCTATCGGAAAATGGTAGTCAATTTTCTGTAAGTGGTAACTCTTTTGTTGTTGATCTTTCATTGATATATATATATATATATATATATATATTTATAGACACTGTGAAAAGAATGTAAAGCAGGAAAGGAAAGCGCAGTGAACAAAACAATTGAACAACAATAGGGAGATACAGTTAGTTAGGGGCGACCCAAATCAAAATGTGACATCCGTCTATAAAGTCACTAAATTCTAGTCTGAACCATTTTCAGAGATGCAGACTAGTTGGTTGAGGTCCGCGCGTCTATCGTAATCAATCGTTGGAGACTGTGGATGACATGGCTTAGAATCTATAACAATTGTGTAGGTGTATGCACTCTTTGTCTTCCTTTAAACTGAGAATAAAATTACTTTATACATTTCTTTCTATAAATTAATTCTTTCTCCTTGTATCATATTCTTATATACAATCTTTTTCTATATTACTATCACTGAAATAACTGCTTCTATGAATTCGGTGTTGTTGTGCTTATGAGGTATGGTAACTTGGACCGATGGATATATGTTCCTGGTCCTACGTTGTAGCTGACTGAATTCTTTCAGTTAAGGAAGTTCCTCACTTTTATGAAGAATCCTTAAGTAAATCACATCAGAACAGCTGCTCGCTTATATTCTGAGTCATCTTTGATGACATCTTAATACGCTGAGTAATGTTATCCTTAAGACGACCTTAACCAGGTAGTCGTAATAGGACGACAGTTGCCAGTATTGTAAAGCTTTCTTTTGTGCCACAGCATCATATTATAAGTTGATCACCTCGCTACATTTTTCACCCAGTCCCAATGTTGACAATTAATACACGATGTGAAGTTTATTAGGATTAGATTCTTGACCCATGCAAACCACTGAAGCTAGTGTCCTTCCAAATGGAAAAATCTGCGAACATATCGTCACGGTGACCGAACACACTTTGTTTCACCTCCCACATTACTAATATAATGTTGTTAGTGGATGTCAGTAGACCTTCAGAGACAATGATAATTGAACAGAGAGTTGTCAAACATCCTCAATTCGCTTAGATACCTGTATAATTAAATGTTTATCTCCTAATTATACTTGTTATATATAGACTATTTAAATTTACAATGAAAAAAGTACACGTTGGGTGATGGTTGTTGTTATAATTCTCTCTTATTACAACCCAGCTATTCCTATTGCTTAGTATTCTTGGACATTACTTCACTCGACTAGTCCCCAAATCAGAACACGGTTGAACAGGAAAAAGATTATATTCCAAATAAGAAGGTTAGATGGAAGTAAGGTGCACAGTAGGAAAAACGTTAGTATATTTATAATTTTTACATGAGAAGATTCCAGAGTGTTCTTCATGTATCGACTAGCGCTGATTGGATAAGAATTCGCTAATCAGCCCTTACCAACTCAATCGTGCATGGAGCATGCTTTAATCCAGTCTATGTCCAGCTAACAGTTGGATTACTGAAAAAATCTTTAGATCAATTGTTATGTCGACTCATGTTTATTGTTTTACTTGGAATTTAGAAAGTACACTAGGCTTTCTACAAATCCTTAAATCCTTTGAAATTATTATACTCATTCTATGAAAGAAATAGTCGCTATTCTATCTTGATTTAGATTCCTTAGGGAAAAGGAATGTTTTAAGAAAATGAACAACTTAATCATTACTTAACAAGATTTAATGATTGGTTTCAGTCATGTAGAAGTCAATCTTGACAGTCAAACTTAATGGAGGTGATAGATGCAGATCATCTACATTAACACCCTAATGATATCTGGGATAGCTGTAGGTTTTAAGAAAACTAAACTCAACCAAACTAAATTGTGTTATTGATCCATGAAGCTACTGATTATTGAATTGAACCATATGAGATGGTTCAAACTTCGTGTTTATCGTATGCTCAGTTGAAACAATCAGTGATTAAAGATATTTAATGATACGGCTCAAAATCAGTCATAGTAGCCCAGATGTACTCATTATTTATCTCACTGCACCATGGAATTTCCATCTGTTTATGAATTTCAGAGGATAGCCATTTTCTATTAATGTTTTATTTAGCAACCTAACATCATCATCATCATCATCATCAATGGCGTCATTTGTACAAATACGATCAAGCCTGTTGAAAAGAGGCACGAGTTTGAAACTCGTTTATGGTCTCAATTTTCTCAAGATATACTTTCGTAAGGTTAAATCAATGAGGTTTGTAGGATAAGGTGCATTCGTTTCATGTTGTGTGCACTAAATCCCTTACATACGTACTGATTTGTATAAATAAATGAATCAATAAAATGTTACCCAAATGTAACTTCGTGCTTATTATGCATTAAATCACTCAGTGCACTAAGGAAAAATAATTATAATGTCCATATTCATATAAGTTCAGTTTATAGGCCAACAATATAATCAAGAGAAGGAGAGAGAAACAGTAAAGCAACCGAGTAATGGTGATAATACTAATAATGAGGGGGGTACGCAAACATAAAAGTAATCGTATGTGAGAGATATGGAGCTCACAAAAAATGAAACGAAGTTACGACCTCTTACAAAATATATTATTGTTGACTTTAAAAAGTTTATCAAGGGAACCCATTACATGGAATTATTCAGTATAACAGATACATCGTGTCGGCAAGTGCCAACTGCGATACGCTTATGCTCTTAACTTGTTATTTGCAACTCTAACTTCTTTACGATGAACGAAATTGTTTATATTCTCTTCTCTCCTACCCGTTAACTAGAGTAAAAAGTACAATTAGTTTTTCATCATGGCTCTACACTAATATATATATGATTTACAATAATGATATAATACTCATTGAGTGGATAAGTTACGTAATAATTACATAATGACATTTAAATTAGCATCTAGTATTTTGGGAGTGCGCCTTTTACACATTGCGGAAGCCATCGCAATCCATGCTCATAAACCTGACCTTTGCATTCAGAAGAAATTTGTCCAACCACTTTCGCTGCCTTGGCCATCTGTATAACATTCCATTTAACTGAACTATTTTCCATACTTATAGCATTTGGTTTATAGTTTTTAATTTTTTTTTTTCCTTTTCTTTTAAACTTTATAATTTCTCAACAGTCATCTCTTGATTCTTACGTAACTCTATTCTATTGACCAACCATTACAAATTCTGTTCCTCCTCTTTTCATATATTATGCAACTTAGCAACTTCTTAACTTATTAATTACTTTGAATATTAATCATCTTCCTCCCAAAATACTAGATGCTAATTTAAATGTCATTATGTAATTATTACGTAACTTATCCACTCAATGAGTATTATATCATTATTGTAAATCATATATATATTAGTGTAGAGCCATGATGAAAAACTAATTGAAAAGAAATTTCTTCGCTCAATTCGTTCCTTCTGTATTTATTAAAAAGTACAAGTTTGTATAGAGACCTCAGAAGAATTGAATCAGATTGAAATTTATCCAATTATGTGTAGATTTGTAAATGTTAAGATTGACTTTTTTTGCGAAAACGTCACATACTCAACAAGATAACATGAAACTGAAAAGAAACAGAGCTGTACTACTCGTAAGAGTAATACTTAGATGTATGAAGTATATTCAGATGATTTATGACTCCGAAGTGGATTCTACTAATATTATCTAGCGAAATTCATTACAAAGAAAAGGGATTTTATTCTACACATACAATTTTCACTCGTCAACTGCGTGAATTTAACAAACATATTTTAATAGTTGAGATCATGAGTCAATTGAAGCTAGACCACCATGGAAAACCTAAAAGAACTGGACGGCCGTTTCGTCCTACTGTGTGACTCCTCAGCAGTGGAGTTCAACCGAGTCAGTTGTGAGATAGTAACTCACTTATGAAAATGGTGGATGTGTCGCTCAATTTCGTGGGTCCGTTCAAGTTAGTCATTAACACCGTTGGATGCCGGCTCAGTGGTCTAGTGGTTAAGTGCTCGAGTGCGAAACTGGTAGGTCCTGGGTTGGGATTCCGTGGTGCAGAGTCGTGGGTGCGCACTGCTGAGAGGTCCCACAATAGAACGTAACGGTCGTCCAGTGCTTCCACGTTTTCCATGGTCTAGCTTAAATCGACTCATGATCTCAACTATTGAAATTACTAAAATCTCCACAAAAGTTTTTCTGATACTAAACATATTTTATCTCGATTAATAGATATTGCAGTCCTATTGTATTTTCCTTTTTTTTCTATATATGTAGAATCCAACGGTCGATTTGTATCGTGAACTTGTTTTTACAGCACTAAATGATATTCTCATTAACGATCACAATACTTATATTATCGGTGAACGTGTCGTACTTAGTGTTGGCATAGAAATGTTCAAACTACCTAATCTACATCAAATTGTTATTAATGGATGTTTAACAGCGGTCGAGAATAAAAATAGCCAATTAAACACTGAAGAACGACAACAACCACATAATGGAACTATTTCATTGATTCCTTCTATCAGTAAGTACGTTGTAACTTTTACATGTTTTGCTTTCACAATAGTCATCATATGTAAATGCCTTTTGTTTGCTATCAAGGAATAGCATCACTTGTAAATGTTGTATCATACATGTCTTTGGCGGTGGATACTTGTTTACATAACTAACTGTTAAATTGATGTATAGTCTCCGCCGTTTTTCAATGGCTCTGTAGTTCATCCCTATTCACTAACTATCTTGTTCCTTTCTCTTGAATTTCTTGACACTATACCCTAAACTATGTATTGGGGCTTCTATTTTTGAAACCCAGGTGTTATTATCTATGATTTGGTATTTATTTCATTCTGGCCTAAGGTTATTTCTAATCACAAACTTTTAAGATCTCTTCTAATATAAATAGGAATTAATGCTAACTCTGTAGTGCATCCACTGACATATGATAACAGTTTGACGTTAATAATCTACAAGTTAATAAGGAATAAAGGGGATCGAACTCTCAGAATATTCCAAACATTTGTGGAACAACTCTGTATATACGGCGACAAAACCTTGCGACATAGGAAACTTTGCAAATTAAAGGGGACAACAGAATCAATCAAAAATCAAAAATGGTCACGCTTCCACACCAAATGTGCTTATTCACCCTCTCCACCTACTCGCACTCTATTATGGTATATTTTTGACCTAAATTATTATATCTTCCATGTAAATATACTACTCCTAATTTTTCTATTTAATTCTTTGTAGTGAGTAGTAAGATTATGTTGTGGAGTTCTTTCTGTATGTATTAGTATGATTTTTCCCATTCATAGAGCACTTATATTTAGCAGTTTCTCCCAAATTCTTGCAACCACAAAATACTTATACTTAAATTTCGTGCTTATTATGGTCAGCCGTTGTTTGCGATCAAATGACTAATCGTCTGCTTTTTGAGCTACCCGGGTTTGACACCTCTTCGTGGAGCAGTGGGTGGCTCAGTGAGTAAAATGTGTCTCTAAGTCACAGGTTTGAAGATAGCTGCATTTACTGTGGTCCGGTCAAGAAGGTAGTGGTATCACTTTGTCTCACACACAAAGTGTAACTCAGTGCCGAGTGCAGGAATGTATATCTGTGCTAATTGGGTGTGGCAACTTAAAACAACTGTTAGATGTACCAGGCTCTACTTTACGTATGTCTTACCGATCGAATGAAGTATTTGTTGAAAGTAAATATCCCAAAACCTTTTAAATCCATCAATTGATTTTTATTATTAAAACAGATTTATTACACCTTTTTGTGACTGTGGCTATACCTGGCATGTTGGTAAAATGTGATCCAACCACAACTACATTAAGTTCAACTGTCCATACAGCCGAATCATCAATGATACAAGATACTGATGATGTTGATGATGATAATCATGAAGAAGCAGTGACAGAGGAAGAAGGAGGTGACGAATCATTGCCAGTTCTGTTAGCTACTGAATCTTATACACATTATACATGGTCTGGTTCACCTTTAGAAGCTGCGATAACGATACGTTTTGTTGCTTGGATGCTTATGAGTTGTTTAACGGAACCTCATCTGCCTATTGTTCGTCCAATTACTAATCCTAAACCGTTACAACTACGGATTGGACAAGGAGAAGAATTATCAGATGACGACGATGACGATGACGACAACAAGATTAATGATAATCATAATAGAATGAAGCGAGTGGAAATCAATGATCAGGAAATGAACATGTCAGCTGAATTTACCAGAAATGTGTGTTTTGTCTTTGAAGTTTTGGTTGTGTAGTTGTATTCTCTTTAATATTGTTGAGTGATTTAATTGAGAGTGCAATCAGTTCATACTTATGATGCGTTGAAAAAAGTGGATAATTAGTTATATTTGACTAATTCAAATGCTTCAGTTTGGGCACCCGGAAAGTATCCCAGCCCTCACACAAATCGATTGATTTATGTGGCGCATATCTATTTGGTGCCTCCTTGTACCTATATTTATGTGTTTAAATAAATAATAAATAAATTCAAATGCCCTGGCACGACCGAGAGTGGGGAGAATCAGCTCTCCCTCTCGAAGTGCTCTCACATGGTCGCGTGTATACAACCACTGTCAGGGAAGTCCTTCTCACGGCAGGGGTGTTCTTTGCAAAATTGATAGGACGAAAATCGAATTTCCGATGTCTAACCAGGTTGTTGGATATAGAAGATCCACCTAGGGGAGTTAGAAATCCCTGATTTCAAAACAACAGTACACATGAGCTCTAGTATCCTGAAGAAAAAAAATGTTTTTGAACCTATTGATGGTCACCGGCTACTATGGGACTAAGTCTCGTAATGTTGCTCCACTGCCCTGTGGATCAAACCTTTAGGTCAAAGGCTCGAATTGTGACCCCCTAAGAAAACCACCTGCTTCAATTAGGGCACTCGGATAGTATCACAGCCCTCACATAAATCAAGTGACTTGTGTGGTGCATATGTTGTTTAAGAATACTATGAGAGTTTCGTGAATTTTTTAAAAAGCCTTTATGAAATTTAATTTTTTATTTTCGTCTTTGAGTCACACCATTTATGTGTAAGAGCTGTTGATACTATTTTGATTGTCAGACCAATGTATGCGGAGCGGGGTTTGAACGTATCACAGCGGTAGCACCATATACTGTTACATTACTTTTGGTAGGTCTAGAGGCCTACAAAGTCACAAGAACACTAATATACAGTATCTAACCGGCTAGGTATTCTGGTCAGCAATGATAAATACACCATGCAGTCTAAACGACTCACATTCATTGTATCACATTTCTAGCAAATAAACTAATTTTATAGTTTTTGAGAAATATATTTTAATCTTTATGAATTCAACGAAATATTTTACCATAAAGCAATCAATTTATGAATAAGAACATCTACCTACCTGTTAAGCATCAAATTTTGGCAATTTAATTCATTAATAACCAAATACTAAGTTTCACAATTCACTTTGAATTCAACTTATTATAGTCCAACCTCTCTTCCAAGTACTACCAATTTATAAACACAGCTAATATAATAAATATCAAGGCATCTACTCATTTGATCCATATGCCAATATAGAAGAGGTTAACCAAGTTCATTATTAAATATTAACGATGGGAAAATCTGAAGCCTTAGTAATAATAATAGGAGATCATGTTGGACGGTGGCTTAGTGGTTAGGGTCCTCAACTTCTGACCTTTAAGCCCCTAGGTTCAAAATCTGCTCTGCTTACTTCAGTTTGGTCAATCGTGTGTTGTCATACACCCTCACACTTAGAATGTGACTCATATTTGTCAGTGAGTCAATTAATTATTTTTCTTTATAGATGTTGTACACATTGAATCAGTTATTGAATTTCTTGACTTGGTACCTTATTACACAACACGTTAGTATTTAAAACGATAGGTATCGATTTTAATTTTCTATATGAACAGCCCCAATACCATGCAGATATATAACTAGATCATGAGTTCCAAATTAAACGAAATGTATGTTATTCATCTCACTTTTAACCACTATTCAATATTTACTGATATCCACATAAATCTCACGTGCACTTATCATCGAGTCGCCCATCTTACTGGTTTTTATTTCAAATCTCTCTTTGTTTATCATAGTTTAACCAGTCCAGTGCTTCCAGGTTTTCCATGGTGGTCTAGCTTCAATGGATTCATGATTTCAACCAGTGAAATTTCTAAAATCTCCACACAATCCCTTCTGAAAATAAATATTTATTCATATCAGAGGGTTTTGTGGATATTATTGTAATTTCAATAGCTGAGACCATGAGTCGATTGAAGCTAAATCACCATGAAAAACCGTTTCGTTCTATTGTGGGACTCCTCAGTAGTGCGGATCCACGATCCCGCCTCTCAAGATTCGAACCCAGGACCTACTGGTCTCGCACGCGAGCGCTTAACTACTAGACCACTGAGCCAACCGGCATCCAACGGTGTTCATGTCTAACTTCAACGAATCCACGAAATTCAGCGACACATCCACCATTGTCATCAGTGAATTACTATCTCACAACAGACCCAGTGCTTCCAGGTTTTCCATGGTGGTGTAGCTTCAATTGACTCATGATCTCAACTTTTGAAATATTTATTCCTCAGTTGAATACTTACACACTCAAAAGGTATTTTGTGCATATATCATCCTCTTTGATTAAGATTTTATAGTTATAGTTTCTGATTCAGATTATAATGGATAATTGTTAAATTATCTAATAGGCAATTATAATTCAAGAGTTTATCTATACTGTATTATAAAGAAGAATGAAAGAGGTTTATAAGTAAACATTGATTAACTTTCTCTTTTTTTGATTTTAGGCTACCCAGCTGGCAAAAATATCTGCGTCACTAAGTCATAGTTTACCGGCGCTAGTAGCTAGTGCATTATCTGCACTGGAAAATTTCAGTAGTGATTTGGATAATCCAGATAAATTGGAATTGATTCGGTCTTCATCATATCTACATTATTGTCTTTCTCAAGTATGTGGTCTGTCTAGGACATCATTAATACGGTATGTTAAATCATTTGATTAATATTTTGTACTACATATGTTTTAGACTGTCATATATTCAGGCATCCATATTCCGTACACTTGGAATCATTATTACAACGTATTGATTACACAATCACATTGACAATTTGTAATCAGATTATTGAACTGATTAGTTTCGGAGATTTAGTTTCATCAGAACTACTCCTAATTAATAAAAGGTGCTCTACACATTCAATGTCAGTTTTAACTTTTTATTTTTTGTTGTTGTCATTTGTCACTGTACTGTATTTCTCACATGACCTCTGCAAATAGTTATTCCCAGGTTACTTGTATTTAATCATCCACACCTTTGAGACGTGTATTAAGACAGTGAAGTGAGTAATGTTGAGATTATACGTAGAGTACGAGATATAAAGTAGCAAATCTGTTGATTAGATTCTGAATTTTCGCTCATTTAGGTACCTGAGACCTATATCAACACACAATGTACACTCGTTTAGGAATAGGTTTTAAGAAAGCTACGTGCAGCCACACATGAAAACTTAGCATCAGTTCGTAAAATTCTTGACTGTTAAACTAATCTGTGCTGTTTGGTACAAACTACCTGGTTGGGATCCATGATATGATCATTACCAATAATAGGAATAGTTAAATAACATATCTCAGAATACTTCGCTATGTTAAAAATGTTTTTATTTCAAAATACTTTTGATTTTTATCCCATTAATTTATATTACCTTATTTAATCACATTATATATACTTAATCGTTTCTATGACCAGTAATGTATAATGTCACTATTTCTCCAGCCCCCGCCCCAAAATGCCCTGGTACGGCTGAGAGTGGAGAGAGTCCGCTCTCCCTCTCCAAATGCTCTCACATGGCCATGCGTATATAGCCTCTGCCAGGGAAGTCCTACTCACTGCCTTCTCGTGGCGGGGGTGTTGTTTACAAAAATGAGAGGACGAAAAGCGAATGTCCGGCGCTTTAACCGGACCCCAAATCAATGGTGCACATGGACTCCAGTATCCTGAAGGAACAAATGGTGTATGAACCAATCGTTGGTCACCGGCTATCATGGGACTGCATCTCCTCACGATGCTCCACTGCCTTGTGGGTCAGACGTTCAGGTCGAAGGCTCGGGGTGTGGCCCCATAAGAAAACCACCTGCTTCGGTTTGGGCACCCGAGCAGTATCACAGCCCTCACACAAATCAATCGAGATTCGTGTGGCGCATATGTACTTGGTGCCTCCCTGTACCTATACTTATGTGTTAAAATAAAATAAAATAAATAAAATCTCCAGCCCCCAAATGCCCTGGTACGGCCGAGATTGGGTAGAGTCAGCTCTCCCTCTCCAAATGCTCCGACATGGCCACGTGCATACAGCCGCTGTCAGGAAAGTTCTACTCAGTGCCTTCTCGTGATGGGGGCGTTGTTTACAAAATTGGGAAGACGAAAGGCGGATGTCCGATTCTTTAACCACTTGGTGAATATGGAAGATCCACCTAGAGGAGTTGGAAAACTCTCATTTCAAACCAATGGTGTACATGAGCTCCAGGATCCTGAAGGAACAAATGGCGTATGAATCAATCGTTTGCCACCGGCTACCATAAAACTGCATCTCCACTGTCTTTTAGATTAGATCTTTAGGTCAAAGACTTGGGGTGTGGGGCCACCTAAGAAAACCATCTGCTTCGGTTTGGGCATCCAGGCAGTAATCCAACCTTCACACAAATCGAATGACTTATGTGGCGCGTATCTATTTGGTGCCTTCTTGTACCAATGTTTGTGTGTTTAAACAAATAACTATTTCTTCAACCCTGGTAATTTATCTTGAAATAACTTCATTTCGCTATATTGATCTAGTTGAAAAACTTGAACCGATCCACATGTTTATGTTAGGTTCTACATTTATTTTTTTCAATGGTTAAGATCATGAATCGATTGAAGCTAAACCACCATGGAAAACCTGAAAGCACTAGACGGCCATTTCGTCCTATTGTAGGACTCCTCAGCAGTGTGCTTTTTTTGTTGACTAATTGATATGCTATATTTATGCTTATTTAAATTTTTTTTTATGATTTGAATTTCCTCTTCTACTACTACTACTACTTCTACTTCTACTTCTTTTTTTCTCTTTATTGTTTTCAGTATTAACTCTATTTATTCACAGCATACAATCTATTTACGTTGTTTATGGAAATTAATTGAAAATACTAAATGTTCAAATAAATCAACATTAAATTATTCAAATACCAATATGTATACATTGTTTAATCTTTTATGTTCTGGTGAATTACCTACACATTTAGTGGAACTTCAAAGGTTAGTTAGTTATTCATGGAAATAGTAATAATAATAGTTGATAATGATTTGTATTCCATTTAGATTACTGTCAATATATTTACAACTGAATGAATTTCATTAATTGTTGAAAACGATTTGGTAACCTCGCATGTGCTGGGATCACATGTAAGGTTAGACTTCGGATAATAGGGAATGATGGTAATTCAGTTGATGAGGATGTAAATCTTCATCGATTGAGATGGCTGGGCCACGTGTTACGTACGCCTAAACACCGATTATCACGACGCGTAATGTAGACTAGTGTTGGAAATGGTTGGAAGAAAGTTAGGGGCACTCAAACCAAAACGTGGCATCAATGCTTGAAGTCAATAACTTCTGGTGTGAGCGATGTTGGTAGATGCAGACTACTTGATTGGGATCCGCGTGACTATCGTAATCAATGGTTGGAGACTGTATGTGACATGAATCATAATCGATCACAATGGCGTCAGTGTATATACTCTGTCTTCCTCTAAACTATGAGATTAAAATCTCTTCATATGCAATTTTTTTTTTTATATATTACCACCATTGAACTAACTACCATGAAGTCGATGTTCATCTTGTTGTGCTAATAAAGGTATGGCAACTTGAACTGATGCATATATGTGCCTGGTCATACGTTGTAGCTGACTGACTGACTGTATCCTCCCCCCAAAATGGAAGCACCTCGATATTCAACTATAGTTGCACGTTAATTATTTTTTGATTAATGGTTAACAGTAGAATCCACTTTGTTTTTTTTTCGTCTTAGTATAAAATGAATTGGATTTATTTATTTTGTATGTAGTAATGGTTGCAAATTAATATCATTTGGAGTGCTACAGAACAGCTGTTACATCCTAGCGTATCTCCTTGACAGTTCACACCCATAACTCCACCGGGAATCTAATTCAGGAGTTTTAGACCTGGCGTTGAACATCCTACCACTAGAATCACTGTGCTGGTGTCCTACCAGTACCGTTTTTACGTCAGTCGACTCGGAACAGCATAAAAATAATCCAGGTTGGTAGTGGGACAGCTGTCACTATTGAATTTGAATGGTCACTGCGCTATTCCACACTTGATGGAACTTGGAATAATATTATTGGATTTAATTATTTCGATAGTTGTCAACTCTCTGAGAGATCCGAAGGTCCTGAGTTCGATTCCTAGTGCGGTTTTGGGTGCTCACTGTCAAGGTGTTCTACATTTGGACAAATAGCTGTTCAGTGTTTCACTGATATTTTGTGTCATTCCAAATGTTATCAATCTGTGATGAACACCACCTGTAGGTTAAACCAATCTCTTCAAACAACCTATTTATTTGTTTATTTAAACAGTTATCTTCCACTGATATTTACATTTGCTGATTGTCTTCATCATCGCTTACTATGTTTAACTGATTCGGAAATCTGTGATATCTCATCGGAAGTGAATTACACCAACTCCAACGATTATCGTCATCAACAACCAATCAGCAATAGTGAACCCTCACGAGGAGGTTGTGGTTTTCGTGCTGATGAATTATTACAAGTTGGTGCAAGACTTCGTGATCTTATGCTCGGCCTAATTGATTTGTCACATCCTGATCAAGTGCCGAAACAAACTCGTTGTAATTTACAAACAGATACACATTGTACAGAATCAATGGAACAACCAAATTATGGTGCAGTACTACGTAGAATAGAGCAATGGGTCGAAATAGCCGATCTTGGCAGTTCACCTATTGGTGATCTAATGTTGCGAAATTATACACAATGGGTAAAACATTTTCTTAAATAATACAATAATACTTTGCTATTACATTTTCGTGGACTGTCATTAACAAATATTTTGTAAACCATTCTACAAACGTTCACGTGTGAGTTTATCAACGAGCATTATACCACAGGTCAAGCAATAGGGCTCCTAGCTCTTAAAAGTATAACTCACTTACTAAATATAGATTTGGATTAACTTAGCTGTTAAAGTCGTTAATTATGGACATAAATATTACAACTGCCAATCGCCTTATTATTAGATTATCATCACCTTGAACTTGTTTTATCCTAGTTGATGAAATTTATTATTTCCTTGTAAATATATGTTAATGGGTCTGCATGTTCACCAGTAATTATACTCGCTTTTCTTCTCCGTAATTTGTTCATCATAGTATATGACGTTTTCTACTCACATAACTTATATGTCTTCTACTTTTTAGTTTCCCTAGGGGAAATGGTCATATAGGAGTGACATTAAAACGTTGTGTAGATAGTAATATATAAAACAATCAGATAACTGAAGAACTTGTATTCCAGGGACGTTTAAGAATGTTTTAAATAATGGAAAACAATATAGAAAGAGTATAATAACATGTATTTAGAATATTTTCACTATTGCGAAATTCGATGTACCGTATACTTTTCAAACTAAGTATTTTATAACTTAAACTCGTGTATTTATTGTTAGTGTATATACACGTAGACATATGTGAATGAAAGTCATATAAAGCGAAAACGCTTAACAAGAGACTGGATAGCTCCTTAGCAACTTCTTATATTGTGAACCTGGGTAACGTGAGTTTGAATCCCACAGGAAGCATCACTTCCATCACTATTGTAGGCAAATCCTACTGATGAGTACGAAACCATGCGTCGAGCAGTGTTTCAGTTCGATTACTTTCAACTAGTACATTATATCCACGTGCTGTATTATTTGCCTTAATATTTATTAGCTCTTTAACCAGGCGCAAATACATGTACTTGGCCTTTATCCACGCTTTAAGTTTGAGGGCTACCAGTACTGAGCGGCTGGTCAAACCGAAGTAGGTGGGGCATGTTTGAACCTACAACTAAGTAGCTGAAAGTTGAACATCGTAACCACTAATCCACCTCTCCAGATTTATGCAGGATTGTGTGTGTATTTATGCGTATAGCTGAATTTACCAATTGATTACTCTCTCTTTCTGTATGTGTAAAACTACTGTTTTTTTTCTTTCAGTCTATACTGGATTTTCGTCTTTTACTATATTGTTGGTGTAGTTTACTGCGTCGAGTTGAACGATTAGTATTTCAAATCTATGATTGGGATCGCCGCTGCCGACGCCAACAAGATACTAGTCTGCCTATCTACCTTTTACAAAATCCACAGTCCACAACGACAACAGTGACATGTACAGCTTCTACAAATTCATCATCTACATTTTCATCCTCATCCTCATCAACTGATATTTCACGCGTAACAAATTCACCACGCCTACCACTTGGCACACCAAGTGTTAGTCAAACATTTTGGTTAAAAGATAACTTATTTGATTTATTAAATACTACAGAATCACAGTCTTCATGGTTTGAAAATCAAGGTTATCAAAATACATTGGCATTAGCTGGTGCACCGTTTGGTTATTATAGTATTTTGAATCCAGATCGAAATCAAGGTTGGTGTAGTGACATGTGTTTGTCATAATATTTTGATTAGCGGCGTCGTTGACTGAACTTAGTTAAATAATCATTGAAAACCAGTGAGTACTGCTCAGCTGTTTTGTCGTAGTATGAGATCCCTCAGCAGTGCAAATTCAGAATTCCACTGGGGATTGACTTCGAAGTTTTCTAGTAATAAGTCGTGACTGTTAGAGTTTAGATATGTAGGTAGTTAAACTGATTAAAATTATAAATATCAACCATTTAGGTCAATGTAGTGATCGGCCTGTTAAGCGCTCGCTGCGTGATCTGAAGAATTTTTTTACAGTAGTTAGTTGTTACAAACTTAAGTTATTTGAAAACCCATCGATTAATTGGTTCGTTGGCTTGCCATAAGTAATGATCACCCATATCCAACTTAATACAAACAACTTTCAATCCTAAAAGGATTCAAGTGTGACCTATCTAGCTCTCAGTATGTAGATGTTTCTAACATTCAAATTGAATTAAAGGGGTTTGAATTCTACAGGGATTATCGATTTCCTTAAGTTTACAGGTACAACTTATTTGAATAAAGCCAACTAACATAAGACTCTAGGTATATTAAACAAAAGTATTTTCTCGATTCCCTTCAACAATAGAATGACACTTCTAGTACTATTTGTGTATGTGTCGCAAAATGTTTCTATAGCAAAATAATTTCTAATATATATTTGTTTGTCTGTTTTTCTTTTAAATGTCAGTGGTACTAGAATCATTTTCTTTATCCAATCGTCAAATACGTCAAGTCCTATTATTGAAAAAAGTTCCATTTGTTATACCGTTTGAAAAACGAGTTAAAGTAAGTACACTATGTATGTAATGTATGTTTTTGGTTGCTTATTCATTACATTGTTGGCATTCATTTAAGCTATTTGTATACACAATATATCTCTTTGAATTATTATTATTATTATTATTATTATTATTACTATTATTAGTGTAAATTCATCGTTCTACGTGTTTTATATTCAAGTGCCCAAGTACCTTAACATCGATATAATAATCTTAATTCTCTTGTTTAAAGAAAATTAGTTTTATTTAGTTTTCTCTGATTATAAGTTTGACATCATTTTCCTCAATTTCATCAATGAAATTTACTGATTTTTGGTTGTTCACAAGTATAACTATTAGGGATTAGTTGGTTGTCGAATTGTTTGAAACAACATTTAGATCCAAAGTGTTGCTCCAAGTTGAGAGTACACGAATCGGTAAATGTGTTACTTCGACGGCAAATGAAATAATAACATAATGGTTATCAATTATGACCTCCCTCTCTCTCTCTCTCTCTGGGAAGCTTACAGATCGTACAAGATGTTATTTACCAAGTATAATCTAGAATAAAACCATTAATAGTAATAACAATACCCATTTAGCTTAATTCCACACTTGTGCGGCCCGTTGATACCACCACTCGGACGTTCAGTTCAAAATCGATGGATCTGGGATTTATATCTATTACCAAATAGTTGAAAAACAAGTGCTTTAAGCATCTGTAGTGTCGGTTGCTATGTTAAGCCCACATAACTTATTCTAGCTTCAGGATGGACATGCCAATTTACTGTTCTTCCTGAGTCACATCTTGATCTTGTTATTTATTCACTTATCAACCTTGAATTTTTATATGAGCGTATGTGTGTGTGTACACATCTTATCCTACTCATCACATGACTGTAGCTTATTTTTGTGTAACTATAAATATCGATTAACGCTTGATTAAATGGAGTCGGATTACACTCTTTCTCCACTGTGCGTCATTTCAGTTCTCTCCTATTCGCTTCGTCCCTCTGATTGTCTGTCCAGATTAATGGTTGCACAAAATACACTTATTCAAAATCCTTTCTCGTATTTGGTATATTTTAATTCCGTTACTCACTAACGCGAGTTAACTCGATAATTATATACGAGGATAGGTGATCTATTTATTTCGATAATAACCATTCAATAACCATCATTTGTCCAATCTCACTGGAGTCAGATATAGAGCCAACAAACATCAATCAAACACTTTTTGTATTGTATAATCATATCATTGATGAAAGGGAATATTTAATAATTCTCTTTCCTCTCATATTTACACTTCTGATGATATAGTTTAAAATGGAAAATCAAAACTTCACAAATAAATCATTTTTCTCAATGAATGCAATATTACAAAACCAAATAGACTTGAGAGGACTCAGTAGCTAAGTGTATAATGCGATTACGTTTGAAGCAAACGGTACTGGGTTCGAGTCCCGCAGTGAATATCAACTCTGAGATGCAGGTACATCCAGCTGACGAGTCCCAAAATAAATAGACTTAGGAATATATCTACATCCAAGTGTTGATATTCACATCTAGTCTCGAATCCAGTACCTTTCACTTCAAATGTTCAACGTGTTGCTGTTATCCACCGAGCTACTAAGTTCATACAACTATCTGATTTGTAAAACAGGATATAAATTCTATTTGACAATAGTTGTTATTGTGTTGCAATGTATCTTAATTTTTTTTCTTTTACATTTTCTTATAGTTATTTAAAGTTCTTATCAATGATGGTAGTACATATAATCGTAATCCATTTCGACGAATATATAATGTATCTAATCAACCTAGTGTTTCTCTTGTTGTTCGTCGAACTCATTTATATGAAGATGGTTTCGAGAAATTATCCAAAGAAAATGGTAATGTTTATCTTGGACAGTTTTTTAATATTAAAGTTGAATGTGTGTTTCGTCTAATTTACGGCTCGTCAGCCGAATATATATATATATATATATATATATATATCCATTTCAGTTGTGAAGCTGGTGTATACAGGACAAGATTATTGAGTTCGAATCTCAATGTAAACATCAACACTTAGATCCAGGTATATCCAGCTGATGAGTTTACAACGATTAATCACGTTCATGTGAAATCATAATTTCTAAATAGGGTTGTGGAACAATAACTTCGGAGATTACTGAATTCTGTGATTCTGATATCTTGTATTATTCCCCGTCTTTGGGGACTGGCTAACAAATGACTGTAAAGTAAAAAAATAGTCAATAATAAGACTAGCCTATATTACTTCATCACGACTCTGGTTTTTGATCCCGTAGGCTTCAGGCACTTTTTAGAGTGCAATTTAGATATTTCATTCTTCACAGTTTTAAGATTCAGGTTTTATTAACCAAACTAAATCTAATTAGAGTATTCAGTCATCTATTGATTATATACCATGCTTCACAATTGATTGATCACTAGGTGATGATCAATGTCATGCTTGTCTAGTCCTTATTAGTGCAGATCGAATGCTATCGACCATGTTGCAATGTGGCCACCAGTCTAAGTGAATCGACACTGCAGGTACCATTGTGAGATTAGATGGTGGTTGAAGGTAGTCGACAGGGAACCCTGGACACAGGTTTCATGCTACTTGGTAGTCATCAGCAAGGTGCACCTGTAATCTTGAGGGAACTGGTGCTCCCTGACGGATTCGATCTCGTGTCACCCAGCTTCACAGTCAGAAACTTTACTACTGAGCATTCAGTCTGCACTAATAAGGACTGAAAAAGCATGGCATTAATCACCACCTAGTGATCAATCAATTATGATTACATCTCCGTCCTACAGGAGATCGGTCGCGGTCCGGATAGCTCAGTGGTAACGTCTCTGATTGTGAAGCCAGGTGACATGGGATCGAATCCGTCAGGGAGCACCAGTTCCCTCAAGATTACAGGTAAACTTTGCTGGCGAGTAGCAAGTAGCATAAAACCCGTGTCCGGGGTTTCCTGTCGACTACCTTCAACCACCATCTAAAATACGATCTTTAGATATAACATCGTACAATCGATGCACTCAATTCCGTATTTGAAAAACTGATACAAAAAACTTAGTGGGGTAACTTTTTATTCCCGATTCATCATCTGTTGTTTTTAAATTGGTTCCAGTATTCTACTGAGAATTATTTGTCACTGGATAACCGTCTCTTCTTAGTGTATTGCTCTTTGCTAATATGCATCCACAACCTACAAAGGATCATATTCAGGACTATTCAAATCTCACTAGTACTCTTAAATGAGATCAATTTATCATAAATCTAACGTAAAAATTAAACTGAATATCCCCCCGAAACTCCTTCAACCTATAACAAAAGTTGTTTTTTTTTTTACAATTTATTTTGCAGCACCCAATTTACGTCAACGTTTAAAAGTGACCTTTTTAAATCCAACTGGTTTAGCTGAAGTTGGTATAGATGGTGGTGGTTTATCAAGAGAATTTCTTACTGAAATTATTCGTGCTGGTTTTGATCCAACTAGAGGATTTTTTATTTATGCATCAGATAAAACTTTATATCCAAATCCACAAGCATCTGCAATTACATTGGATTATTTAAAGCATTATTATTTCTTGGGAAGAATTTTAGCAAAGGTTATTTATTCTTTAATATTTTAATACTATTTTAATAAAATATAATTTATGACTATATTAGATCTGTTATATTTGTATATATCATCTATCAATTACAGATTTATATTCTTAACTTAAAGCTACAATTTAGTTGTGTAAAGTATATAATATCAGAAGGGTTTTTTTTGTGGAGATTGTAGTAATTTCAATAGTTGAGATCATAAATCAATTGAAACTAGACCACCATGGAAAACCTGGAAGCACTGGACGTCCGTTTTGTTTTATTGTTGAACTCCTCAGCAGTGCGTATCCACGATCCCGTCTTGCGGGATTCGAACCCATGACTTATCAGTCTCGCGCCAGGCGCTTAACCAACTATAATATACTGTGTTTAATCAGATTTGTCACTGAAGATCTAATAATATCTATCCGATGACAACACTACATTAATATTGTAAGAGATTCTTTAGATAATAAGGGAATATCTTTATTAACTATTAATTCTGATGATTCATTTATTCGTTATTTCATTATCATTTTGGTTGTGCTTTTGTTATATTTTCTCTTATTACGACCAATTTACTTCTATTGTTTAGTATTCTTTGGACATTACTTCACTCGACAAGTCCTCAAATTATTACACGGTTGAATAGGAAGGTAATTGTATTACAAATAAAGATAGTTGGATGGAATTAGGAACCGCAATAAGAAATACGTTAGTATATTTATAGTTTTTACATATGAAAATTTTAGAAACTCTAAGTCTCTGCCAGCACTAATTGGTTAGAGAAAAACCAATCAGCGTTTCCGGAACATACTTTAACCTTATCTATACCCCCCTAATACCTTAACTGTCTTGAAATGTCTCGGCTTAATTTCAATGTTTTTGTGGCTTCCAATGGTTAATTGATCCTTTTCCCTCTTCTCTACAATACTCTATTATGATAAACACCTACCTCTATGACTATATTAAGCAATTAAACATTCTAACTTATAGGCAAATATGGATAATGGCTAGCAGTGGAATCCAGGACGCCCATCTCGTCCTATTTGAGTCTCGTCAGCTGGATGTACCTGCATCCCAGAGTTAATGTTCATTCTGGGACTCGAACCTAGTGCCTTAAACTGGATTTCAATGCTAAGCACTATTCATCTTTACTTATAATGCTCGTGAATTAATGCAATATCGAGGCAATACTCACACTATGCACATATGCGAATAAGAGACTTATCAATTTCCGTTCTAAACATCATTGGGAAGATTCAAGTAAACAATATTTTGCACCTTCTCTGTTTTCTAGGTATTATTAATCTATTTTCTGTATATACCCACTTATACAATTGTAGGCAATTTACGAAGGTGTGCTTGTCGAACTTCAGTTTGCTTATTTCTTCTTGGCGAAAATTGTTAGTCGAAGTGGCGGTGGCGGAGTTGGCTTTGATTATCTACATTCACTTGATCCCCAATTGTATAAGTAAGTAGTTTTTTGAGAAATAAAAGTAGAAATATTTTTCATTTAAAGCAAATTTACTACTAACATTAGTATCCATTCTATTTGTTTCTAAATGCTAAGGATGCTACTGGTAATCTCACAAATTTCCTTTTTATTTTGTAATTACACTAATATTAAATATAAAGTCTGTTTCATATTTCCCGCATGGTTTCGTTGAAGCAGCCATCATTTTTTTTTAGTTTACAAATCACCTAGCAAGTCATTAGAACAGATATGTTCAGTGTACAGAATATATATCAATGTTAAAACGTTTTATTTATTGTACTAATACTCGTAATTACTGCCCAACTATTGAAAAGTGCATTAGAGCTTCCTTCTATTTAAGTATTTAGAAACAATCGGACAAAAAAAATCCTGAACTTGGGTTTTGAAGTATTTATCATTCGTCAACATGTTTTATGTTTAGTCTTGAAGTGAACCGATTTTCCCTTTGCGAATTGCTCGACAGAATTTAGTCAATACTAAAAGACTAGACAAACTAAATTTTCGTCATTATTCATTCAATTGTTCCTGTAAGCAAGCTGATACAACTCTTTTTGATGTCCAAGTTTTCATCAACCCAGTATTCTCGTATATGCCCTTTAATGTTATCAGTGATCTTTGTAAGCTTCAACTGACCTACCATAGTATCCCGACCACTGCAGCTGCCTTAACGTGGTGGTCGAACGTGCCTATTGTGATGAACCAACCAGGCTATACTGTCTGGAACAATCGTTCCTCAATGTCCTACCATGCCAGACAGGTTGGTTAAAGAGCGTTAGAAATAAAAACAGCAAACCCAAGGTTCGAGGGCGAAGTTGTACTGCTGATTGCACAGAAGTGTGACGGCAGTAAGGTGTTTCCTTAGAAAATCACCGTTACAATGATGCTGCCTTCCCACAAGGAAGGGTGCGTTTAGGAGATGTCGGCCCTAAGAGTGCACGCATCGCCTTATCCCGCGGATTTTCGTCTCCATCGGTAAGATCTCAATACGTACGGAGCTAACACGAAAATTACTCACGATAAGGTCGTGTGTGACCGGTCTCAAGCAGTTATCCCTTGGGCACTGTGGTCACGCTCCCAGGTCACTAAGACCTCCAACCCAATTCCATTTTCAGGTACCCCTAGGAGAACCCTTCCACGATGTGGGCAACCGAGAATTGGTTATTTATATTTATTTATTTGAACATATAGATATTAGTACAAGGAGGCACTGAACACATATGCGCCATACAAATCTCATTTCATTTGTGTGAATGCTGTGATACTGCCCGGGTGCCCAAACCGAAGCAAGTGGTTTTCTGAGAGGGCCACACTTCGAGCCTTTGACCTGAAGATCTGATACACAAGGCAGTGGAGCATCGTGAGGAGATGCAGTCCCATAGTAGCCGGTGACCAAGAAATTGGTTCATACACCATTTGTTCCTTCAGGATACTAGAGCCCATGTGCACCATTGGTTTGGAATCCGGTTAAAGCGCCGGATATTCGCTTTTCGTCCTCTCATTTTCATAAACAACACCCCCGCCACGAGAAGACAGTGAGTAGGACTTCCCTGGCAGAGAAGTGGTAACCACTCTCATACCTCTAACAACACTCAACATCATCCCAACAGTATTAGTATTTTAGTGTTTTGATAGAATTTTTTCAATATTTATTTCACAGTTTTGAATAATTCATCATTAAGATGATAAAAAGATTCTGATTGGATTGAAATTAATGTATATCAAACTTATTCAATCAACGGTTTGTTGTTTATTCCTTGTATTTTCATATTTTTCTTTCTCAATAGACAATTATTATTTTTAAAAAATTACAAAGGGGATGTACGTGATTTATCGTTAGATTTCACTATGGTTCAATCAATTTTCGGTCAATCTGAAACAGTCGAACTGAAACCAGGTGGAAAACATATACCAGTTACTGAAGAAAATCGCGTTGAATATGTACATTTAATTGCAAACTATAAATTAAATAAAATGGTGGGTTTTTTCGGTTGACATAAAGTTATTAAGAATTATTTATGTGAATAGTTCAGATCATGAGTCATATGAAGCTAGATCATCATGGAGAACCTGTAATCACGGGACAGTCGTTTCGTTCTATTGTGAGACACAACAGTGCAGATCCACGATCTCGCCTCACGAGACTTGAATCCAGGATCTATCGCTCTCGCGCGCAAACCTTAACCTCCAGACCACTGACTGGACTGGCATCCAACAGTGGTAATTTCTAAATTCAACTAATCCACAAAATTGTGCAACACATCCACCATTGTCTTCAGTGAGTTACTATCTCACAACAGACCCAGTTGAACTCCATTGGTCATGGCTTCTCACTAGAACTTCAGGTATTAACTCTTGAAGCCAGTCACTATTGGAGATATATTGATTAATATCAGAAGCGGTTTAGTTGAAGTTAGACATTAACACCGTTAGATGCTCGCTCAGTTAGGCGTTCGCGCGCGAGAGCGATATATCCTGGGTTCGAATCTCGCGAGGCGGAATTGTGGATTGTTGCAATGATCCAGAAAAGTTCTCGCAAAAGATACGCAAGGATCAGGAAACCTTAAGAAGCATTTCATCCAATCAGCGTTCAGTTGGAGTTTAGCCAGAAACATCAAGGATGTGAAACGTCACGTGTAGATTTTCTGATTGGTTGATTGTTATACCGCTACTATGTTTAGTAGCATTCCAGAATCTTCGAGCAACCCAAGAACATTTAGAATATTATAAAAACCCTCTGTTTTCTGTATTAAAATGAACATTGGAGTAAAGTACTTTTCGCATACGTTGCGCCTTCTCTCTCGTGTTCAGGTCGCTGTATAGTTCTAGCTTGGGGGTTTCAAGAATAGCTTAGGAATGGAGTATAGCGTTCAAAATCGCAAGACTTATCAGGATGCGCACCGCTGAGGAGTCCCGCAATAGGACGAAACGACCGTCCAGTGCTTCCATGTTTTCCATGGTAGTCTAGCTTCAACTGACTCATGATTTCAACTATTGAAATTACTATAATATTTACAAAAAAGCCCTTCTGATATTAAATATTTATGTATTGATTTGGATTTAAGTACATCTAGCTGATAAGTACAAGATAGGACGAAATATGCATCGTGTATTTCACTACTAACCACCATTTACCTCTACTTATAAGAGTTATTTAGTTTAGTTGAAAAGATTTTATGGAAATCAGTTTAATTTACAGGTTGTTTTCTGATTATTCTGTGATAAGTGAAACCTATAAATTAAGCAAACTTTTACGAAATTACTTCAAATATACTATAATACTCAGCTATTTAGTAAATTGTAATTAAAATAGTTATGATCGTTTAGCTTCATCACAAATTAATTGAAGCTAGAACTGTAATATCACTGAACACTCACTAAGTATTTTTAATACTTCCAAGTAACAATATATATATATATATATATATATATATATATATATATATATATATATATATATGCGCCACACGAATCTCAATTGATTTGTGTGAGGGCTGTGATACCGCCTGGGTGCCCAAACCGAAGCAGGTGGTTTTCTTAGGGGGCCACACCCCGAGCCTTCGACCTGAGCGTCTGACCCACAAAGCAGTGGAGCATCGTAAGGAGATGCAGTTCCATGTCTCTCTTATCATAAGCCCCATTGTAACCTATGAACTGTTATTATGCGGTTTTCCATTGTTGAATTATACCCTGTCTATTAGTCTTTGCCTCCCACATTCACAGCCACATTTGGCCAAATTTTGTACAAATGTTATTTTCTATTTTATGGTACTTTGTGGTCTGCTTGTTTGGTATATAAACCGAGTATGCTTCTAATACATAATTCATATTGCAGAGGCTCGGATTGGTGTTCTGGACTTAACTGGCTGCGCTAGGTGGAAAGCAAGACCAATCATGACTCTAGACTGCTCATATGGGTTTACGTGTCATTGATCTAATCGATAAGTTACTGCTCCCTAATTGGTGGTATCATTACTTATCCATTAGCTGGGTAAACAACCCACAAGTTATAACAACTAGGATGGAACAACTGTCCAGTTTCTTAACTAGGATCAATTTGAGATGTGGAACTAAAAAAATCAATACACATCTTATAAAAAATTCATTATAAGCAAAAGTGATGCCTTGTACTCGTCAGCTCATGATTCATTGGTCAATTAATTGTGATTAACTCTAAACTAAACCAATCTCCTTCAAACACTTCACAACTAAATACTATTTTTATGGTACCTTAAAAATTCGTAGGTATCTAGGTGTAATTTTATCTTGTATTTATCATTGATATATTCTGTTGAATTGTAATTACATTATCTATGAGACTGCTTTGTTTGTTTACAATTATATTGCATGAATTTTATTGAAATGTAATAATTTCTCAACTTTAGATTTATCCACAAGTACGAGCCTTTACTGCTGGATTAAATGATGTTATACCGATTGATTGGGTACGTCTTTTTGATGCAGAAGAATTACAAACTCTTATATCTGGAGCAGATATGGTAATCGATGTGAATGATTTAAAACAGCATACATTCTACATTGGAAGTATGTCACAATATTTTAAGTTATCTGTTTTTGTATGTGTATTAAAACAATGGTTGGTAATAGTGACTTACTGATTGAAGTACTCAATGTTCACTGAGCTGTTTTTTTTACAATAAATCAATACTCCCAAGAGAGAGCGTGAGGAAATCCAAAAAATTGTATTGCCAAACAGTAGAAATAACAAGCGGTATAGTACCATGGTTGATGTTAACGATTACAATTGATCTGTCTCCTTTTGGCATATATAGAGCTTGATCAGATTATCTCAATATACATCAATTAATTCACCAATATTTTTAAATAGAATTTTGATTATAGCTAGCAGCGGGTGTTTGAAGCGAAAGACATTAGTATCTTAGTCTTAATATAAACATCAACACTGGATTACAAATATGTTTAACTGATTTGTCCCAGATAGAACGAAACGCACATCCTGGATTGCAATGCTAGCAACTATCGAAATGTTACTTAGAAATTAATATTTATATCAGAAGGGTTTTGTTGGTATTATAGTAATTTCAGTGGTTGAGATGATGAGTCAATTGAAGCTAAACTACCATGGAAAACATAGAAGCATTGAACTGCCGTTTCGTTTTATTATGATACTCAGCAGTGCGCATCCACAATCCCTCCTCGCGAGATTCGAACCCAGGGCCTACGTATGGACCACTGAGCCACTGTGTTGCACCATCTCTCGGACTCCAGCCAGGGAGTCGTGAAAGACCAACAGAAACCAGCCCTTTGCAGATTTCTTTCATACCACGACACCATGTCGTATATTGACCACCTCTCCGCTTTTTCCAACCAGTCCCAGCATCAGCAAATAATACACGACGTGGAATTCTCTGGGACGAAATTCGCAGAACATGTCCAAGTCACCGAAGTCGATGTTTCAAGGTGGTGACACCAATTGCATTATCGTCTCTGCACCCGAACACACGATACCGAACCTCTGCATTACTAACATGGTGTTGCCACTGAATGTCAACAATCCTTCGGTGACAACGATGATCAAACACAGAGAGTCGTCTAACATCCTCAACTCACAGAGGCCAGGTTTCACAATCATAGAGCAAAATTGTTCTCACCGACGCGTTGTAAATCCGACCTTTTACAGCAAGACTGACATCACGAGGGCGACGAATGTGGCCCAGATTTGCACAAGCCTACGAAGTATGACAGAAGCCAATAGCTTGGACGCAATCGGAAGTAGACTTATCTCTCGATAATTGTTACAGGAATGACGTTTATTGTATAATTTAGTTTGATAAAACTCCTTAGTGGTAACCAAGTACACATGAGATTCAATTCTATTAATTACCATTAATTGCATTAATCAATACAAATGAAACCAACACAACTGATCTACTTTCTAGAGGTGATTAGATAAAAAAATGTAAACAAAAATGATTAGTTACTTATCAGTAATATAATTTGATAACATTTCATAAATGTTATTTTGTCAAGAAATATAAGAATAAGTGAATATAAAATGAATTTGTACGCTTTGGTAGAGAAGAATTATTGTAGGTGTTAAGATAACAGAAATATGTAATTGATTGAGATCATGAACTGATTGATGTTAGACCACTATTGAAATATGTAAATCTAATAGTTTTGGAATTTGTTTGGTCAAATGGATATGAATATAGTTGAAATCAATTGATACTTAAAATTGTAATTGATCGCTCTCAAATACCATGGTAGGGCCGAGAGTGGGGTGGGCCCACTCTCCCACTAGAAATGCTCTCACACGGCCACGCGTATGCAGTCTGCCAGGGAGGTCCTACTCACTGCCTTCTCGTGGCGGGGGTGTTGTTTACGAAAATGAGAGGACGAAAAGCGAATGTCCGACGCTTTAGCCGGGTTGGTGGACACGGTGAGTCCTCTGATTCGAAACCAATGGTTCACATGGGCTCCAGTATCCTGAGGGAACAAATGGTGTATGAACCTATTGTTGTTGATCGATGACCATGGAACTGGATCGCTTTAGGTTGCTCCACTGCCTTGTGGATCAGACCTTTAGGTCTAAGGCTGTGGGTGTGGCCCCCTAAGAAAACCACCTGCTTCGGTTTGGGCACCCGGGCAGTATCACCACACCTAATCGAGTTGTAATGAGTGTGTCATCAGATAACTCTATGGTCGAGCTGATGGTAGATAATTTCCTGTCTATAATTTATGATTCACTAAAGACATCGGTATATACATTTGGAATTTTCATTTAAGTCGATGAAGATATCGGATACCGCTATGATGAATGTAAGATTGAAGCGTTTGTTTATCACATATGTTGACAAAAATTAGAACATCTACGGTCTCTTTGGTATTTTTTGGAAGACCCAGAATATTCCTCGAAAAAATCCCAAATAGTCCCTGAAAACGCTAAGAACATTTTATCCAATTAGCATTAGTTGAAAGTTTCTCGGAAACATCATATTTCTGACTCGATGATTATCTATCCTGCTGCTATATTTAGTACAGGGGAATCACTTTTCTTTCAATACCAGGAAAAGTATTCAACAGGGTATTGTTAAACTGGATGAAGGACTCCGTAGACGCCCAACTTCGAGTCCAACAGGCAAGATTCTGTAAGGATAGATCGTGCACAGACCAAATCGCATCTCTACGGATCATTGTTGAACAATCAATTGAAGGGAATTCATCACTCTATATCAACTTCATTGAATACGAAAAAGCATTTGATAGCGTGGACAGAACAACCCTTTGGAAGCTTCTTCGACACTACGGCGTGCCTCAGAAGATAGTCAATATCATACGGAATTCCTATGATGGATTAAACTGCAAAATCGTTCATGGAGGACAGTTGACAAAGTCGTTCGAAGTAAAGACCAGTGTCAGGCAAGGTTGCTTACTCTTGCCCTTTCTCTTTCTCCTGGTGATCGACTGGATCATGAAGACATCAACATCTCAAGGGAAACACGGGATACAGTGGACAGCTAGGATGCAATTGGATGATCTAGACTTCGACGATGATCTGGCTCTTCTATCGCGTACGCAACAACAAATGCAGGAGAAGACAACCAGTGTAGCAGCAGCCTCAGCAGCAATAGGTCTCAATATACACAAAGGGAAAAGCAAGATTCTTCGATACAACACAGCATGTACCAATCCAATCACAATTGACGGAGAAGCTTTGGAAGATGTAAAAACCTTTACATATTTGGGCAGTATCATCGATGAACACGGTGGATCTGATGCAGATGTGAAGGCACGGATTGGCAAAGCAAGAGCAGCATATTCACAACTGAAGAATATCTGGAACTCAAAACAATTGGCAACCAACACCAAGGTCAGAATTTTCAATACAAATGTCAAGACAGTTCTACTGTATGGGGCGGAAACCTGGAAAACTACGAAATCCATCATCCAAAAGATACAGGTGTTTATTAACAGTTGTCTACGCAAAATACTTCAGATCCGCTGGCCGGACACTATAAGCAACAACCTGCTGTGGGAGAGAACAAATCAGATCCCAGTGGAGGAAGAAATCAGGAAGAAGCGCTGGAAGTGGATAGGACACACATTGAGGAAAGCACCGAACTGCGTCACAAGACAAGCCCTCACATGGAATCCCCAAGGCCGATGAGGAGAGGAAGACCAAAGAATACATTACGCCGGGAAATGGAGATAGATATGAGAAAAATGAACAAGAATTGGATGGAACTAGTAAAGAAGGCCCAGGACAGAGTGGGTTGGAGAATGCTGGTCGGTGGCCTATGCTCCATTGGGAGTAACAGGCGTAAGTAAGTATTAAGCTATATTTAGTAGGGTTCGAAAAGCCCATGGCCATATGAAATGCTACAAATACCTTCGATTTTCTGTATATAAACTGACCTTGGAGTAAAGCGTTCTTTTCACATTTCACACATATTCTCTCGTTTATATTTATTCCTATGGTTATTAAAAGAGCTCAGGGAATCGATTCAAGCGTTCAGTCAAAAAAATTTACCAGGTGTCATAGATTCTTTCCTTGGATAATTGCTATTGTATTAAATTTAGAAAAATTATTCATAGACACTATTCTGTTTTGACATTAATCTAGAGAGGAATGAAACTTGAATTGAGTAATTTGTAAAAATATACATAAATCTTCTAAATAATAGAAATAAACGAAGATGAGACATATATAATGATACAAATATGCAGTACATGGCAGAATAACAGGATAAATATACTCTAGATATTGTTTTAATGATCTCAGTTCATGTGTTTATCGGATGTTCTGGATAATGTCATCTTTCCACTGTTTTCCCATACCACATGAACGAACAACAATTCTTGAAAGAGATGATAATTAAAACAAATTAGAATGTGAAGACTTAAAGATAGCGCTTGAATCAAGTTATTATTTTATTTATTATTTCATCACATTAATGTTGGTACAAAGGGGCACTGAATACATATGCGCCACACACGTCACTTGATTTGTATGGTCTATGACACTGCCTCATGCCCAGACCGAAGCAGGTGGTTGTCTTAAGCGCGACCACACCTGAAACCTTAGACCTAGGCAGTGGAGCAACGTTAAGAGATGCAGTTCCATGGTTGCCGGTGACCAATAATTGGTTCATACACCATTTGTTTCCTCAGGATCCTGGAGTCCATGTGCACTATTGGTTTGGAATCATGGTATTCCAACTCCCATAGGTGGATCCTGTATATCCACCAACCCGCATAAAGCGTCGGACATTCGCTTTCCTTCCTCTCGATTTCGTAAAGAACAATCCTGCCGTGAGAAAGCAGTGAGTAGAACTTCCCTGACAATGGTTGGATACACGTGATCATATGAGAGGATTTCGAAAGGGAGAGTTAACTCTCCCCACTCTCGGTCGTACAAGGGCATTTCGGTGCGCTTGAATCAAATCTTCGTCATTCTTGTTGTTGTTGTTGTTTTTAAATATTATTCTTATTATTTCAAGAATCGAATAAGCAGCTTCAATAATTTTTTCATCATCATTATTATAAAACTATTTATCTTCTTTTTTGTTTTTCTTTATCATAATTTTTCTTTTTGTTTTTTGTTGTTGTTTTTTTAGACTCAATAAATTATACTGAAACATTAGATTGTTTTTGGTCAGTATTACATAATTTTTCTGAATCAGATAAACGTTCATTTTTACGTTTTGTTACTGCATGTTCACGTCCACCAATGTTTGGTTTTCGTGAATTACAACCACCATTTTCTATACAAATTACTGATGAAATTGAACGTTTACCAACAGCTAGTACATGTACAAATTTATTAAAATTACCAAATTTTCGTAATATTAAATTATTACGTGATCGTTTATTATATGCATTAAATGCAAATGCTGGTTTTGAATATGGTTAATTATATAATACATAAAGTAATAATGTTTGTTTATTATTTGTTTACTTGTTTAATTGTTTGTTTGTGTTTGTTTTTCTTTCAAAACATTCATGTATCAATTCATTTATCATGTTGATATTTTCTTAAATTTATCAATTAAGTAGATTTCCCTTTTTTTTCTCTTTTTTTTGGTTTTTTTTTATAAGAAAAAGTTTTACTAACATTATTAATACTACTGTATACTTGATGAGTAGTAGTAGTAGTATTACTACTACTAACATTTTGGTTATAATCATTTGAATATATTAATAATCATTATATTAATATGCATATATTTATATATGGATATTGATGAAATTTGAATTTTTATAGTCGAATTCATGGAAAACCTAGAAACATTAAATGGCCGACTCGTTGTTGTCAGTCAAGTACAACGTTAGAACCAGGCACATATATGGATCGGTCCAAGTTAACATACCTCATTAGTACAACAAGATGAAAACCTAATTCATAGAAGTAGTTCATTCAGTGATGGTAATATATAGAAGAAAGATTGCATATAAAAGTATAGTACAGGAAGAAAGAATTAGTTCGTAGAAAGAAAGATATGAAGTGATTTTAATCTCTTAGTTTAAGGGAAGATAAAGAGTGTATACACCTACGCCATTGTGATCGATTCTGTGCCATGTCACACACAGTCTCCAACCATTGATTACGATAGTCACACGGACACCAACCAAGTAGTCTGCATCTACTAACATCGCTCACACCAGAAGTTAATGACATCAAGCACTCATGCCACGTTTTGATTTCAGTGTCCATAACTTTCTTTCAATCATCCCCAACACTAATCAGCATTGCGCGTCATGGTAATCGGTGTTCAGGTATGCACAGCACGTGGCCCAACCATCTCAGCCGATGAAGATTCACAACCTCATCAACTGATTTACCATTATTCCCTAATACTCTGGTGTCTAACTTACCCAGTGATCCCAGAAGATGCGAGAAACATTTCTAAGTCATCTGTTATCAAATACTAGTAACTTACGAGTATCTTCTACTCTTAATGGCCATGTTTCGCAGCCGTAAAGTAGAACAGAACAAACTGCCGAGCAGTATACTTGTCCCTTAATTGATAAACAGATATCTGGCCTTCGCCATAGGTGATGTAAGTTAGCAAAAGCCAAAAGAGATTTTTGAATCCGTGCAGAGACTTAGACATCAACCCATTAGGACTAATAAAACTTCCGAGATAAGTGAAGTTTTTGACGCGTTCGACTACTTCACTCCTGATCCTTTAATTCAGGTGTTGACGCATGTTAGTCCAGAAGCACTTAGAAGTGGAGAAGCACATCCCAAACATTCTGACATTGTTGCTCAGTGCTACCGAAAGACTGCATCTTATCAGCGTCTTCGCCAAACTTTGTTATCTGCGTATTCTAAGTTGATAAGTGGACCTCCTGAAAGGAGATCAATGCCCGAGGATTCAGTCGACGAGAACGTTATTTCAATCAGTATGTTTATGATAAAGTTAAACAAAAATGGAAAAAGTGGACAGCCTTGACGGACACCACTTGAGGTTGCAAAATCAGATGACATTTCTCCATGACTTTTACTCGACTGGTAGTGTTCGAGTAAAGAACCTTTACAATGTTTATGTACTTCTGAGGTACGCCTTTCAATGACAAACATTGCCACAAAGCCTCTCGGTCAACAGACGTTCTTACACTAACAATCATGTGCTCATCAATAACTAGCTTCAAGATGAAACTCCTAGAGTTGTGATGAAAAGGCGCGTCGAGCAGAGACAGGTATCTACCTCAGACAGTTGATGAGGTGTTTCACAAGACCATCTATCGATTGAAGATAGACAATAACACTATATATATATATATATTGTTTGATTCGCCTAATGATGATAATAATACTATAAAATTTGTTCAATGGTTCTGTTGTTTGAATCAGTTTAAAACATCTGATTCTCAACGTTACTTACGTACGTCTGTTCCCCCCAGTGAAGCATAGGCCGCCGACCAGCATTCTCCAACCCACTCTGTCCTGGGCCTTCCCTTCCAGTTCTATTCAGTTGTTGTTCATTCTTCTCATATCTGTCTGCATTTCTCGGCGTGATGTGTTCTTTAGTCTTCCTCTTCTTCTTTGGTCTTGAGGATTCCAAGAGAGGACGCAGTTGGATGCTTTCCTCAATTTGTGTTCTATTCACTTCCAGCGCTTCTTCCTGATTTCTTCCTCCACTGAGATTTGGTATAGAATAGTTAATATAAGAATATGATTGATACATTTGTTTCAAACTATGAAAGATATCTATTTTGGCATTGGTATGTAGTTCAGAAAGGAAATTTTCTCTTTAACGATGCAGTTTACTAAAGGCAATTTAGCCATGAGAAATTTCCATACAATCTTATTTATAGTTAATACTAGTAGTCTATAATAGAATAGAATGATGTTGATTAATGGAAAAAACAACAATCTGAAGTGATGTTTTGACATGTATGGTTTATGAAAATCAGATATTAAATAGAAGTTATGTATTAATCGGGTAGTGAAAAGAGATAAGGCGAAGATAATTGTTCACTTAATAGATAAAAAGAACATAGTAATTAGAAGATCTAACAATGGTTAATGAATAGTTGTGAACGTAATTGGAAAGGGGTACAAATAATCTTTCATAATAATCGATTATGGAAGATAGAAAGGTAGGTCAAGACCATGGAAGTATGAAGGACTGAACAAACTGTTTCTTATACGCAAAGGTTAAGTTTAAGCTGGTAGATAGCTGTCAGTCAGCAACGACGTGGAACTTCCTACGTACGTACATCAGTTTAAGTTGCTATACTATACCGCATTAGCACAGAGATACAAATGTTCGTTCAAATTCTATAGCGATAGAGTTAGTAAAAGTACAAGCAGTAATTGGAAAGATTATGGTGTGAGGATGTTATTTAAGGAGTATAATACAGTGAAATAAATTTGGAAAGAGAAAAAAGGGACATGAAGAATTCAGAAGATTAGAATTTGGGAAAACATAAAGAGTGAATGCTCCTGCGCACACCATTACAAACGATTTCGAGCCATCTCATTCAGAGTCTTTAATCATCAGTTGATATCGTCTCGCGGATCCTCAACCAGGTAGTATATACCTACCAACATGGCTCAGTTCACTTGTCATTGACTTCATGGATTTGTGCTATGTTTTGGTATGACCGCCTCTAGTTTTCTTCTAACCTTCTTCTACACCATAGTTGTACAATATAACCTGCTTAACATTACCAATTAAAATGATAGATGCACACTAATTTGTCACAAACTGAGATCTTATCCTCCACATAACTAAAGATCATAGGTCGATTAGAGAAGATAAAATATTGTTTGATGGAATACAATGTTCTTAGAGATCCTGAAAGTCAGTTTCTCAGAATTACTAATTCAGTATCTTTTAATTTAGATTACATCACGTTCCTCATAATCCAAAAGTAGAACAAAAGGTTGGCTACAAATATTCATTCCTTAAGACAGTCATTAATTATATAGTAATACACAATAGAACATTTAGAAAGTACACCATTCTGAATACTTCCAACTGAGGAAAAGGGTGAGACTATAATTTTTGGACAACCTTTAAGCGACGCAAAGTTGATCTTAATAGTATCTGTTAGGTTTGAAGCTAACGAGTTCACTTAGTTTGCGAACGAGAACGAGATTCAGTGACCAACGACCAGTAAGCTATCTATTGACGCGTCCCAGCCCGCTATCTAGAGAGAGAAGACCAAGCTTGGAATGAAATATATTCTGCAACAACCCGAAACCAGCAAACTTTTCTTTTACAAAGACAATTTTAAAACGTATATATACATCGATATTGTCATGGAGCTTTTAAACATTTAATCGATAGTTCGTCAATTGACTGCCATTGAAATATTTAAACATTTAATCGATAAATTCGTCAATCAACTATGTGCGTGGGTGGTAAGAAATGCCCACGTATACATCTGCATACAAGCTCCACAAGATAAATTACAAACTATGAGTTTTTGGGGATCTATCGTCCCCAACAGTATCCACCTACTTACTAGGGCTAAATGAGAGTTGTAAAGCAGTTTGAAGAATATGAATTATAATTCAAAATTGATGGTTCGAGTTAGGAATTATATTCACGATTTTTCATCACGAACTGACATCAGCTAAAATAACAAAACGCCCTATTTGACCGAATGGATCAGTGAATTTCACGTCGAAATCCAAGACATGTTATTCTAAATATGATTGATTCGTCTAAAAATTATAGTCTCGCCAGGAAAAGTGATCAGTTGAAAAGACAAATAGACATTTATTCTATTTGTTATTATTCTTTACTAGTAAATAATTTATTCAGTATGATATGATTATGAAACTGGTATAATGGGATTGAAATTCTTGCTCAACACCACTTCCGTTCATATTGAGCATGGAATGATGACATCGTTTTTTTCATATGAAAGTTTGGTAAATCACCATGTATAACATTAATCATACACATCAAGATCATATGAAAGGTTCCTTCAACTATTGTGTATATCCACACACCCCAATACTCTCATATAATGAAAGTATTGAGACGGTTCATGTCAATAAAGTCACATTATTTGTAACTTGAGTATATGAAAAGCCAACATTGTTTCGTGAGGGGGAGAAAGAGTCATATATGTATTGAACGGAGAAGCAGATCATAGAAGTTAGAAGGTTAAATACTTTTTTTAAATAAAGCACGAACACAACCCTATAATTGGCAGAGCTCTCTCAGAGTACGAATAGACTCTCCACGGAACACCTATTCTTACGTATTTCATTAAAAAAGTGAAGAGAATGTAGTATGACGTGATAAAAAGAAAAATATTCGATTCCTTTACTTATTATGATTCTTACTTAACATGACTTCCAGTTTTAATCCAATATGATGACTATACATTGTAGTATTTGCTTTCTGTTTTTCCAGTATACTATTTTATCCGGTAAAACATGAATTCATTTGAGTGTGATGTTTGTCCAAGATACAATATTCTTATATTAATTGAATAGGAACTATGCTCAGCATGACATACACCATGTGGGTATCTTTTTATATGTGTATGTAATTCTATTTTAGTTAATAGTCAAAATAAGTGTCCAATCAATATATACAGTCTGAGTGTATTTTCGACTAAGGTTGTCATTGTGTTTTGACGTTTAATAAATCTTCACTTGTATCAATCTTGATGTTCTTACTTCACATGGTGAGGATTGTAGTGGTTCTTGATTTTACAAGTATAAGTAATAGGTTATTCCGACCTAACAATTGGCGACGATCTGTTATAACAAATTGACGATGAGATATAACAATTGGTGGCGCAGTCGTGACAGAAACAAACTTATCTGTTCAGTACATATTTCCCAAAGCCCTCATATCAATCGACAACATTACTGAAATTAAATGTTCAACTTGTCTCTCTATGGAGTTCAAATGTTTACAATTAACTACCTTAAACTCTATAACATTACTTTGATCAATGAGAAAAATTCTTATTATAAACTGTTTAGTCAACTCATTTTGGAATGAAACTAAATATGTTTAACAGATGAATTCATGACTCGACGAGAGCTAGACCACTGTTGAAAACCTGGAAGCACTGGACGGCCATTTCGTCCTAGTAGGAGACCCCTCAATAGAGTACATTCACGATCTCGCTTATGAGATTCTGTTATAACTTGTGATCCGCCTATTAGAGCAGCAGCGAATTATCGATCGGACCAAAGATGCGTAAAACACGTGCGAGCAGCCTAGAGTCCTAATTGGTCCGGCTTCCCTGTCTAGCCCAGCCAGTTGAGTCCAGAACACAAATCTCAGCCTCGGAGATATGAATCATTATATTTCAAACACACTCAGTTTATATATCAACCAGACAGACCACAACGTAACAATAAAATATGAAACAACATTTGTACAAGAATTAGCCAGATGTGGGTGTGAATGAGGGAGACAGGAATCAATAGATAGGGCATAATTCAAGAACGGTAAATCTTATTATAATAGTTCATAAGTCAAAATAAAGCTTATAATAAGAGGGACATGTATACGAACAGATTAGTTACATAACAATTATACGATAAAAATATACTCGCAATATCGGTCCATAAATGGGTCCCAAAAATTACCACTCACTATTCTTATTGGGATACAACAGATTCGAACCCAAGACGTTCAATCTCGCGTGAGAATGCTTAAACTCTAGAACACTGAACCGGTATCCAATAGTGTTATAGTTATATAGTGTTATAGTTATATACACCAGCCAAACAGAACACATTGCACCATAAAATAGGAAATAACATTTATACAAGATTTAACCGAAAGTGGCTGTGAATGTGGGAGGTAGTAGTTAATAGACAGGACTCAAAGACGGTAAATCATGTAATAACAGTTAATAGATCAAACTGAAGCTCATAATAAGAGGAATACGAATACGAATAGTTTAGTCATTTAACAATTATACGATAAAAATTTAAATATAGTATTTATCCATAAATGGATCCCAAAAGTTACCATTCATTGTTCTTATTGGGATATAACAATTTCTATCTAAATGACTTTACAGCTTATACTGTTTATAATATTCTACTTCTAAATTATTAATATACTGATCAATATCTAATCATTTACTGCATTTTTCGTATATTATATAACATTGTACTTTATGCTACTTATATTGATAGATATGAGTAGTATGTAACACCAGTCAGAAGTAGAATGCCTAATAGCAAAAGATTATGAAGACCAAATTGAAGAGAACAGAAAGTGAAACAGAGAGAGGAATTTGAATAACAACCAAATTTGGAAAATGAAGAATTATGTACAGGACAACTGAAACAATGTATGGGAATAATGTATTTAATGTATGATGTTCATATTTTACCAAAGCACTATGTAATTTTACACTAATTGATACATTGGTTTCCCTTACTTGAGTTCCTATTTATGATCAATCGCTAAATAATATTTGGTTAGTGAAGATGTTATCGTACTAACACTGTGATTTTAATATGTTATATATTGATTTGAAGTAAGCATCTTAAGTGAGTGGATTATGAAATTATTTTAAAAGAAAGAAAGTATGACTATAGACATATTGAGCACATATTTCAGTAACACTTTAATTGGTCACTATTTTAATAGTTGAGATCATGAATCAATTGAAGGTAGAGTATCATGAAATACCTGAACGTATTGGAAGACCGTTTCATCCTATTGTGGGACTCCTCAGTAGTGCGCATCTATGATCCTATCAAGTTCTTCCAGTTTTTCCATAGTGATATAGCTTCAGTTGACTCATAATTTCAATTATTAAAATTACTATAATATTCACAGGAGTAACTAGCCTGTCATATGCCCTGATGTTGTTCTCGTAACTTCTGGGTTGCCTGATCTACCAAGGGCGATGGGACAGTGCATGATGCTATTGTTGTGTGCTAGGTTCAAAGAGAACTGCATGCTATATGTATGGAAATCCGCCCCGTTATTGTTCATATAATATCTACAAAATCAGCTTCTTATATTATTCACTATTTTTTCTTCAATATTTATAGTCATACTCCAAAGATTTATCCTTAGAAGTACCAAAAGATTATTACAGTCGGTTGAAAACATAATTTGTGTCAAATATGCTGATCAACAAATAAAAAAATAAATGGAAATGAAACAAGATGAAGGTTTTCCTATTCATCTGTAAAAACAAAATTTAACTAAACGATTGAGTACAATGTTTAGAACAACATTAAATCAAATGTACTAAAGTAAGATCACATTCTCCCCAAATATCCTGGTACGGTAATGAATAGGGAGATTAAGCTCTCCCAATCCAAATACCCTCACATGACCATGTGCATACAACCACTACCACGAATGTCCTACTCGCTGCCTTCTCACATAGGGAGTGTTGTTTATGAAATTAGGAGGACGAAAAGCGAATGTTCTGCTCTCTAACTAGGTCAGTGGGTATGAGGGATCCACCTAAGAGAATTGGAAAACCCTGATTCCAAACCAATGGTGTAGATGTGCTCCAGGATTCTATGGAAACAAGAGGTATATAAACCAATTATTAATAACTGGCTACTATGAGACTACATCTCCTGACTTTGTTCCACTTCCTTGTGGATTAGACCCTTAGATTAGATGTTCTCAATGTGGCCCTCTTAAAATACCCCTGCTGCAGTTAGGGCAACCGGACAATATTTCAGCCTTCACATAAATCATTCAATTTATGTGAGGGCATATCTATTTGGTGCTTCCTTTTACCAACATATATGTGTTCAAATAAATCAATCAATCATACTACTTACAAAAAAAACAAATTAGAATCATTTATATTACATAATCATATTTTATCGATCAGATTTGTTTCTTTTCTTTACAAACAAAGTACTTTAATACAAAAAAAATGAAAAAATGTTCTTGTAAATATTTCCGATTGTCAATTTTCATATTTGTCATATTTTTCATCAAGGTCAGTATTTTCATTGTTACTATGGTGATGAAAATTGATTTATAATGAATTCAAATATTTATCATTCATTTTTTTATTTTAAAAATAAGAAAAAACCCATCACATTGCTATTTTCTTATTTCTGAATTCATTTATATATATTATACATTTCAATATTCAATATTAAATCTTTAAAGAGATCGTATCATTCAATGTACAATAAGTCAATGCATAGTGATTATAATCCTTATGGAATAGTAAAATAAAATAGTAAGTGTTATGCCTCGATAAGCATAATGAATGGTAACTTTTGGGATCCATTTATGGATCAATACTATGCGTACATTTTTATCGTATACTTGTTAAATCACTAAACTATTCATATTCATGTCCCCCTTATTATAAGCTACAGTTTGATCTATTAACTGTTATTATACGTTTTACCATTCTGGAATTATACCCGGTCTATCGATTACTACCTCCCACATTCACAGTCACTTTCGGCTAAATCTTGTACAAATGTTATTTCCTATTTTATGGTATGATGTGTTCTGTTTGGCTGATGTATATAAACCCAGTATATTTGAAATAAATGATTCATATGGTGGTGGCTGAGATTGGTGTTCTGGATTTAACAGGTTAGGTTAGTCAGGAAGTAGAACCGATAAGTACTCTAAACTACTCATACGTGTTTTACGCGTCGTTGGTCCGATCAATGATTTACTGTTCTCTAATTGGTGGTATCACTAAGTATACAATAACTGGGCACTCAAGCCACAAGTTATAACAGTATGTAATCAAATTATTTGTTGAGTTGTGATTTAAAAAAAATTTTTTTTCTTTTCTTTTCCTTGTTTTTCTTTCTTTTTTCTTTTAAATTAGAAAGGATGATCATTTAGAAAAACGAATTCATTTTTGCAATAATATTCACAATAGAAATAATTAATGAATCAAATGGATTTATGCCGTAAATCTAACAGGTAATAAGTTCTGTCTTTTTTTTAAAAAAAAAGGGGACAAAACAATTGAGTAGTATAGATAGAAATACTTTTAATCTTTTAAGATATAATGTAAAGTTAATTTTATTGAGTCCAATAAAGCTAAACCATCATGAAATTCTTGAAAATACTAGATGACCGTTTCATCCTAGTATGGGTCTCTTCAGTAGTACGTATCCACGACTATCGTCTTTCGAGATTTGAACCTTGAACTTATCGATTCCTAACTTCAAACAATTGAAGAAATCGCACCACCGTTTCCGTATTGATTATTATTGTTGATTTGTAGTTCATGTCTAGTTATGCATAATGATTTTATTAATTGATACTGATTCGAATCGTATGAATAACAATATTGAATTTTTCAACAAAGTGTTATAGTCGGACAAGAATTATGAATGATAACTTTTGAGAACTATTTATGGATTATTACTATACATATATTTTATTGTGTAATAGTTAAGTAGCTAAGCTATACATATTCATGTTCCTTCTATTATAAGCTTTATTTTAACATATAGACTATTGTGATACGATTTATTGTTCTTGAGTTATGCTTAGTCTATTAATTAAAGTCTCCCACATTCACAGTCACTTATTAATAGATCTTGTTGTGCTAATGAGGTGTGGCAACTTGAACCTATGCATATATGTGCCTGGTCCTACGTTGCAGCTGACTGACTGACTGACTTCATATTACAAAGACTGATATTGGTATTTTGGATTTAACATTCCGGGCTAGGCAGGATGCAGAACCAATAAAGACTTGAAACTGCTCATACAGGGTTTATGCGTCATTGGTCCGGTTGATAAATCACTGTCCTGTATTTGGCGTTATCATTACGTTATATACATATTGATGGGGAAACAATGTCACAAGTTATAATAGAAGGCGGTTATGCTTTGTTGATAATCATGTATTAAGAAGATATTTAAATTGGCAATTGCTTGTCAATCTCCACTGATTATGTTAAATACTGACCTACCTAAGTATAATTTATAAAGAACTCAATTTACTTAGCTTAAAAGACGTTCTATCGCAGGTTTCATATGTAGTTCTTTGGAGAGTTTTTTTCAAGTCTTGAAACTAGGAAACACTTACAACCTTACACAAGATTGTGACCAGTAACTCATTGAGGATTGAAAGTATTTTTTTTTAAAAAGTGCATCTCATTTTGTTCAACTTAAGTAGTCCTTTTCAACCCCAAGTTTTCAGGTCCTTAGTCCCATATGGAGTCATTAATGTACAATGATAAAAAGTTGCATATTATATATATAATAATCATTATGGGGTTGTGGAGATTATTAAGTTATTGATTAAGATCATGAATCGATTAATGTTAGATCACCATTGAAAACCTAGGAGCACTTGTCTGCCGTTTCGTCCTATTGTTTAGAATATAATATCTGATTCCTTTCTCTATAGTTTTTTAATAATTCTTTAGTCAAACAACCTTTACTTACTTACTTACTTACTTACTTACTTACGCCTGTTACTCCCAATGGAGCATAGGCCGCCGACCAGCATTCTCCAACCCACTCTGTCCTGGGCCTTCTTTTCTAGTTCCATCCAATTCTTGTTCATTTTTCTCATATCTATCTCCATTTCTCGGCGTAATGTATTCTTTGGTCTTCCTCTCCTCCTTCGACCTTGAGGATTCCATATGAGGGCTTGTCTTGTGACGCAGTTCGGTGCTTTCCTCAATGTGTGTCCTATCCACTTCCAGCGCTTCTTCCTGATTTCTTCCTCCACTGGGATCTGATTTGTTCTCTCCCACAGTAGGTTGTTGCTTATAGTGTCCGGCCAGCGGATCTGAAGTATTTTGCGTAGACAACTGTTAATAAACACCTGTATCTTTTGGACGATGGATTTCGTAGTTCTCCAGGTTTCCGCGCCATACAGTAGAACTGTCTTGACATTTGTATTGAAAATTCTGACTTTGGTGTTGGTTGCTAATTGTTTTGAGTTCCAGATATTCTTCAGTTGTAGATATGCTGCTCTTGCTTTGCCAATCCGTGCCTTCACATCTGCATCAGATCCACCGAAACAACCTTTACTATTAAACTTATATTGAAAATTCATTTTATAAATTGACCGTTTTAAAAATGTAAAGAAAAACTTTCTCCCAGATACTAAATTTCACTTAATTACAATGTTTCTGTATCACACTTTATAAGTAAGTTATTGTTGTCAGATACAATTATGTTAAAAATGAATACAAAAAGGTCTACGTTCAGATAAAGAGTAAACAAATAAGGAGAACGAATCAACTGAATTGTTAATTAAAGTTAATGGAGATTTTTTATAACATTCAATAAAAATTACTAATCATTATCTGGAAAACGGGAAAAAGAAAGATTAAAGCACACACTGTATTAAGCATTAGAAACAGACATGAAAAAAAGATGAACAGCAACTGGAATGAACTGGAAAAGATTTTTCATGAAAGAGTTTGATGGTGAATGATAGCGAGTGATCTATGCTTCCCCATGAGAGGTAACAGGCATAAGTAAGTAAGTAAGTAAGTAAGTAAGTAAGTAAGTAAGTAAGTAAGTACCAATCATTATCTATCTCACTGTATAACCTTGGATAAAACACCAGTAAATTATAAATGATTTAAATGTGTTATAACTTGTGGTCTGTGTGCCATGTTAATGTATAACGTGATAATACCACCAATTACAGAACAGTGAATCATTGATCGTACCAATCACGCATAAAACACATACGAGTAGTCTAGATTACTTTTCGGTTCTACTTCCTGCCTAGACCAACCTGTTAACTCTAGAACACCAATCTCAGCTACCACCATATGAATCATTTATTTCAAATATACTGGGTTTATATACCAATCAAACGGACCACATCGTACCATAAAATAGGAAACAACATTTGTACAAGATTTAGCCGAAAGTGGCTGTGATTGTGGGAGACTGTAATTAATAGATTGCGTATAACTCAAGAATGGTAAATCGTATAATAACAGTTAATAGATCAAACTGAAGCTTATAATAAGAGGAACACGAATATGTATAATTTAGACACTTAACAATAATACAATAAAAAAATATACGTATTAGTATTGATCCATAAATGGATCCCAAAAGTTATCATTTATTATATTGATCAGGATAGAACACAATAATATTTCATTTAAACACAATCACATTGAGATTTCTATCATCATCTACTTATCTTAACTGATATTTATTAATATCAGAAGAGGATTTTGTGGAGATTATAGTAATTTCAATAATTGAGATTATGAGTCAATTGAAACTAAACCACCATGGAAAACATAGAAGCACTGGACGGCCGTTTCATCCTATTGTGGAACTCCTCAGCAGGAGATGAGGTCGTGGATGCAAACTGATTAAGAGTCACATAATGGGACGAAATGTTCATTTAGTGCTTCCAGGTTTTCCATGTTGATCTAGCTTCAATTGACTCGTGATATTCATTAGTTTATTGATTATCCAAATTGTACATTATTCTTTATTCTTCTTCTTCTTCTTCATAATAATCAGTATTTTGGGTCCAAATGAAACACAACTGACTATGAAATCTTTACAAATGAAAGAATCACAACGGAAACATTTCTTATCTACTATAAATCAAAGAAAACATCTATCATATCCAATTAATTTTCATTATGATCAATTACTTGTTCAATTAATGAAAGAAAATGGTCATATAAATATAAATAATTTAATTATTCCTAAATCGTAAGTAATAACATTGATTATCAGTGTTTTATTTGATCTCTTATTGTGATCTATTTGGTTATTATCCATTAAAGTTTATTGATTATAGAATATATTTCTATTGTAATGTATGATACTTATATCAATATAAGTAGTATATCATGATAGTCAGGAATAGAATGTCTGATAGCAAAAGGTCAAGAAGATTAAGAAAGAAAGAAAGAAAGAACGAGAACGGAAAGTAATGAGTGTGAAAGTGCTAAAACAATAAATGTTGAGGTGATTGACTGATATTTGCAAAAGGAACAGTCAAGTTTTCTTAGTAGCTCTAACTGTATTTACCAATTTACCATGTACATGTCAAAGCATATAAATTGGAAGAACTGAGCGAAGAGTATATGTTCACATTTCTGAGCATGTTCTAAAGAAATTGAGATTGAAAGGGACTAAGGTTTTCAACAATGAAATAGATCGTCATTTACTTGACATCGGGTATACCATTGATATATCTCTCATACTTTTTAAATTATCCTAAAGTGATCGCGATTTAAAAAAAACTTACACCGGATCGATGTATTCAAAAAGAGATAGTAATAAACTTATTACTACCCTGGTAATCCTTTTCTTGTGTGTGTGTGTTTATTGTTGTGTATTGTTTTATTTCGTTAATATTTAGTTTGTGTTATATTCCACTCCCATTACCCAATACTTAAACTACCCCAACACTCATACATTTCCACGCACTTGATTCGCTATGTGTGAATTCTTCAAATTCTATTCAATTATTTACGTAACCCATCTTATCAGCTTTTTAATTCCATGAATCCCTTACTACTGATCACACACAATTTATCTTATCTGTCTCTGAACTCCACCACCTTGATTCTAAAACCTAATAACCTCAGACCTGTTCTAATACATATCAGTGGTTGTAAGCAGCTAATGGTGAGAAACCACAACAACAATAATGAATTCATATTATTCTATGTTCTGGCTTTATTTAAAGTCAAGTTTTTGATGGAGTTTTGTTCATCGAGCTAGATGGTTTGATCGTTCATCGTTCTTCTGAACAACATTATCAGCATAAGCTTTACCTTAGCTACAAATCTTCTCTATCATGTCAGAACAGTCCAGTTTGTGATAATTGATTGACATTTTGAAATGAAGTATTCATTAGATGGTTTTCAGATTTCTACTAAGATGTTCTATAATTTTGTATTGAATTACATTTAATTATCTTGATTTATGTGCTCGTTCCATACACTATCACTTAACTATATGATACAATTGTTAAATTTTATCTTAGTTGATTGAAATTAGTTGTTGAGATGTTGTATGTTAATCTTAGTTTTAAAATTTACTCATAAATGAGTAACTAAGGGATTGTATTTAATATTGAAGGCTATGTAGTCTTCGAATCATAGCTTGAGGTTAAGCATAGGATATTTGGTAAAGAGAGTAAGTTATGTGATGACATCATAAAATTTCGTTTACTGAAGTAATTAGTACTTATGTCAGGTTAAAAATTAGGTAGAAGAAAGAATATCAGAACACTATGTCTATCTATGTAGTTGCTGACTACTGATTATTTATTATTATTTATTTATTTATTTATGGCTTTATTCAATATTATTGATTTTGGTACAATATAGAATTCTCAGCACAAAAATATTTCAACAAGTTTCTTTTACAGAACAAAAAAAAACTGTACAACTTTTCAATTAGAATCATGTTAAGAATGAAGATTATTGACTAGGTTAACTCTAACAACCTGTTCGTCACAGAGTACATTTGCTAGGTAAGGTACTATAGAACGTTTATACTTTTGCTTGCGTGCTTGGATTTTAATGTAATTTCGTCTCGTTCTACCAGAAGATATACAAGGAGAAAGATATGAGTGAAGGGGATGGTTAGTATCTGATAAAATAACATCTGCCAGGAGTTTGCATGACTTTAGATGTCTATCCACAATCATATTAATTATGGTCTCGAAAGATTCACCACATAACTTGCTAACTGCCTTCAGCAGTCTCCACAGTACAGTAAAGTCTCTTCTCAAAAGCCCGGGAAAGAATAACGGAGAACAGTACAGAATAATAGGTAATATGCAAGAATTGACAAATTGTAGGAGTAAATGACGAGTGATCCCAAAAGCATGCAACCTCTTAATGTAGTAAGTCAAACGGAAAACTTTCTTCGATAACAATAAAACGTGAGAAGACCAAGAGAGATCAGAGGAAAAGGTAACACCAAGATAATTGACCGTCGACACTGTGTTTATCAAAGAGTCGCCAATGGCACAAGCATTATGAGATCTCAAAAAGGTGTTTAAATGCCGATCATGTCTCATGCTAAAGTTAACAGCTTGACATTTAGACGGATTAAGTAGGAGACCATTAACGACAGACCAACTATCAATGCGAGATAAAAACTCGTTCATTTCTATAGGATGTAAAGAGGAAGAGATAGGCATACAAACAGTGTGATCTTCGGCTATATCAGTAGAAATAGAGTTCCTGGTTTGAAACCACGTAATTGATCTTGTAAATACCTAAAAACAAGTGAAATGATAGTAATTATGTTACATTAACACAGTTGTAGTGATCAAATGTTGTTGCTAATTGATAATTCTTTAATATTATTTATTAAATTTAGTCTGCACTGCTTATGTTTACCATTAAGATCATATTGATTTCTTCTTTGATTGCATCAACTTGAACTGATACACATTAGTTCCATACCCTTCCTTGACAATATGATTGACTGATCATAGCTTTCTATTGATCATCTCTAACCATAATTGGTTTTGTCTATTCAGGACTATAAATCAACAAACATATAGGTGGGATGAACCTTCAAATCCAACAGCGTTGAATAAATCCATACAACTTCGACATATTCGACGCATTCATGATTATAACAATGCTATAGATAATAATAATGTACAATTAGCTGAGAACGTTTTATATCAAACAAATAACAATTCTGCAATTGACATGATAACATTGAATACAGATCGTCGAAAATCCAGAATGAGGTATGCATTTTAAACATATTACTATATTATATATTTTTCTTTTTACTTAACAGTTTACTTTATGTTAAATCTATCGAAGTGTCCAGGTCATCTGATTGTGATACGCGCAAAATCGAAGTTCTCAAAACAACGATTTGTTTACAATAGCTGTTCTTTATTGAATAATACACAAAATAAGTTAGAAACCTCAACTTATAAAGTGTCTGGGACAGCCGTCCAGTGCTGCTGGTGGTGGTCTAACATCAATCAGTTCATGAACTCTATCAAAAACTTAATAATCTCCACAACCTTATACTGATAATTATCGATATATCACTGAATAGAGAAGATTTTATAATTTGTTGTGAAGATATGACTGAAATCAGTTGAAAGATTATTGAAAACATGAAAGATGTCTATTCTGAATTCTAAACTCATCATCACTATGAGTCAAAATATAATGGTTTACATTTTCAATTCTATCATAAACCATTGGAAACCTTTTATGACAAGTTATCTAATTCTTGAAATTCATTACATCTTTATAGGTGATCTACATGAAATACAGTCTTATCTCCCATTATACTAGTTGGCGTTCATCAGCTAGGGCATATGTTTAACTCTGAGAAGACTGATATTCTCTGCGTGTTTAAAATAGACATCACATATCTTCATAGTCTGAAAAGTTATCATGGTAATATTCAGCTCACGATTGATCGTTTTCTAATCTATTAAATAGTAATTTCACTTGAAATACTGATCTTGGTTTACTCGTTTTTAATAATAGCTGCAACCTCATATCTGCTTATTATACATATGCTCATTTTATTATGTTTTCTTTTTTTTTCTATTTACATAAGGAATAGAATTAATCAATTCTCTCCACGATATTCTTATATTCCAAAAGAAAAGTCTCCACATTCAATATCTAGTCTTGATGAAAATGAAATAGACGAAGTTCGAAAGAAGTTAGATAATCTTAAATCATTATTTAAAGAAGTTAAAAATCAAATCGATTCTTTACCCACTGATAATGATGATAATAATAATAACACAAATAAGATTGATGATAGAATGTTCCCAAATACTTTAACTGAAGTGAATCCTTTACAGACTACTGAAAAGAATACTGAAGAACATGAAGAAAACACTGATGATTCATTTCAAAATTTGCCTAATTATGCTACATTTTCTGTGAAAAAATCACATGAATATGCTGTAAGAAATTGGTTACTATCAAATTTTAATCATATTTAACTACTTATATCTATAAAAGTAGTTTAAAACAATTATATTAATTAATTTCTCCTTATTAATTTCTGATATCTCATTATAATTAGAATTTGTATGTATGATCGTCTTTGTATTGGTGAATTGTAAAAATCCTCTATTATAATGATAAAAATTTATCTTAAATTTACTCTTTAATGTTAAATGTAGAATTTTTCTAGAAAAATTTGTTTATTAATTTAGATATTTATGAGTGTAGATTAGATCGATACTACTGGATAGTGTGGTAGATTTAATGCGGATCAAGGGCTTCTTAACCTGAACAACTAAACTCAAAATGGGATTAGAGAAACTTTATGATGGTTACTGTTCAGAAACAATTTAACAATATTATCTCAATATTACTGAAGATTAGTTTCAATCCTAGTTGCTCAGTATCAACTTCTTTGACCGATATTAGGTAATATGGGTTCAATCTACTCAGAGAACGTCAGTCCCCTCAAGATTACAGATATGTCATACTGACAAGTTCTACATATTATAAGAAGTTGGATAATCATAGAGCTTACCGATCAGCTCCTACCAGTTGACATAAATATCGTATTAATTAGGAGAGTTGTGTAATAATTCTACAAGTTTTTACGGGAACTATTCACTTGCGAACAGATCACTTAAGCGTAACCTACCTAGAATAACTACTTACTTATTGTTCAACTCATTACATTTCAATATGACATCATCATATAATTACATAAAAAAACTAGTGACATCTTTTTTCATCATTAGGTAACTGTGTTGAATAAGAGATATATTAATATGAAGAGCTAATCAGAAGTGGCCTAATGTGAAGCTCAACCGATGGCAATCAAAAGTGATTTGAAGAACAAGTGCATTACATTGCCACTGAAATGGACCAATGTCCTAAGGATTAGAGTAGTATATATATATATATATATATATATATATATATATATGAATGAGTACTTATACATTTTATTCGGTAGTCCAATACACTTTCTCGCTCAAGTAGTTAGTTGGCGGGGGGTAAGATAGCGCGTAGCACATCGTGTATCACTATCAAATTTCTGGCACCGCCCCTCACAACAAGTTGCTATTAAGAGGCAGGTTCACACCAATATATATAGTAACTAGTATCACGTTCACTAGTCAAAAGTGCACCCACTTATATAAATGCCTTGATGTTAGAGTTTTGTTTGGTTGATTTAAGGTGTTTGAAGATAATCAACTGATAGTCCTAGATCTAAGTTTCATACTTTCCAAAACTCATTATCTGACTTTTTGAGAGGAATGATATTCTTATAAGTTTCTATCCGACATCACAGAGTATTACAATAAAACAAGTTACAAATGTAGTATTCATTACACGACAGACCTCATGTAGAACTATCACATCCACACTAAGTGATAGAATTAGACCATGTCAACCAGTAATTCCAGCTTTTCCATGGTAGTCTAACTTCAATTTACTCATGATTTCAACTATTGAAATTACTATGATATCCACAAAAACTCCGTCTGATATCAATCACTAGTGACTGGATTCAAGAGATATTTTTTGGAGTTCTAATGAGAAGGAGTGACCAATGGAGTTCAACTTGGTCTGTTGTAAGATAGTAACTCCCTGAAGACAATGGTTGATGTATCGCTCAATTTCGTGGATTAATTGAAATTAGATATTAACACCGTTGGATGCCAACCTCGTCAGTGGTCACGAGCGAGACCGATTAGTCCTGGATTTGGATCTTGCGGTACGGTATTGTATATGCACACTACTGAGGAGTCCCACAATAGGATGAAAAGGCCGTCCAGTGTTTCCAGGTTTTCCATGGTAACCTATCTTTAATGGGCTCATGATCTAAATTATTGCAAAAAAAACATTTCAACTTCTTCTGTGTACTAGAAATCTTAACAATACTAACTAATCATACTGTTAGGTACTACAAAATAACAAGTTTATACAAGTTAACTCTGTTATAGACTCTAACAAATTATATATATTTTTTCTAAACATGCAAAAATTTATTGACGGCATGAAGTGAGGGGGGCGGTAGAGAGAAAAACAAAGAAAAAAAACAAGTGAATACATTTTTTTTTTCAATTTTTTCGTTTACTTGAATTCGATCGACTTTTTGAACTAGATTTTGAACTTCTTGATGATTTTATTCTTTCATTTTTTTTTACATTTTCAATTTGATTTAGAATTGGTTCTGTATTATTATTATTATTATTATTATTATTATTATGTTCAATGATTGTTTGATTACATAATGATGATAATGATGTTTCTTTATCATTATTATATTGTTTTATTATATCATTTCTTAAATTCATACACATTTCATAATATTTATAATGTGCTTCATCAGTTAAAAACTATTGATCAAGAAAAAGAAAAAAAGAAAAGAAAACAATGAAAATAACACAATTTTAAGTATATATTATTAAACAATAAATATTCAAATTAAATGATGAGAGGGTAAGCCAATCAGACGAGGGTTTGAGGGATCTCAAGGTCATAGAGTCCATTTCAGTACCTGATACCTACGGATACCTTGAATAGATTTGGATATGTATATCATGATGTTATCAACAAGCGCTATTTCATGAACCCTACAATAGGAGTGCACATTAACAATATTTAAGCTATTTGATTGAAGCTAAAAGAGTTTTTACAACCTTATCATTGCTCATGAGGTTGACTATTATGAAGCCATATAGATGAATTCCTCTATTGTATGCATTTAGATTTTAGTACCTCTGATTCTTTTTCAAACCATGATAAGTTTTTATGAACCATGTAAAAGAAGTATATTCACTTTAATTCTTTGGTTTTATATAATATATTTTTACTTTATACTAACTGTCTTCTGATTGGCTAATATTTATCAAGTTCACTTAAGATCCATTCCAAGGTCGTACATAGAATCTCACCAATCAGAGATATGATCAAAATAAAAAAAGTTAATAATAATAAGTTTAAGATCTACTAGAAACTAATCAACATCAAGATCTACATGAATAAACTTTGAGTTATATGTGTGCTAGGTTTGAAGCGGTTACGAAACAAAGACTCGGCGATCAAAGATCAATAAGCTAGTGTTAGGATTCGAAACTTAGCGAGTTCACTTAAATTGCGAACGAGAACGAGGTTCGGTGACCACCGACCAGTGAGCTAACTAATGACGCGTCCCAGCCCCAACTATCTAGAGGGAGAAGTCCAGGCTTGAAATGAGAAGTATATTCTCCAACAACCAGAAACGAGCGATTCCACCAAAACAATTTAAAATGTATATATATACAAATATATATAATCGATATTGCCATTTAAATTTTTAAACATTCATCAATAAGTTCGTCAATTGATTGCTATTCAAATATTTAAACATTTAATCGATAAGTCAATCGATAAAATTACAAATGTGAGTTTTTGGGAGATTAATCATCGATGTATCCCAGCCCCGCTAACTAGAGGAAGAAGTCCAAGCTTGGAATGGTGAAGTATATTCCGCAAAAGACAGAAAACGAGCGATAACAGATACAAATCAAAACGTATATATATATATATATATATATATATATATATATATATATACAGCACAAAACCGTCCTTGGGGAGAGTTACAAAATAGCATACTAAAAGACACAACGGACCAATAACATTTAAAATTCCGCCAAGTGGGAAATACAACCTGAAGGTGAAAAGAGAGCTTTTGGTGCGAAAACAAAGAAATCCAAATTTTGGGGATCTAACGTCCCCAACAATATGGAGAAATGTGAACATTTCATTGCTATCTGAAATTTGTACTGATGATAACGTTCAGAAGAACGATGAGAGTTTCATAATCAAATAATCCAGTTTAGAGAAGAAAACTTCATCCAGAATATTTAAGAAAACAAAAACTGACGAGATTATAATTTATGGATGAACTAATCAGATTTAAGAATAGAAGATCTTGGATTCATTCATTTATTTGGCTGAATACCATTTTGGTATTATAGCTGATGTCAGTTCATGATGAAAATATTAAATTTAGTTCCTTAGCCTAACGTTCAACTGTAAATCCTAATCCTAATTTCTTATATTAATTTACAACCATCATTTAACCTTAGTAAATAGGTGAACATTCTCAAGGTCATTTTAGCGTCTATTAAAGGTTATCCATAAATTATAGTCTCCCCACTGACTTCAGTAGTATATTCAGGTTATTCTGTATTGATAAATGATCTTAATATTTTTTTAAAATTGTCAGGCATTTTGTTTTTCCCTATGTGTTTAACTGTAGCATTGCCCCTGAATGCCCTGGTAGGGCCGAGGGTGGTAAGAGTTAGCTCTCCCATTCGAAATGCTCTCACATGTTTAGGTATACACTGCCACTGTCAGGAAAGTCCTACCCACTGCCTTCTCAAGGAATTACTGTTGTTTACGAAATCAAGAGGATGAAAAGCTCATGTCCGACGCTTTAACCGGGTTAGGGGACACGAGAGGTTCACCTAGGTTAGTTAGAAAAATCTCATTCCAAACCAATGGTGTACATGGATTCCAGGATCTTGAAGGAACAAATGGCATATGAACCAATTGTCGGTCACTGGCTACCATGGAAATGCATCTTCTTACGTTGATCCACTGTCTTGTGGATCAGACCTTTAGCTCAAAGGCTAGGAATGTGGCCCCCTAATAAAACTTCGCTCTGGGTACCCGGGCAGTATCACAGCCCACGCAAACAAATCAAGTGACTTGTATGGCGCTTATGTATTCGGTTCCCCTTTGTACTAATATTTATGTGTTCAAATAAATAAAATAAATATAAATAACTTTAGCATTGCTTCAAAAATAGCTAAAAACGTTCATTCAAATGTTGAAATAGGTTAACATAAAGGCTTATAATGAACTACGAATTTAACTAAAATATCTGATTCAGTATTTGCTTGGATATTTTGTGGTTTCTGAGCTGATTAGTCAAGCTTTGATTGTTCGTCAGAACAATAAAAAGAAACTATCTATTACATAATATTTGTAAGTATATGTGTTTTCTCATCAGCATTTATGTTAAGGATCAAACTGACCAATCTATTTTAAAATATGTACATCTTCAGAGAACTTCTTATATAGTTCTATTTAGTCACAGCATTTAAATAAAGTTGTATAATAGTTAGCAACAGGACCTTGAAAGTGAATTTTGTCCTATTCAGAACTCCTAGGTTAAGTGTACTTGTTTTAGGTGTTAATGTTCACACTAAAACTGTCAACTAGTACCTTTTCAAAGGTACCTAACGGTTGATATACATGTGATCGTTTGTTTAGTTATCGGATTGACACAATACACACACACACAAAACAGTTTAACTTCAAAAGATAGTTTATTTGTCAGAAGTAAATACTACCCAGCGAGCTGTCAAAAATTATATAATACTGAATAACTATTCTATTCTCGGACAGTATCATTCAACTCACAATCAAGCTTATAACATTTAGTTCACATAATAAGATAACTTTTGACCATTGAATCCACTTTGAATAGTACACATTTCCAAATTTAGTCAATTTTCATTACGATGCAACTAACTTTAGTGGTTCAGGATCTGACTCCAGTTGGATCGTATGAGTGTGTAATGGCTGGTCCTATGTCGAGCCCACATACCTTATTTTAGTATCTGGACAGTCCAATTTAACTGTTCTTCTTGAGTCACGTTTCAAACTTGTTAATTATTCACTTATCAATCTTGACTTTTTATATGAGCGTATGTGTGCATTGACTGTAGCTTATTTTTTGTGACTATAAATATCGATTAACGCTTGGTTAAATAGAATTGGCTTACGTGTTTTCTCCAATGTTCGTCATTTCGGTTCATCCCTGTGATTGCCTACCCAGATCAGTGAGTGTACAAAATATATGTATTCGAAATGCATTTTCGTATTTGACTAATATAATTCTGTTATTCACTAACTTAAATTAAGTTCATAATTATACACGACGATTGCTAACATGTATAATTCAATAGTAATCAATCATACGTTCCAACTGTAGTCAGATCCCGGGTCACTAAAAAATGTTATCGAAATATATATATCCTAGCTATCCTCGTATATAATAATTCATGTTAGTGTATAATGGAATTAAAATAAATCCAATATGAGAAAGGAATTCCAATACGTATATTTTGTACATTCATTGATCTAGGCAGGCAATCAGAGGGATGATGATTATTGTGATGAGTAGGATAGGCAATGCACACACACACATACATACACTCATATAAAAACAGTCAAGATTGTTAAATGAACAAGATGAACAAGATCAAGATGTGATTTGTCTATTCAAAAGACAGAATAAGTTTTGTAAGATTATAACATAGTGTAACCAACATTATATATCTCCTGGTGTTATTGATAAGTATATAATGGTTTACGGTGGCGCAACTTCGTGGATTGGTTAAAGTTAGATATTAACACCGTTGGATGCCGACCAACTCAGTAGTCTAGTTGGTTAATCGCCTGTCGCAAGACTGATAAGTGCTGGGTTCAAATCTTGCGGGGAGCGGGATCGTGGGTACGCACTGCTGAAGAGTTTCATACTAAGATGAATCGACCGTCCAATGCTTCCAGGTTTTCTATGATGGTTTAACTAACTTCAATTGACTCATGATTTCAACCAGTGATATATTATAAATTAATTTTAATTATCTATTATAAATAATAATTTTTTATATTACTTACTTGAATAGTTTTTAATAAATCAATATAATTATGTTTATATTGATTAGATTTTATTTTGAAATTTAAATATTTAAATTTTAAATTTTTTAAATAATCAATAAATATTTGATGTTTTATATTTAAAATTTCATTAAAATTTTTTTTATGTAATAATAATAATGATTGAATATGTTTTAAATAATATTCTATAATAAACCATTGATTTATTGAATAAGAATTCATTATTGATTGAACTTCTTTAATTCGATTTAATTCAATATCTATTGAATTATGATAAAATTGATTAAAATTCATTAATTTCATTTGACTAATTGTACGATTTAATTCTTGTGGAAATTTTAAAAGATAAATTTTTGATGGATCTGATAATGTTTGATCTATAATAGATGAATGATCTTGAATAGTTTGTATTGGATTATCTAAAGACAAAAAAGATAAATAGAGAAAGAGAAGAAATTTTGTTAAAATAAAAAAGGAAATTCATGTATCATTAACAATAGTAATAATAATAATAATAATAAGTGATGATGAATAAAGGGCTAGTAGTGAAATTCAGATTGATGCATGTTTTGTCGTTTTGTAGGACTCATCAACAGTTCGTATCCATGATTTACTATTTTGTTTCATGTTAACTTCAGGTTATAGAACAAGTTAACCATGTATTGATAAATTATTATTTTCTTTGAAAAAAAGAGAATAGGAATTGTTGAGATAAAATTTACAGAATATTATTTCATTCATGTTATCATGCCACGGTTTTAACTACAGTTTATTTATTTATTTATTTATTTAAACATATAAATATTGGTACAAGTGGCACCAAATATATATGCGCCACACCATGTTTTTGTGTGTGGACTGAGATACTGCCCGGGTGCCCAAACCGAAACAGGTGGTTTTCTTAGGGGGCCACACCCCGAACCTTTGACCTAAAGGTCTAACCCATAAGGCAGTGGAGCATCGTGAGGAGATACAGTCCCATGGAAGCCAGTGACCAAGAAATTGGTTCACAAGCCATTTGTTCTTTCAGGATACAAGAGCCCATGTGCACCATTGATTTGGGATCCGGTTAAAGCGCCGGACATTCGTTTTTCGTCCTCTCATTTTCGTAAACAACAGTGATGCTACGAGAAGGTAGTGAGTAGGACTTCCCTGACAGAGGCTATATACGCGTGGCCGTGTGAGAGCATTTCGAGAGGAAGAGCGGATTCTCTCCACTCTCGGCCGTACCAGGGCATTTGGGGGCTGTAACTACAGTACAATGTAATAATTATTACATATAAAATATTTTCTTAATATAAAAAACTGATAAGAGCAGGGAGAAATGAAGGATTCAAGATTTAAAAGATAAGGGGTGAATAAATTTGCTCCATTAAGGTCCATTTTCATTTTAACAGTTCAGTAAATCATTATTTCAAACTTTTCACAAGTTTTCAAATAACTATTCATGACTTCCTTTGACCAACTCTATGTTTTAGGATGTTTATAGCTAACTTTCAATAAGACAAAACATTGTGATTGATTGATCACTGGGTGATGATCAATGTCATTTACGTCAAGTCCTTCTTAATGCAGATTGAATCCTATCGACCGATTTGCAATGTGGCCACCAGTCTAGGTGATTTAACATAGTATGCACTATACAACTTGGTCGATAAGATTCGATCTGCACTAAGAACGACCTGATATAAATGACATTGATCACTACCCAGTGATCAATCATTTGTAAATACATCTCATTCATACTGGAGGTCAATCGCGGCTCGGGTAGCTTATCGGTACCGTCTCTAACTGTGAAGCTGGATAGTAAGGGGTCGAATCCTCCAGGGAGTATCAGTCTACTCAAGATTACAGGTATACCTTGGTGACAAGTGTCAAGTAACACGAAACGTGGGCTCAGTGTTTTCTGTTGACTACTTACAACTACCTTCTCAATATAATATCATTTAAGCTCAGTATATAGACAGAAATTCGTAACACATATATTAGTAATTTCATTTGACAATGCTAGTAAAGTCCCCATTCGTTTTTAGATTGTTAATAACAGCTGACTGAATGTACTAGGAATTCCGATTTGACAATATTGACAGTTATCAGTCAGAACTCTTAATTAATCACATTTATAAACTTTATGAATTTCAAATGAACATATTCGAATTCTGTACAGTTTAAAATCCACAAGGGAAATCAGTGCCAACAAGATTACAAATATGCTTAGTTTATAAGTAATGGGTTGAAATGAAACTTAGGCTAAACAATACATACAACCAACAATTAAAAAAAGTTGATATATTCACAAAACTAACCATCAGATTTAATTGTAATCATAGATCCTGATTCATCTACAATAGGTTTATTATCCAATTTATTCATTAGACCATATTCTTCAAGATAACGTGCTCTTGATAATTCAGCTCTCATTGCTCTACCAGGTTCCATTTCTTCCCAAGCTCTTTTTAAAGCTTTGATTTCTGATATTTTATTATCCATATTCATGATTTTAATATCATTCTAATAAAATAATAAGAAAGTAGAAACATTCTATTAACATAAAACAATAGGCAAATCAACAGTATTCTATTCTTTCATTCAATTTCTATTCTTCACAATTAATTATAAATAGTATTGTTTACTTAATTACTCACGCCTGTAACTCCTTATGGAGGAATATAGGCCAACTACAAGTATTCTCTATCCAACCCTGTCCTGGGCAATCCTTTCCAGCTCTTTCCAGCTGTTATTAATATCTACTTCTATTTCCCGATGTAATGTATTCTTTGGTCTTCCACTTTTCCATTTCCATTCACGATTCCAAGTTAGGGCTTGACTCGTAATGCACTTTGATGGTTTCCTTAATATATGTCCTATCCATTTCTAACATCTTTTCCTTATTTCCTCTTCAGATGGAAGCTAGTTTGTCCTCTCTTACACTAGACTGTTGCTGATGGTATTTGGTCAATGGAAGTTGAGTATTTTGCGTAGACAACTGTTTACAAATACTTGTACCTTTTTGATGGTGGTTATAGCACCTGCGAAGATTCGGCTCTGTACAATAGAACTGTTTTGACATTCGTATTGAAGATTGTGACTTTGATGTTGGTTTGCACACAGTTTTTTTTGAGTTCCATATGTTCTTAAATTACAGGAATGCTTTCCTTGCTTTGCCAATTCTCACCTTTACATCTGCATCGGATCTTCCCTGTTCATCGATGATACTTCCTAGGTATGTGAAGGATTTCACATCTTCAAGAGTTTCGCCATCAAGTGTAGTATTGCTCTGAATAAAAAATCTAATGCATGGTCGTTGTAGATAATGGGAAAAGGTTTCAATTGCTATGGTGAAAGCAACAATGAACAATCAAAGTTAGATACAAACAACAAAGAAGAAACAACCCAGTTCAATATGACAAAGTGTATGACAGTTATATCAACCAATAAAACAAGAACTCATGATCTCAACTATTAAAATTACTATAATATACACAAAAATCCCTTATATGTTAATCAACATATGCTCACTAGTGACTGGTTTCAAGGGGTATTTCCTACAATTCTAGTGAGGAGTAGTGACCAGTGGAGTTCAATTAGGTCTGCTGTGAGACAATAATTCACTGAAGACAAAAGTGGATGTGTCGCTCAATTACGTGGATTAGTTGAGTTTAGACATTTACACCGTTAAACGTCGGCCGGCTTAGTGATCTAGAAGCTAAGCGTTCACACGCGAGACTGATATGTCCTGGGCTCGAATCTCGTGAGGCGAGATAGTGTATGAGCACTGCTGAAGAGTCCCATAATTAAATAAAACGGTCGTTCAGTGCTTCTAGGTTTTTCGTTGTGGTCTAACTTTGATCGACTTATGATCACAACTATTAAAATTATTATAATATCCCCTTCTGGTATTAAAACGAGAACTTGCTTTTTTTAACTGACTAGTTAGATAAAACACACAGTAATAATGAAAAGAAATAATAACAACTACTCATAAGCAATGATGTATAGCGGCTAATATTGGAATCCAGGACTCGCGTTTCGTCCTATTTGGGACTCGTCAGTTGAATGTACCTGCATCTCAGAGTTGATGTTCACAGTATGCACATATGCCAATAACAGACTGATCAATTGCAGTCTTAAACCTCAATGGGAAGATACAAGTCAAACAATACCAAGTGAACTACTGATAAGTAATCTAATTTCATTGATATCAAATTTTCTAAACTGCACTCAACTATTGTGAAAATATCCCTTTAAATATTCATTGTAAACATGACAGGTTAGAACTAAAAAAATATTTTCTTGAAAAGTCTATTAACATCCTTAGCTACAATACGATCGATATTTATAAATCAATAGTTGAATTCATAAGTCGATTAAAACTAGATTATCATAGAAAACCTAAAAGCACTGAATGGTTGTTTCGTCCTAGTATAGGACTCCTCAGTAACTCACTAAAGATAATCGTATACAGTAGGGCAATTTTGTGAATTGATTAACATTAGACATTTTTAACGTTCTACTAATCACTATGCATCTATTTAAATGGAATAAATTGATTATCATTAGAAAAATTGTCATAAATAAATATCAAAGTAGTTCTATTTAAGAAATATACGATTTCTAAGAATAAATCTTACAGAATTATTACATATTATTCTCATTTTCCAATGAGCTTGATTAAAATCAATTTTAGCTGAAGTACCACGTGTAGAACCAGATTTTTGACCAGTTAAACCAATTGTTTTGTTACCAGGTGATCTTGTTGCTGATTTAATAGTTCTACTATCGGAACTTTTATCAGCTGAAGTATTTCGAGAAGTTGTATTATTTACTGAAAAAGTAAATCAATAATATAACGATGATTAGGAAATATATTTAATATTGACAAACAATATTCTAACATTGTTTTACTTTCTTATAATGAAGTGATCTTTAAGTGGTTAAACTACTTATATTTCTACTATGTTATGTCCCGACAAGAATAATGAATGGTAACTATTGAGATCCATTTATAGACCAATACTATGCGTATACATTTTTATCGTATAGTTGTTAATTAACTCAACTATTCATATTCATATTCCTCTTATTATAAGCTTTATTTTGACCTATGAAGTATTATTATACGCTTTGTCATTCTTGAATTATGCCCTGTCTATTAGTCACTGCCTCTCACATTCACAGTCACATTTGGCTACATCTTGTACAAATGTTATTTTCTATTTTATGGTACGTTGTGATCTGTTTGATTGGTATATAAACCGAGTATGTTTGAAATACATGATTCATATCACAGAGGCTCGGATTGGTGTTCTGGATTTAACTGGTTGGGCTAGGCGGGAAACGAGACCAATCAGGACTCTAGGCTGCTCGTACAGGTTTTACGCGTCATTGATTCGATTGACAGTGCACTGTCCTCTAATCGGCGGTCCAACATATAACATACTAATAAGTTAAGGTACATTTTCTAAACAATTGACCAGTCTACGATATGAAACCAAAAAGCAAATACTTTTGGGAATGTTGAATTCCTACAATAATTCACACAAATCTATCGTATATATACGTGTCAGGGCTGACCAAAACAGAGGTGTGCAAGGAATTGTTTTGGTCAGATGAATAATGCATTGATACACAGGAGTCTATTCACACATCTATCCACTGCTTGCTATAATATATTTCAACAGCCAAGTATATTGAAACCCTTCTTCACCTTCTTCATTTTAGAAAGCTAGGTTGTTTCATTAGCATGCGCAGTGTGATTAATTATTTAATAAATGAATTATCTAAACATGGAAAGGCTTTTTTTAAAGTTAGATTATGTAATTATAAGCATTTTTTTAGACAAACACGTCTATAACTCTGGACATTCTTACTTCTTCATTCAATTTCAAAGTCGAATTAGGCAACATGATATTAGTTGATTTACAACTTATCAATTTTCAACAATTTTGATTTTTCTGAGCTTGATGTTTAGATCATGAAGCTTTCATTGACTTTACAAATAACCATAAACTTGGGAAATTAATTACATAATCTGGTTTATAGAATGCGATACCACTGAAACATTTTCTGTCTCACAGATCTTCAAAATACCAAGTCAGTTTATCAACCTATTGTGTTTCAATATAATGTCATGTTAAATGACTATATTATATGTTTTTAAACAGCCGGTTAACCCAACTATTCAGTGAGAGAAAACAGAGACTGACTAGAATGCTGTATCTTCATCTGGTCCACAATGTGGACATGGGTTCAAATCCCACCTCCGACACATACTTAGGCCCCAAAATGCCCTGGTACGGCCCAGAGTGAGAAGAGTCAGCTCTCACACTCGAAATGCTCTCAAGCGGACACGAACATACAACAACTTTCAGGGAAGTCCTACTCACTACCTTCTCAAAGAATTACTGTTGTTGACGAAATTAAGAGAATGAAAAGCTCATGTCCGTCGCTTTAACCGGGTTAGTGGATACGAGAGGTTCACCTAGGGTAGTTGGAATACCCTGATTTCAAACCAATGGTACACACGTGCTCCACTATCCCGAAGGAACAAATGGCGTATGAACCGATTATTGGTCACCGGCTACCATGGGAATACATGTCCTCACGTCGCTCCACGGCCATATGGATCAGACCTTTAGGTCAAAGTCCCCGGGCACCCGGGAAGTATCCCAGCACTCACACAAATCAAATGATTTATGTGGCGCATATCTGTTTGGTGCCTCCTTGTACCAATATCTATGTGTTTAAATAAACAAATAAGCTGTATCATCAAATTCCAACTTTACCTATTTAGAGGTACCCAGATTGATACAGACAGGGATATGTGTACAGTTACCGTGGCCACATGAATAACTTACTTGTTTACTAAAACTTCCCTATACTCATATCTGACTGATCATCTGCATATCGCTTCATAAAAGCTGAGATTCAGAGAATAAGTTGTACAACACAGATAACTAAGCTAACTAAGCTTTTCACAAGCATATGTTAGTTCGAACATAACCAGTTACATTTGTAATGAGTAATAGATGAAAAAATAGTAGAATTTCAGTTGTCATATAAAGTCATACAATTTGAAAGATTTCAGACTAATTATTAGAACCTAAGACTATTAAATCATTTTTGATATTAGAAGGTTGGGTGAAATCTAAAGGAATCCCTATACTTCATCTACATTTCATACTAGATGAAATGTATCAGCAAGGCATGTATCTACACGTTTGAAGAAATAGATATTCACTTTGGGACTCAAACCTGAACTAACTAGTATCACAGTCAAAAAAGTTTCCACTATTGAAAAACGTATAAATCAAATCATTAATAAAGAAGCTAGAAAAAACATGACATTCTCATTGATCAGTCATTGTGTATATTCTGGTTATACAGAAAATCAATCACGACTCAAATAGCCACATTAGTAATATCTCTATGACATTCAGTGACATAAGTTCAAGTCCAGTAAAAAATATGGGATTCTTAGAGATTGTGAGTACGTATTGATGAAGGATATTAAATAACACTGGAAATTATATCTAGTGCCTATTCTCGATAACATTCTACGACCTAACACTATAAAAATAGGGTACTTAATCTCAAGTCACCCATAATGACGGTCAAATTGTAACTTAATCGTAACTAAAATCTAGACAAGAATGAGGTTGATCAATCAGTATCATAGGTATCTTCGAGGCATTGGTCGTATATTCCACGACCACTGAGAAAGTAATACAGTTGTTAGGAAGCGAGTACTAGGTAACAATGGCAAATCAATTGTTGAAGTAGTGAATCTTCATCACTTGAGATGGCTGGGACATGTGTTACGTATACAAAACCTCCGACCGCCTCGATGTGTGATGTTTTATGGTGTAGGAGTAGGTTGGAAAAAAACTAGAGGTGGCCAAACCAAAACATGCCACAAATCCATGAAATCACTGACAAATGGACAGAGTGAGCCATGTTATTAGGTGTAGACTACCTGATTGAGATCTGCGAGGTGATAACAACAGATGGTTAGAGATCTTGAATGACAGCACTCAAAACCGTTTGCAACGGTGTGCACAGGTGCATCCACCCATTATGTTCTCCCAAATTCTAATCTTCTGAATTCTCCATGACCGCTTTTCTCTTCTTCTCTTTGCAAATCTATTTCACTGTATTATACTCATTGAATAACATCTTCAAACCTTAGTGTTTCCGATTACTTCTTATACTCTTTCTACCTCTACCATTATGGGATTTGAATGGACAATTATATCTGTGTGTTAATGTGATATGGCAAATCGACAATTGTATCTCTATGGTAATGTGATATGGCAACTTGAACTGATGTACGTACTTACGTATAAAGTTCTACGTTGTTGCTGACTGACTGACTGACTGATCAATCAGTGTAAAATAGCCTTGATCAAACGATGGACAATTTTTTTACAGAACGTTCTTAAATTATCCGCTTAAATATCAGATAAACAAGGATAGAAAGAACAAATAAAGTAATAAATAATTAACCTTGACATTCTTCAAGTCTGTTACAACGTTGTTCTTCTAAAAATGCCCAATTACTTATACTCAATGGCCAATTTTTACCATCTACATAAGCTTCAATCCAATAATATCGTTCTTCTTCTTTTTCTTCTTCTAGTTGTTGACTATCCAATCTATGTGAATGTGGTGAACTGGAATTGGATTGATTTGATCGCTCTATATTAGCACTATTATTACTACTAGAACCTCGACCACTTCCTGTTGTACTACCACCAGTTGAACTTCCAGAACTACTCTAAATTATGAATTGATTTGTATAGAAGAAACATTGTTGTTAATTATTTAAAAGAAGTAGAATACTAAATCAAATAAAGTTATCGAATATATTAGAAGTTATTTTGATTATTTAATTAATGGCGACCTATTTAAACGTTTAACTCTGCCTGGATCCCCTCTGGGGCCGCTGCCGGTCCCAAGCCCGGATGAAAGAGGGTTGGGCATGAAATTAGCGACCTCATCCCGTCGAAAACTAACTCGCTAAAAAACGCTAACCAGAAAAAAATTAATTCAAACCATTTAAACTCTACCCTGGAAGTTAGAAGGTCTTTATTTAGAGTTTTTAGTTTATGCTCAATTGTACAATATCTTTTTAGATAAGTATTTTGTTTTATATTAGTTTGAAATGAATAATTATGATACTCAAGTGTATGCGCCTACTCAGTATTATGAAAGAATTGAAACCGATCATGACGTTAAATTACCGAGGAAGGTACCGGGTTTGATTACAAATATGAACATAGACACTCAGATACAGGCGAATCCAGCTGACGAATCTCAAACAGGATGAAACTCGCTTCATGTATTTTACTATTATACATAAATATATTTATTATGTAGTGTTGTTATTATTTCGATACAACACCGTAATTACTAAGATGACCGTACTGATCATTTTTCTCAATAAATGTTTGAAGTGGTCGGAGGTGATTGACTGGAAACTTTAGACCTAGGTTTCGTGCTATTTGTGTCGTTAATACCTGTAACTCGTACTAAACTGGTGTCCGTTGGTGAACTCAATCTCACGTCATATAACCTTACGATCTGAGACGTTACTACTAAACTGTTTATACTTCTCATTCTAGTAGAACTTATTATTCCGACGGGATTAGAACCTAAATCAAAATTCACTGAAATAGGAGACTCAAACTATTTTGTCGTAGTTTGTGACTAATCAGCTGTGTACAGACACAACCTTAAACTGTGTCGATGCCAGAATTTTGACGTTTGGCAGCTAGTATAATAATGCCAAGTCAATGAATGCACTGATCCAAATTCCCAACTACAATTAATGTATGATATAGTATGATCCCTAACCAATGTCACTGGTGAGCTTAAACTTAGCACCGTTCGCTTCAAACATCAATGTGTTAACCCGGAGTGAACATCAACTTTGAGATGTAGGTACATTCAGCTGACGAGTCCCAAATAGAACGAAATGAATGTCCTGGATTCCACTGCTAACTACCATACATCTATGCTTATCAATTAGTTAGTTTATGGAACCTCTAAAAACCTTGGTTATAAGTTTTCATTTACTTAATCACTAGTTACTTTATTGTTTAGTATTTATAAATTACAGCGGATTAACAGTAGATACGTTACCCAGCTTTATGTCCATAACTATGTTGCTACTTCCTTATTTGAATTTATTATTTGCAGTGAATTATTTTTGTCTGGTTCGCTTTTTTTTAGCGAAAGAAGTGCTGGAAGTGGACAGGACACAAATTGAGATCATGAACCGATTGATGTTAGACCACCATCAAAAACCTGGAAGCACTGAACGGCCGTTTCGTCCTATTGATAGACTCCTCAGCGGTGCGCAACCACGACCCCACCTCGCAGGATTCGAACCCAGGTCTAGCTTCAATTGACTCATTATCTCAACTACCTAAATTACTACAATCTCTACAAAACCCCTTCTGATAAAAAAAAACTATCTTTGCAATCATTCATCAGATCTTCTAATGCTTTGTTTCTTGTAGGATATGAAACATTTGAATAGTCTATGAAATTAGTAACCATGATGAATACAATTACATAACTAATGAATTAACTTCGTGTTATTAACATAATCAAATACACATAAAGTACTTAATAATTTTCATTGATAGAATTTAATCAACTTACTCCTGGTTTCGTATTTTTCTTAACTGATGTAGATCTTCTTGGAGATGCTTTAGTAGTGTTCAATTTATTCAATATAACTTTTGAATTAGTTACATCTTTGATACTTAATTTGATATTATCACTTTTATTAACTTCTAATAGACGTCCTGAATTAAGTGTTTGATTTTTTTTCTCTTCTATTATTGTATCAGCTAATATAATATAAGCAAAAATACATGCTCCACCATAACCTTCAGCAAAGATCATTTCTTTATTACCCATTTTAATACATAAATGTATAAAAACATTTGGTACAGATAATCGTAAATGAACAGTTATTAAACTATCATTAGTAGCCTATTAGTAAATGAGAAAAAAAAAAAAGAAAAAAATATATAAATTGTTAGAAGTTTTAGAGAAACAAAAATAAGACCCTTTTATTTTAATCAACAAATAAGTGGTTGTTTTCTTTCAGGTTTTCCATGGTGATCTAGATTTAATTGACTCATGATGAAATTAATCAACTATCATGGAAAACCTGAAAGCACTAGACAACTATTTCATCTTTTTGTGGGACTTCTCAGTGGAGCGCATCCACGACCTGGCCTTGCGGGATTCGAACCCTTCTTATACTATAGAACATATGGTTACTAGTAACTGGCGTCAACAGGTATTTCCTAGAGTTCTAGTGAGAAGTAGTGACCAGTAAAGTTCAATCAGGTTTGCTGTGAAATAGTAACTCATTGAAGACAATAGTGGACGGTGGCGTGATTTCGTGAATTGGTTGAAGTTAGACACTAACACCATTGAGTGCCGGTCGGCTCAGTGGTCTAGTGATTAAGCGTTCCCACGTGAGACTGATAGATCCTGTGCTTCAATCCTGCGGGCGGGATGGTGAATGCTCATTTCTGAGGAGTCCCATACTAAGACGAAACGGCTGTCCAGTGTTTCCAGGTTTTCCATGGTGGACTCATGAATTCAATTTTAATTTTATTTAGCTCATTCGATAACTGTCAAAATAATTAACTTTATTTATAGGTTGTTATCAGATAGAGCACCATTAAAATCTACATAGCACTTGACAAATCGTTTCTTCATAACTTACTTCTCCACAGAAGTGAACAATGACGCTACATGACATTGATAATAGGAACTTCAAATTAAATAAACTGGAATATGTACCCTATCATAACAATCATCATATGTTTACTAGTAATTCCTGAAATTCAAATAAGAAACTATAAGCTATAGAATTCAGTTGTGTTAAACATAAGACAAATGTCACTAGTAGCAATGGATGATAATCGTACAATATCATGAATTGATTGAATTTAGAAATATAAATCTTTGAATTCAAACTTAGTGGTCTAAAGGTTCAGGATCTCCTATATTCAATCCAAAGGCAGGGTTATGAACATACTCTGTTAATAAGTCATATACTAAGATGAAATAGTTGTGTCATGAATTGACTGAAGTTAAAACCAAGTCTCATAGTCTAAAGGTTCAGGATCTCCTATGTTCAATCCAAAGGCAGGGTTATGAACATGCTCTGTTGATAAGTAAGATACTATGATGAAATAGTTGTTCAGGATTACCTAGTTTTAGAATGATACCCTAGCAACAAATATTTAATAAAGTAGTTACTATATAAATAATATAAACTTACTATAATTCTACGTCGAAATAGTAGATCTTTTGAATTTGGTTCATAATAATCTTCTAATTCAATAGAATGAAAATTTGAACATAAATTTAATGTTGTATTTAATGGTTTAGGAAGATTTTCATTACCTATTATACCTGGTCCTAATAATTGTAAATTCCATTTACCACTTGGAATAGGTGTTATATTATTAGTTACTATACCTAATAAACTATATCCATGATTATTTTCTTTAAGATTTAACCAACTATAAGGATATTCAATTGATGGATGAATGATTTCACCTATAAAAAGAAAGCACACATATAGAAAAATAAGTTTTAAAGTAATTACAGTAATATAATGGATAGTTTATGATGTATTTTTTGTTGTTCTTAGATGTACTTTATATGACTAGTCACCTTATATCACATGCAGGATTTACGATTCAGAATAAAGAACAAAATTCAGTCAGTCAGTCAGTCAGTTAGTCAGCAACAACGTAGAACTTCGCACATACTTACGTACGTACATCAGTTCAAGTTGCCATATCACATTACCATAGAGATACAATTGTCCATTCAAATCCCATAATGGTAGAGGTAGTAAAATTATAAGTAGTAATCGGAAAGATTAAGGTTTGAAGATATTATTTAAGGAGCATAATTCAGTCAAATGAATTGGGAAAGAAAAAAAGGGTCATGAAGAATTCAGAAAGATTATAATTTGAGAGAACACAAAGAGTGGATACATCTGAGCACAACATTACAAACGACTTTGAGTGATGTGATTCAATATTTCTAACCATCTATCGTTATCGTCTTGCAAATCCCAACCTGGTGGTCTACACCTACCAAAATGTCTCAGTCCACTTGTCAGTGTTTTCATGGATTTGTGGCATGTTTTGGTTTGGCCACCTCTAGTTTTCTTCCAACCTACTCATACACCATAAAACATTACATGTCGGGGCAGTCGGTGGTTGGGTATACGTAATACATGTCCCAGACATCTCAACTGATGAAGATTCACTACTTCAACAATTGATTTGCCATCCTTACCTAGTACTCGTTTCTTAACAACTACATTACTTACTCGGTGGTCTCAGAATATACGAGCAATGCTTCGAAGTCACTTATGATCGAACACTATTAACCTACAAATATCCTCTACTCTTACCGGCCATGTTTCTTAATGAAGTTACAAGTGATCGCTTTCGATGAGTCCGGTGTGGAAATCAAGGAGAGGAAAGGAAATCACATATTTCATAGTTCATAGGCCAAGTGCTTGTTTATTCATGCTCAATGAATAATCATATTTTACTTTCATAACCACAGATCAATATCACTGATTGGTATGAGATAAAAAGCTTTAGAAAACTACACAACTTTATGTATTACATTTATTTCATCATTTTGAGTAATACATAATCATAGTTCAATTCGTTTCCCAACACATGATCAACAGTGAACATGATAGTATTAAACTACCGATTCAGATTCTAACAGTTCATATTTCTGATTTCACTCAATTGAGAATGTCCATTTATTGGTATTATGTTCAAGAGATTAAGATATCACCTAGGATCGGCAAATGGAACGAAAGTCAGCAACATAACAACAGGACAAGCTAAGCTATTCAAGCGTACCCCATCCCTGCTAAACAAAGGGAGAAGGGCAGATTCAGTCGAAAAAATATATATACCACAAGCAGCCCGAAAGAACGAATGATAAGCACACAACTCATGCGTATATATACAATTTACTTGAAAAGTCTTTAAGAACTAACATAAATACAGAAATTACTTCGAATAATCAAAGATTTTTTAGAAACATCTAAGAGAATTCAGAGAAATATTTTATTTTTCCATTATCTTGAGTGGGAAATTACCGATTTTAGCATGTTTTCCAGAATCTCACATCTAATTACATTAATATCCTTGTGCTGTGTTCACTACGTCGTCAAGTAGGGATAAGATTGAATGCCTCACAGTGTGAAGGCTGCTCGAACACTTACGTCTCCTCGACTCTGTACATAAACTAAGCTTCAAAGTCAAACTTCTTTTATATTTACTACTCATTCTTCGTTCAAGAGTAGAAGACTTTTGGGGACTAGGAAATCATAAGAAAGTTTGTGTGAAATCGCTCGAATATAAGATATATCAAAATTACTAAAAACTAGATAAGGCTAGGTGGCTTGATAGTCCTGAATATGAATAAAACTATTTACTTGTGTCCCTTAGTTTTCAGTGATCTTTTAATCTATTGGTTGTCAGTGTCAAATCCTATCTCCAATTAAAATTGACTTCTTAAATTTATCCAATAGACTAGTTGTTTCTTATAGAGTAGCTGACTGTAGGATGCTTGACCTATATTTTATTCAGACTTTGATCTGTTAACAGGTTACAAATGGATTTGTATCGGTGTCCAGTCATAGAGTTCAACTGAACACTTATTACTCTAAAATCTAGAATATCATTTATCAAACTACTAAAAAGATACTTCTAATTTTGTAAAAACATGTTATTACTTTAATTTGTAACTTAGGATACTGTGAGGATGATCTACGGATGAACTCGAGGAAGCTATGAGAAGCTCAGATAGAGTCGAAGATATCCCATCCAATCAGCTTTTGAGAGAATATTCCAGAATCCCTACGTGTAGCTTCCCTATCGGACATATGCTAATAACCCTTTGTGTGCGAATTAGATAACTATAATGATGATTTCGTTTTTACTGTAAACTATAAATACTCGCCAGTTTTGTACCATAATTGACACCGTTTGGAATAACATTCCTTTCACTTGTCTTCTGTCATCTTATATGAGACTTGGAAGGGTTCCCGCGTCCGAATGCTCAATTTATACGCAGTATATGAAGAATCTAAGCTTTAGATATGACAGATATCTATCATTTTGAATAGATATATTAAGGATTAATGAACTTCATTTCATCAGTGTGCTATGATAGGATCTTATCAAATTAATCAAATTATCAGATTTCAATTTACAATTAGAAAATTTGAAGTATATTTTTCCTGTTATGTTGTGTTACATCCAAATCATAACGATTGACTAACCATATATGTAGAGATTAAAAACCAAGACTACGTGAGGTAACTTTATTACCAAAAGAAGGGTGATAATGTCAACAACTCATCAACATCATCGAATGTTATCAGACTAATAGAAACATATGAATATTGACTATGACTTATTCATAACATATAATACATAATTCATTTGATATAGATTGTTTGTAGGACAGTTTAATAAAACAATTTTTACATGATCCTTTTAGTTACAGTAAAATCTCAACTAAACCATATCAGTAAGAACATATTCAAACTAAACATTCTTATATTGTACGAACTACTTAAATAAATCCGGTATTTAATTAACCAATGAAATTATTTACATAAGATAATTAGGCAAGACTATGATTTATGGACGATCTCTGAACAAATAAGTGACTTAGTAGACATTCAACACTGGTTCTAATCTTATTATTTTTAAATGACACTATTAGCTCAAAACCTTTAGCCAAACATTCTGGTTATTTCTTGGAAACATCTACACTAGATGTTTATCCCACCTCATTGATAATCAATGTAAGTAGTTTCATATTTGTTCTTCTACTATCAAAAATATTTTTTCTCTATAGTTTACTTCGTTATTTTCCATTATGATACGATGTTTAAAAGGGTCTGGTATCAGTTCCGTCCGATCTTATTGTATTAAGAGTTCAGTTTGTTTTGTTTCAGGTTTTACAGTATTCATTATCATAACAATTTACTAGCTCGCTATGATAACCATATTCCTGAAGACATTTTCGTGAGACTACAATTTATTGACGATCTTTGAACGAATGTTAAGTGAATTAGAGAAATATTAACTAATCAAGAAACAGCTAGTATAGAGTAAAAATATGTTATACAAAACTAAAGAATTAAAGTAGATTCACTTCTTTAACATGGTTCAAAACCTTATCAAGGTTAAAAAGAGGTTCAGATGTTCTAAAATCGTAATGCATACAGTAGAGGAAATAATTCATATGGCTACAGAATAGTTGGCATCTGGAGACATGATAAAGTCGCAAAAACTCTTTCAGTCTCGACCATATAGCTTTAATATTGTTTATATGCACTCTGGATGTTGAGTACACAAAATACCACTTGTGGATAACGACACGATGCTTATAACTAAGCCTATGTATGAGTCTGTACGCTCTCTAATGCTCCGTATATATTGTAGTACCTGACTGCAGCCAGTGTTACTGGTACTTTTATAATCCAGTTCACAATAATTATCATAATTTACCTTAGTTAGGAATTATATATAAGGTTTTCATCACGTACTGACAGAAGCTATAATGCCGGAAATCTATTTAACCAAATGAATGAAAATCTTTAGCGCCAGAATCCGAGATCTGTTAACTTATACCTGATTGGTTCGTTCACAAATTATAGTCTCACCATTTTATTTATCTGAACCGATCGTACGTTAGCATCAGGTACTGAAATTAACACCGTAAACTTAAAATCCCTATAAAAAAACACATCTGATTGGCTTATCCATAATTTATAATCTCGCCGATAATTATATACTACTTATAAGTAGTTATTATTATCTTTCTATACTTACCATTATCGTTATTGATCAATAGGATAGAACTATCTGGTATAGTCGTTTTTAAACGAAATGAATATTGAATTTCTTCTTCATTTATGATTTCATTTTTTAATAATTTTGATAAATAAATACAATCACGAAATAATAAATGAATCCAATCTTTATATAATGAATTATGTAATTGATTAATATTATGTAATTCTGGCCCGGTATTATGCATTGGACAAGGTGATGGGATATCAGAATAAGTACCAGAATATTCTTTAATACTTAAATAAGAATTCATATCTTTATATAATTTATTTTGTATACTAGAATTATTATTATTATCAGTAGTAGTAGTAGTTGTTGTTGTTGTTGTTGTTGTAGTTTTGGAATTAGTAAGAATTAATTTTTCAATTAATTGATTTCCCGCTTCAAATTGTAAATGACCTTGTTGTAATAGATTTAAACAAGACATCCAACCCATAGATAAACGTTTAATTTTTAATAATGATATTTTATGCATAAAATGATTTTCATTATTTGATTTATTCTGTGAATTAATGATTGATAATAAAGTTTCTATTAGATATTTTGTTTGATTTAAACGAATTGTATTACGAATACGATAACCACGATATAATGATTGTATACGTACTATAGCAACTAATATATCAGGATTAATAATTGGTTGATTCCAACGATTAATAATTGTTTCTTCAATTGGATTACTATAAATAAAAGTAAATGGATGAAATAAAGATAAAAGAAAGAAAAAAAGAAGAAGAATTGATGAAACTATAATTCAAGGATGAACTAATCAGATATATAATAATTAGCTTACGAATTTTGGCGGGAAATTCACATATTCATTTGGTCAACTAGAGTTTTTACATTATAGCTGATGTCAGTTCGTGATGAAACCACCACCACCACCACCCCATCAACTGTAATTCATAATTCTAATTCTTTATACTGGTTTATAACTCATATTTGATCCTAGTTATTAGGTGGACACTCTTATGGTCAGTCTGGTGTCGTTCAAAGGTTTTCCATAGATTAGAGATCTTTGATTAGTAGATCGAATCAATTCTCACACAAACAAAGCTTCGATTACAACAAGGTAATATCGTGTGATTAATCATAAGTAATAGTGTTAAACTCATAGGTCAGGTTGTCATATAAGTAATATATGTTTGATAAGAAGGGGATGATGAGAATATGAAATTAGTTACAATATATATATATATATATATATATATATATATATATCGTGGATGCGCACTGCTGAGGAGTCCCACAATAGGACGAAACAGCCGTTCAGTGCTTCCAGGTTTTACATGGTGGTCTAACCTCAATTGGCTCATGATCTCAACTGTGGAAATTACTACAATCTTCACAAAACCCGTTTTAATGCTAATTAACATATGCTCACTATTGACTGGCTTCAAGGTGTATATCCTATAGTTCTAGTGAGAAACATTGACCAGTGGGGTTAAAACAGTTCTGTTGTGCGATAATAACGCACTGACAACAATGGTAGATATATATTTTTTATCAACTCATTATGAACTTTGGTCAGAGTGTGAGCTATGTTTAAGGTGACATTTTAAGGTCAATCCTGGTTTTTTTATATCAATTCAGTATAAACTTTGTTCTATATGACCACGGTAAACTCTCGTTCATTGTGACAATTTTATTCCCTATGATAATTCAGGTGAACTACATTTATTGTATGTGTTTTTACAGTAAGTGTATTTACTTCCTCCCTTATGTATTATAAATTTGGTATATAAATGATTGTATTATAGTCTAAAGGTGATGTGATTTTTGGATTAGTTTGGAGATGTGTTTTGAGAGAATCAATCAATCTCCAACGCACAAATCTTTCGTGTTTTCACTTTGTATTGTGGGAATTGTAGTGGATGGAAGAACTTCAGTAGTTCCAGATTATCAAGTGGAGACAGTAAGACTGTGAACTCGAAAGAGTCGATACGTATATGATAGCGACAACACCCCCTCTATATCTAATAGTTGCCTATCCAGTTACAGAATCAATTTAAAAGTTCGCATAGTGATAAAATTTATAGGTATATTCATCACTTCGAACATTTCAGTTAAAAAAAATATGGAATAGTCTATTTTTAACTAAACGATTGTTTTAAAATGTATAAATTGTGAATAGTAATAGAATCCCGATTGAGTATTTCATCCTATTTAAAGATTGGCATGTTATATTTACCTGCTATAACCCGCCCCAGAGTTGATGTTTACATTTAAACTCAAAACCAGTAATTTACACTTCAAACATTAACGCATTATTCACTGAGCTACAGATAACCACCAACATTTACGATGGGGAAAATGTGTTATATTTATAGTTACCGGTTTTACGAGTAAACTAAAGACACATATAAACATTAGACAATTCTATTTACAATCAGGTTTGAAATTTACTCCTTTAGTTTATTGTTACCATTATCAATAATAGTGTTGAATGACTTGAAGTGGAAATTCATAAAATGATATTTATCATATTGTTATGAATAATATGCAAGAATATATGAAATAATGGCCCCCGAATGCCCAGGTAAGGAAGAGAGGGGAGATTAAGCTCTCTCTCTTTCTCGAAATGCATACAACCACTGTCAGGGAAGTCCTACTCACTGACTTCTCGCCGGATTACTGTTGTTTATGAGAAGACAAAAAGCGAATGTCTGACTCTTTAACCGGGTTGGTGGACAAACAGGAACTACCTATGGGAGTTGGAATGATTTGATTCCAAACAACTGGTCCACATGGGGTTCGTTATGCTCAAGGAAACAAATGGAGTATACACCTATTTTCGGTCACTGACTATCATGGGACTGAATCACCTGACGTTGCTCCACTGCCTTGTGTATTAGACCTTTAGATCGAAGTCTCCGGGTGTGGCCCCCTAAGTAAACCGCTTGCTTCGGTTTGAGCACTTGGAAAGGATCCCAGCATATCTATTTGGTGCCTCCTTGTACCAACGTCTATGTGCTTAACTAAATAGATGAAATAATAGTTAAACAAAGAATCATATCAATATCATTCATTCATTCACCAAAGCGGGAACATTTTTTTATTACGCTGATTTTATACAAAACATGAAAATCAACTCACATTTTAACTGATTGATTAGTTTTCTCTCCACCTATTAAAAGGGAAAATTGCTGGATATAGTAGTAATAGTAGTGTGAATAGTAATAGTTGTGGTAGTAGTAAACACTAACAGAATATCATTTCACTATCGTTTCTATTCTAGTTGATTCAGTTATATAACGTTCATTGTTAATCTAATGCAATTTAGTGAAACATTAATAAATCTGTTTCCCTGTTATGAATTAAGAGATCACCTGAATTGATGAACGGAACGAAGTCAGTCAGTCAGCTACAACAAAGGACCAGGAACATGTATGCATCGGTTCAAGTTGCAACACCTCATTACCACAACAAGATGAACATAGGATTCACAGAAGTAGTTAACTCAATGGTGTAATATATAAAGAAAATATTTTATGTAAGGATATAGTACAGAAAGAAAGAACTAGTTGGCACAAAGAAAGATGTGAAGCGAATTCAATCTCACAGTTTAAGGGAACACAGAGTATATATACACACACACCATTGTGATCGATCGATTCTGAGCCATGTCACATACAGTCTCCAACCATTGGTTACCATAGTCACAAGAACCCCAACCAAGTGATCTGCATCCACCAACATGGCTCACACCAGAAGTAAGTGACTTTATGGATTGATGTCACGTTTTGATTTGGCCACTCCTAACTTTCTTCCAACCATCCCCAACACTAGTCAGCATTGCGCGTCGTGGTAATCGGTGTTCAGGTATACGTAACACTCGGCACAACCATCTCAGTCGATGAAGATTCACAACCTCATCAACTGATTTACCATCATTCTCTGATACCGCGCATCGAACTTCAAAATCACTTACCCAGTGATCCCAGCAGATGCGAGCAATATTTCTAAGGCATCTGCGGTCAAATACTAGTAGCTTGTGAATATCTCTACTTTCAATGACTTCGTTTTGCAGCCGTAATGTAGAATAGAACAAACTACCAAGTAAGTTCTAGGGATCTAGTATCCCCGAAAAAATCAGAGCAAATCTTCAATGATTACTGATTCTACTCAACTAATCTCTCATTACATAAATCATAGTTTTAAGTCGAAAGCTGAGATCCTTGATCAACTACCCCTTTGAGTCTGAAAAACGTTTTACACAACAAATCATTTTCAAAATACTATAATAAAGTTTCATATTGTTTGCCGATGAAAATGAATCACCTAATAAAGACTTCTCTAAGTTAGAATGTCTGAAATCAACCAAAAGTAAATTCAAATGAACAAAATCTTCATAATTCACTGAATACTTTTCTAGTTGTTCCTAAGGTATCCTCGTAGCTTTATCTTTGTTAAGCCAAGTTCTCATTGTTTCAACTTTTCTATGTCCGAAAAGGTGAAAACAAACTGGATCTCTCACTAGATAATGTCAAGAGTTTAAATATATATATCACAGCGGTCTACAATCGTTTATTCAGCTGTATCGAAAACCGCTAATAAAAATCACGTTGGGCTCAATGGTTTGCCCTCAAATTGCCCGGAACGGCCGAGAGTGGGGAGAGTCAGCTCTCCCTCTCCAACTGCTCTCAAATGGCCATGCGTCACTATCAAGGAAGTACTACTCATTGCCATCTCGCCGCATTACTATTGTTTATGAAATTGGGAGGACGAAAAGCGAATGTCTAGCGCTTTTACCGGGTCGGTGGACAAGGAGAGTTCATCTAGGGGAGTCGGAAACCCCTCATTCCAAACCAATGGTGCGCATGGACTCCAAGATCCTGAAGGAACAAATGGCGTATTAACCAATCGTTAGTTACCGGCTACCACGAGACTGCATCTACTGACGTTGTTCCACTGCTCCAGACCTTTAAGTCGAAGTCTCAGAGTATGGCTTCGTAAGAAAATCACCTGCTTCGGTTTGGATAACCGAGCAGTATCCCGTCTCTCAGACAAATCGAGTGATTTATGTGGCGCATATCTATTAGGTGCCTCACTGTACTAATGTTTATGTGTTTAAATAAGTAAATAATGCAAATATGGTGTGTTTCAGTTCAAATAAAATACTCGGAAAAAACAATAAATCTATCTGATACTTACGTGAACTAAGTACTTTTGATTTTTGTTTTGTTATAACTGGAGGAGCAGGATTCGAAACCGTTTCTGAAATATTTTTAAAAAAAAGTCTTTTTTGAAAATAAATTCAATTTTCTGGATTAAATTCTAAAAAAAGATATAATTCCTATTATGGTGTGAGCTACTTATATCCATTTAAGTAGTATATAATGATAGTCAGGAAAAGAATGTATTTCAGTAGAAGATCAAGATGGAAAGAACGGGAATGCAAAGCAATTGGTATGAAAATGCATGAGCAATGAAATCTGAGACGATGGATTGATATTTGCAAATAAACCGGCCAAGTTTGAGACAATTGATTCATATTTTGTAGCTTAAGTATTTACTGTATGGTTTTCAGATTTTAGTTAGATATTCTGTAATTTCGTGTGTAAATACATTCGATTATCCCCACTTGCGTTCTTATTCACCACGCTATGGATTTAAAATAAGTTTCTGTCATATTTTCTAGAAAGTCACTTAAAATCTGGAAAGACTACATAACCGTTTCTTTATATTTCTTTCGTATTCCACAGTGTTATCTACTTCGAATAAAAAAAACTATCTGAAAGAAAAGTAGTTTTACTTACGCCTGTTACTACTGGTCGAGGAGAATAGGCCAACCACCAGCACTCTCCATCCAACTCCTTACTGAATAGTCCTTTACAGTTGCTATTCATCCTTTTCATGTCTGCTTCCAATTCCCGTCTCAGCGTATTATTTGGTCTTCCACTTTTCCGTTTCCATTTAGGATTCCATGTTAGGGCCTGCCTCATGATGCAGTTTGATGATTTTCTCAATTCGCGTCCTATCCACATCCAACATCTTTTCCTAATTTCCACCTGGACCGGATGTTGGTCTGTCCTCTCACACAGTAGGTGGTTGCTGATGATATCCAACCAACGGACATTTACTTTCTTACGTAGACAACTGTTTAGAAATAATTTAAACTCCTACAACCTCCACACTCATTTAAACCTACTACCTTCACAACCTTTACCATCGTTGTTATCTATCTCACTTTCAACATCACTGAACTCTATCTATCATAGATTATAACTAGAGCTTCAGAGATCTAACTCAAGTTTGGCCGCTAGTAAGAACATAATCATTTTCAAAATGATAAGGTTAAGTATTCGCGAGTGAGACTGAAGGCCATGGGTTTGAAACCCACGATGCGGGATCATGGATGCGCACTTCTGAGGAGTTTCACAACAGAACGAAACAGCCTTCTAGTGTTCCCAGGTTCTTAATGGTGATCTAACATCAGTCGGTTCATGATCTCAATAAAAAAAAATTGAATTTTAATTTTAAATGTCACCAATATGTATCAACTTGTTGAACTCCACATCATTACATATAACCAAACGAACTAATCAATAAAATAACAACGACAACACAAAAAAAACAATTATTGCATCATATTACCATGACTATAAACTACTCGAAATGGATTTATTGTAATAAAATCTGTTTGTAATATACGCCATGCATAATTCATATCTGATGTTCCAGAATTTTCAGTTAAACGTTGTAGTATTGACAATAAAGTTGGTTTAATTATCTAAATAGAAAAAAAGTATATAATACATAGGATTATAATATTTAATTTAAATATAATTGCAACACTTAGAATGAGATATGTGAGTACTAGGTAGTAGTGAAGTTCTACTTTGTCCTAATTTTAGATCACTGAAAACAATGGTGGATGTGTCGCTCAATTTCATGGATTAGTTGGAGTTAGACATTAACACCGTGGTCTAGTGGTTAAGTACTCGCGCGCGAAACCAGTAGGTCCTGGGTTCGAATCTCGCAGGGGGCGAGGTCGTGGATGCGCACTGCCGAGGAGTCCCATAACAGGACGAAACGGCTGTCCAGTGCTTCGAGGTTTTCCATGGTGGTCTAGCATCAATTGACTCATGATCTTAATCATTCAAATTACTACAATCTTCACAAAACCCCTTCTGAAAATTTAGAATTCATTTGTAATAGACATTAACAAACCATTAGGGATCAAAATGAACATTCCCAAATCCAATTGAAGATTGTATTACTCCAAGATTGTTAAGCTGTATACTAAAAACATTCCATATTTTGTTAAGATATCCATCTAGTGTTGATTTTAATTTTCAACAGTTGTCTAGTTCATATCAATCCATAATGTGCACTACCTTCAACTAACAATTTACTAAAGAATTTAATGAAGATTCCAATTTACCAATCTTTAAAATTGGATTACAGATTATCCTAGAAATAGTCCAATTCAAATAAATACGTATCTTGTTCACTTTTCTAATCAGCTGTGTCAACGAGAAGATTAATTAGAAGACTGTAATTAACAAAATTTAAACATCCATTACCTAAATGTATAGTATATGCATAGATTTGTTCTTCTGAACTAAATAAAAGCATACAAAGTGAGGACTTGAGTAAGTATCAATTTCTTCTAATACTGAATCTCGTTAATCATTATAATGAACTAAACGATTCGAACACCAACCATTTAACAAATATTACTTATTTTCATCAAAAGTAATACCTAAGAGCAGTTACTATGCTCTATGCTATTCATTACAAGCGCGGTTTAATAAAGAGCTTATTCAGTAGAATCAATCGTATCTGTACTAGTGATACTATCGAAGTCGAGACGAAGCTCCTGACTGATACGTTAGTGAATAATGGTTATTCCTTGAAGTTCATAAATCGCTGGAAGGGTTGCAATACGATTAGACCTATGACGCTTCTGGCACCCAAAAAGAGAGTTTATATTACGTTACAATTCAGAGGCGACACAAATAGTCTCATGTTGAAAAGGAGACTTAAATCAGCCATGAACCGGACATTTTATGCAGCCCAACTTGTCATTATTGAAAAGACAGGGTCTATGTTTCACCAAAAGCCCAAACAGCACGTAAGCGATTGTGTCACATCCCATTGCGCCTATCAATTTACATGTATGTGTGAGCAATCGTGATTTGAAATTAAGGGTGGGTGAACACATATCAAAATGGTTGCAAAAACAAATGGATTCCAATGGTCAAATAAGATCACAGGATAGACAGACATCATCCTCCATTGCGAAACATTTGATTGAGACGGGTCATAAGGTCGACATCAAATCAGCATTTGTAGTGTTATACAAAAGCCTTCAAGGACGTATACTAAAGTTTATTGAAGCCTTGGCTATACGGAAACTAAAACCCCCTTTATGTGTTCAAAAACAATTTGTCCTTACACTGAACCTACCCTGATAATACTGATTTATTATCCAGAGTTGTAATCACATTTGTTTTGTGTACTTTAATATTTTCCTTTGTTATGACTTACCCTTAACCTGTCTAGTTGACCTTTTATTTTTATATATAAATGCTCTTAACAATCACATGTGTGATTAGATTGTTCGAAATGTATTGCGCTAATATATCACATAATTCTGATAAACTTCGTCTTCTCATTGCATTATCAAAATTTATCAAAGGGACTAACTGTTTTAAAAAAGCTTAATTTATTATCTAAAAGTCACCATTTTTATTCAAATAGAGATGATCTGTGTTATAACTTGTTATATATATGCAAGGTCATTATAGCGCCAATTAGAGAATAGTGACTCATCATACGGGCTAATGATGCATAAACCCGTAGGAGCTGTCTAGAGTTCTTACTGGTCCTTCTTCCTACTTGGCCCTGCCTGTAAGAGTACAGAACACGAATCTCAACCTCTGCCATATGAATCATGTATTACAAACATCCTGGGTTTATATACAAACCAAAGAGACCACATCATACCATAAAATAGTAAATAAGATTTGTACAAGGTTTAGCCAAAAGTGGCTGTGATTGTGGGAGACTGTAATTAATAGACAGAGCATAACTCAAGGACGGTAAATCGTATAATAATAGTCTTTGAGTCAAAATAAAGCTTACAATAAGAGGAGTATAGATATACATATTTTAGTTACTGAATAGTTATAGAATAAGACAATATGTATAGTATTAGTCCATTAATAGATCCGAATAGTTACCATTCAATATTATCGTCGAGATATAACTGTGGTGTGTGCTACTTATGTTTGTCGTAAACAGAATATCTGGCAGCAGAGAGACAAGAGGACCGAATAGTAAATAATGAAAACAGAATGCAATTTGTGTGAAAATGCAAGAACAAAGGAAGTCTGAGCAATTTGAGACAATTGGTGGACATTTCGTAAATTAAGCATTTAATATATGGTTGTTGAATTTTACTAACTACTTCTGTAATTTGTTGTCGAATACATTCGATTGTCCCCATTAGTGTTTTGTTCACTACATTTTGGTGTCGCTGCCAACCAGGAGAGGGGAGTGTCGTTCTGCGGACGCCGCTGAGGGCCTGGAGCTGAGATGTCGGTTGGTGCAGTCTGGTGCGGAGAGGTGGCGTCTGGTAGAGAGTTCTGACAGGGCGGCGTTGGCTGTGGCAGGTGCTGTCGATGGGGAGGAGAGGTGGAACATGCGGCTGCCGTATGGTTTTCTATTTTACCAATTAACCCTGTAATGTTGTACTAAATACAATTCTGTTGTCCTCACCTGTGTTCTCCTTCACTACAATAACAATATGATTTAAAGGTATAATGTTCTATCTAATAAATTTTCATCATGTTCTGAAGTTATAAATACAAATCGTTATAACATCCCCCTTGTTCATCTTTAACTATTCGATTATTACACAACTTTCTTATGATATTTAAATGTTATGAACACTTTATCATGTACTCCATTTCTATTCTTTTTAAGTCTCATACATGTAATGAGGGGTCCCACAATTGGACGAAACGGTCTTCCGGTGCATCCAGATTTTCCATAATGATCTAGCTTCAATTGACCTATGATCTCAACCATTGAAATTTCTCATATATTTATTAAACAACTTTAGGACGAGACTATAATTTATGGATGAACCAATCTGGTATAATAAGTCTTGAATTTTGGCGCGAAATTCACCCATTCATTTGGTTAAATAGAATATTGGTATTATAGCTGATGTCAGTTCGTGATGAAAACCCTAAATCTCATTCCTAACCTTAACTATCAACTGTAAATCATAATTCGAATTCTTCAAACAGGTTTGTAACCATTATTTTGTCCTAGTTACTAGGTATACACTCTCTAGGTCACTTCAGCGTCACTCAAAGGCTGTCCATAATTTATAGTCACATCAAAAGATGAATCGGGAAATAATTTACAAGTAAAAATAAAAAAAATTGGAACAAATCTGTACTAGTCGATTATAAATAACCAATCACAGCTAAACATAATGAACATTGATCAATGTCAATCCGAATAAAGTAATAGACATAATGATAGTTATAACCATTGAGTGACTAATTAATCTTATTTTAAGAAATTACATTTTGGAATATTAACCAAACATGTAGATAAGAATCGACAGGAATTACTCCATACTCAATTGAGAATAGAAGCTTTCAGTATGTCAATCCTCATAATCTTCAAATAAGATGCTTTTCACTGTCAACTAGAACCAAACTACGGTCTCCCATCTCGATGGTAAACTTCTATCAATTTTTTTTAGCTTTAGTCTATCAACCGCACTCCATCAGGAACTCAAGTATTTACAGGTTTTATTTGAATTGTCTATAATACCCATCGAACTGTTTCCAACAAACAAATTTCATCGACTAAAAGGATTTTGTTTAACATCTTTTATCCTAGTAAATTACTAAATATACACAGAATATTATAAATGAGTCGATCTAACCTAAATCACCACTGGAAGGTCGTTTTGTTCTAGTATAGGGACTCCTCAGAAGTGTACATCCACGATCTAACATCTGGGATTCGAACTTAGAACCTCTGATATCAGGCGCGGATGCATGACCTCTAGATCACTAAGTTGGCATTCAACGGTTTTGATGTTTAATTTCAATCAGTCCATGATCTCGCTTAACCCTTCATCCATTTTCTAAATTGGATAACTCTCTCTCACATAATATGGATTGAACTTGACTGGTTACGGCCTCTCACCCGAACTTCAGAAAATTTATCTTGAAGCTAGTCACTAGTGAGAGCCTGATTATTATCAGAATAGGGGTTTGTGGATATTAAAGTTTGTTTAAATTTGAATTCATGAGTCGATGATAAGTTGCAGAAGATCATAGATCGATTAGAATTAAATATTAACACCGTTAGATAATAGCTCAATGGTCTAGAAGTTAAACATTCGCGTGCGAGACCGAAATCCCTAGGTTCGATTCCTTTTGGTACGGGATCGTAGGTGCTCATTGTCGAGGAGTCCCATACCAGAACGAAATCGCCATCCAATACTTCCAGGTTTCATGCACATAGTTCTTTCACATATGGTATATATTTACAATATTCAGTCTGTCAATTTCATTTACAACCATGCTATACTCTACGAACATGTCTTCAATACAACTTCCAACCAAATCCTCTCATGTAAGCAATTTAAACCCATTATGTAATTATGATTCTTAGATATCACAGGTTGTAAGCAGCTGACGAGAACCTACGAAATAAAATGAATTCATACTATTCTGCTAGAATCTTTGTTCCTGCTCACTTACAGGTTTATAATGATGATCTAGTATAGATCAACTGACGGATTTAACAATAAACATACATCGATCTCCACAAACCCCCTATTCTGATATTATAAATTTATCAAATAAACGAAAACAGATATATTCAACCACAGATGAGTAGTGTCTAGCAGTAGAATCTAGGACGCGCGTTTCGTCCTATCCGGGACTCATCAGTTGGATTTACCTACACACCAGAGTTGATGTTCACCCCAAGATTCGAACCCAGTACCGCTCGCCTCAAATTCTAGGGTGCAGGTACATCCAGTCGACGATTCCAAAATAGGACGAAACGCGTGTCAAACTCAATTCCACTGTTAACCACTAGCCATCTTTGTATATAATGCTCATAAATTAAGACAATATCGAAGCAATCTGCACAAGATGCACATATGCCAACATGAAACTGACCAATTGCAGTCCTAAATAACAATGGAAAGATACAAGTAAAACAGCAACACCAAGTGAATTTAGATATATTCATGACATAATAATGAATATCCAAGCATAATTGGATATAGTGCATAATTTCTTACTTTTTGATTAGGCCATATAGATAATAATTGTTTAAGTTCTTTTTCTTTAGTAACTAAATGATCTATAGCATTTGTAAATTTTTCTTTAAATTCTGATTCATTCCATTCTGTATTGTTTATTACAGTACTATTATTATTATTATTGTTACTATGAATGTTGGTGGTGGTGGTGGTGGTAGTAGTAGTAGTAGTAATAGTCATGTAAGATACATATAATTCAGTTAAATGTACTAATGCCTCTAAAGCTTGTCCAACATTATACATACAATGAATAAATTGATTTGCATAATATTTTATTAATAATGGACATATTGTAATACCATTTGTTAATATATAATCATAATCATCAAATATTATATTGATTGATTGATGAATATCTTTTATTGATGAATTATTAGATTTTATTAATTGATTATTTATATGAATTGATGAACGTTGACGTCCAAGTATAGTGATTACATAACCTAATGGTGCATGAATTAATAATTTATAACAATATCGACTAAATGGTAATAATAATGAAATGGAACTACTACCAGTTGTTTCCAGATATTTAATTGGATTCCCTTGTATTGATTTATTCCAATGATAGGATTCAATTAATAGTGTGGATGGAAGATTAGATGTAGTAGATGATGATGATATCTGTACTGATGGATTAGTACCATATATTGTAGATTGAAAATCATCAGGAGAATTATTTTGTGAATTTGAATTCAAATCTCTAATAAATGAAGCTAAAAAGTAAAATTGAATTCATAGAAGATATTTCAATGTTACAGTATTTAGATATTAAAATAAATTAGTGCTTGGATCACCGAGTAAGCAATAGTGAGGTTAGATAGATACAGGGTATTAGGGAATGATAATGGAAAATCAGTTGATGAAATGGTTGGGTCACGTGTTATGTATGCATGAACTCTGATTAACAAGACGAGCAATGCTAACTAGTGTTGAGGATGGTTGGAAGAAAGTTAGGAGTGGTCAAATCAAAACGTGACATCAATCCATAAAGTCACTTACTTCTGGTGTGAGCCATGTTGGTAGATGCAGACTACTTGGTTGGGGTCCTTATAACTATGGCAACCAATGGTTGGAGAATGTGTGTGACATGGCTCAGAATCGATCACAATAGTGTGGCTGTATGCACTCTCTGTGTTACCTTAAACTGTGAGATTAAAATCGCTTCATATCTTTCTTTGTACCAACTAACTCTTTCTTCCTATACTATATCCTTATACGCAATCTTTCCTTTATATATTACACCAGTGAGTTAACTACTTCTATGAATTTGGTGTTCATCTTACTGTGGTAATGAGGTATGGCAGCTTGAAACGATGTATATATATTTTCCTGGTCCTAAGTTGTAACTGACTGACTGAATTTGTGCTCGTCATAGATCTATAACGCTTGAGGTGTCTCTTAAAGTTATAGAGCATTATACAGATAGATATTTCTATTTAATCGGAACAAATCTAGAAACATCAAACCTCTCAGTGAGAATGTTACTGAAACATCATTAATTTTTTATCCACTGATTTAAATGTTAGAATTCAGTCAATTTGCAAAAGAGTACATATGGATATTTCTAAGTATTTTCCAAAGAACTTAAGATTGAAAGACGCAACGGATATGAATAATGCAATAGCTCTCCATAGTACACGATTGACATTCCTCAATCCTTCAAAATTATTAACCGACAAAGAAACACAGCGTCTCTTTGGTTTACTGAAGTAATAGTGATAAAAAATTTCAAACTTCATTTATGTATCTAAAAGGAGACAGTAATCAACCTATAACTACCCTGCAAAATCATTTTTGTCATTATCTTTATTTTGTTAGTGTTCATTTCGTTATGTGATCTTCCTTTACTGAATTCTTATTTACTGTACATTAAAACCATCATTTCACTTATACATTTCCATTCACTCAATACTCTCCACTTATGTAAACTCTTCAAATCATGTTCAATTATTATATAACCCATCTGTTTCTGAACCTTACTTAATGCATCATCCACCTCTTATGTTTTTTTTTATTTCAACATCAAATGACCTTCAACCTGTTTCTGATCATATATATAGGGAGAGTTATTAATGATAACCTTTGTCATTTCTATTCTTTTCATTCATCTATGTCAATTATTTCACATTATATTGTACTTCAATGTTAAGTTTTTGTAGTAAGATCACCCATTTTATAGAATATACATCTGTACAGTAATGGCAACGTTTATCACCGGTAACAGAAATGTCATGTTAATATCGAAGTGTAAAAATATTATAAAGTAATAGCGAATTAACAGCAAATAATTATGATGAAGTTTTGTTCTCTGAGCTGGATGGTTTGGTTGTAAAGCTTTCATCGTTCTTCTGAATGACATCATCGGTACAAACTTTAGGTAGAAGTGAAGTGTTCGAATTTCTCCAGATGTGGTTCACAGCTTGTCCTGTAAACCTCGATGTTTATTTATTTTGATGCAACTAGTACACAACAAATAAACGATTTAGTTTTTCATTACTTAGTTCAAGTTAAACTCTAAGGTAAAATACCTTTTCATGAATTCATCGAATAAAAGCTACTTCGATGGTTTAGAAAATACTAAAAAAGATCAAGGTTTCTGTTTATTAATTATCGAAATCGTTGTCTTACAATTCAGTGAGATTGTTGAGAAATACCATAAAACTAATAACCGATAGAGCCTGTGTTCGAATCTCGCAAGGCGGGATCATGGATGCGCATCGTTAAAGAGTCCCACAATAGGTTGAAACGGCCGTCCAGTGCTTACAGGTTTTCCATGGTGGTCTAGCTTCAATTGACTCATGATCTCAAGTATTAAAGTTAATGAAGAATTGTTTGTGAAACTTTATACAATTATGATAGAGTTTTGTTCCCTGAGCTGGATCGTTTGCCAAAAGGCAAGCTTCCACTCGAGAACAACTACATTTTCTCCATGAGTGTCTTCGTCACACGACCAAACCATCCAGCTCAGAGAAAAAAACTCCATCAAAATCATCCGCCTGAGCTACAAATCTCCACCATCTCAAATCTGCACAATTATCAACAATTCAGAAGAAGGTTTCTCTACACTAAAACAGGTGAGTTTCAGCCATCGAATTTCTGTAGTAAGTTTAGAAAACCGTTAGGATTTCTTAAAAAATGCATAAATTGCTTAAAACCCTCAAAATTTATTTGCATTTAACTTGTCTTTTAACCAGATATTTTTCAATTGTATAAACTGTTTGTTCATTGAATTCACTTGGTGTTGTTGTTTTACTTGTGTCTTCTCATTGTTATTTAGGACTGTAATTGATCAGTCTTATGATGACTGTTAATCGAAGCGTGAATAGAATTTTTCAGTAAATATCGTCATTTTAATTTTATTTGTGTGTGGGCTGCGATACTGCCCGAGTGCCTAGGCCGAAACAGGTGATTTTCTTAGGGGGCCACACCCCGAGCCTTTGACCTAAAGGTCTAATCTACAAAGCAGTGGAGCATCGTGAGGAGATGCAGTCCCATGATAGCTGATGATCAACGATAGGTTTATACACCATTTGTTCCCCCAGGATACTGGAGCCAGCCCATGTGCACCATTGATTTGGGATCAGGTTAAAGCGCTAGATATTCTCTTTTCGTCCTCTCATTTTCGCAGACAACACCCTCGCCACGAGAAGGCAGTGAGTAGGACTTCCCTGGCAGGGGCTGTATACGCGTGGCCGTGTGAGAGCAGTTCGACCATAGCAGGCCATAGCAGGGCATTATTATTATTATTATTATTATTATTATTATTATTATTATTATTATTACACTACTTCACACTGATCTGGTCATTAATGTTCTTTTTTTTCTTTTACGCTCCTTACCCTCTTTTTTTCCTTCCCATTCTCATTGTTTTGTTTGGCGCATACCTATTTGATGCCCTCTTGTACCAATATTTTGTGTTTAAATAAATAATAAACAAATCTCATGTTGGCATATGTGCATCGTGTGGAAATTGTCTCAATATAGCCTTAAATCATAAGTTTCTTAAGCAATGATGCATAGTGGCTAACACTGGAATCCATTTTGACACGCATGTTTCATCCTATTTCGGTTCTCATCAGCTGGATATACCTGCACTACAAAGTTGATATTCACTCCGAGAAGGACTCGAACCCAGTACTGTTCACTTCAAACTCTATTGCATTATTTATTGGTTAAAAAGAGTACATAATTATTTCAAGAATATTCATAACACCGCTCAAACTCATCACTACAATATTATTTTAATATTTTTTTTATTCTTATATTTATATGATAATAAATCGAATTAAAATAAACTTAAATTGTACACATTACCTGATGTAGTAGTTATTGGTAACAAATGTGTACTATTATGTTCATTGATTGGTATTGATAATATTTCATCGGTTTCAGGCATACATGTAAAACCACGTGAATAAGTAGATGGAGTTAAACGTTTAGCAATAGGTAATGGCCATTGATATATAACTGATAATTGAAGAATAATTTCACATGGTTGAATACTATCACAAAATAAATAATGTACTTTTGATTGATCAGATGGCTGAAAAAAAAAGAATTGAAATAATATGTCATATAACTTATTACTAGAAGGGGTTTTGTCGAGAATTGGTCACATCAATAGTTGAAATCATGAATCCATTGAAGCTAGACCACCATGGAAAACCTGGAAGCACTGGACGGTCGTTTTGTCCTGGTATGGGACGCTTCAGCAGTGCGCATCCACGATCCCACCCCTCGCCGGATTCAAACCCAGAATCTATCAGTCTCGCACCAGACGCTTAACCAACTAGACCACTGAGCTTCCAGGTTTTTCATGGTGGTCTAGTTTCAACGGATTCATGATTTCAACTATTGATATAATTTATTTTTTGTACGGCAAATTTAAGTAGTTTATAAGAAGATCAAAGAACATATAATACCGAGAAATGGAGACAGATATGAGAAAAATAAACAACAATTGGATAGAACTTAAAAGGAAGGCCCAGGACAAAATGGGTTGGAGAATGCTGTCTACGCGGTCTATGGTCCATTGGGAGTAACAGGCAATAAGTAAGTAAGACGTTTAAAAGTTTAATGAAGAATTAAAATGAAAATTTTAAAAAAGTGTAAAACTTTATCTTCTGAGACTTTCCCAAGTCACAATGATCTATAGTTTTGGGCATTCTCTATGAAATCTAAGATCTTGTGTTTGATCACCGTTGGAATCATGGATGTGTACTATGGAAAAGTCCCATATTAGAACAAATTAGCTATCCAGTGTTTCCTGGTCTATAGTGAATGTCTAACTTTATTCAGTTCGTGATATCGATTATGAATGAGTTCTCCAGAAAGACTATGGAGTTCCAAAAGCGGATATTAGAATTAAGAATACTGTTAGAATATGAAACTGATTCGATGTCATTGATCGCTTGAATAATAACATCTGAAGAGATCAAAGTTTCTCCTTCACTTGTGTGTGCATCTATTTCATTCATCCATGAATCAAACTTATATCGCCCCCAAATTCCCAGGTAGTGGGGAGATTAAGCTCTCTCTTTCCAAATGCTCTCAAGTGGCCACGTGTATATAACCACTGCCAGGGAAATTCTACTCACTGACGTCTCGCGATAGGGGTGTTATTTATGAAATTGAGGAGATGGAAAGTGAATATCCAGCACTTTAACCGGGTTAATTATTGTAAATCAAGACTCACTTTTAAATTGGAATATGTTTTCACAATTGAATATGTATTTGGCTTATGATAAATGGTCACTGTCCTGAATGGATTCATTAAAAAGAAAAAAACACAAGATATATAACATGGTAGTAGAGATTCAAATGCGATTTACAAATATAGGCATTCTTATAATAAAGTTGGATTAAAGATGACAGTATAACATATAAGGTGTGTTCCATCTTGTTTGGAACTCATCAAATGGATCTACCTCTTATATTTGTATTCGGATTGGGATTCGAACTTAATATATTTCTTCTGATCAGTATAGGGCTGTGGAGAGTATTAAGTTTTTGATTGAGATCATGAACCGATTGGTGTTAAACCACCATTGGAAAGCTGGAAACACTGAACGGCCATTTCATCCTATTGTGGGACTCCTCAGCAGTGCGCATTCACGATCGCGCTAGCGGGATTCGAACCCAGGGTGTTCAGTCTAAATTTAATCAATCTGAGAAATTGAGCGACCATCTTCTATTGTACTGAGGTAGATACCTGTCTCTACCTGACATGGATTAACCCCACTGGTCACGGCTTCTCACTAGAACTCTTTTTGTTTTCAAACGATCAACTGAGCTACTAAATTCAAATACTTTGTAATTAGCTCAACCTGTATGTAGTTATATATACTTGGGAAAACTGAAGCATATATATAAGTACGCTTATTTGATGTAGTACTATTAACGTTATTGATATGTAAATCAGTTACTTCATTTATTTACTTTAATTTTAATGTAGATTGACTATAAATTCTGATCGAAATATGACCTGGATAAGGGAATCGATACAATAAATACTAAATACGATATGTTTATCATATTACATTGTATCATAGTAAGGTACAATAATAACTAAAATGGACACCTAACCTTTGAATATCTGGAGTTATGAAAGAAGTTTCATCTTGAATATGGGATTATAAATTCATGTTATGTACGTTACGAGATTCCATACTTATTATGCATTGTAGTCTAGTAATTCATGTATACTATCATGTAAGTTTTAGGCCATAATATATGCAAAATGAATTGGGTGCTTTTGGTATTCTGATTGTACAGGATGAAGTCAGAGAGAAGTTTTATGTGTCAATTAGTGTCAGTGATTTATAGTGGGGATAAGGAGTAAAGCGGATGTCATTCCTGTTGTCAAAATTGGGCGAACTGACTATATGTGGATGTAATGGTTTAATAATTCGACAAAATGGGCATGTAGAAGAGAAGATACACGAATGATGATTTGTCAGTCAGTCAGCTACAACAAAGGACCAGGAACATATATACATCCGTTCAAGTTGCCATACCTCATTACCACAACAAGATGAACACCAAATTCATAGAAGTAGTTAACTCAATGGTGTAATATATAAAGAAAATATTTTATGTAAGGATATAGTACAGAAAGAAAGAACTAGTTGGCACAAAGAAAGATGTGAAGCGAATTCAATCTCACAGTTTAAGGGAACACAGAGTATATATACACACACACCATTGTGATCGATCGATTCTGAGCCATGTCACATACAGTCTCCAACCATTGGTTACCAAAGTCACAAGGACCCCAACCAAGTGATCTGCATCCATCAACATGGCTCACACCAGAAGTAAGTGACTTTATGGATTGATGTCACGTTTTGATTTGGCCACTCCTAACTTCCTTCCAACCATCCCCAACACTAGTCAGCATTGCGCGTCGTGGTAATCGGTGTTCAGGTATACGTAACACTCGGCACAACCATCTCAGTCGATGAAGATTCACAACCTCATCAACTGATTTGCCATCATTCTGTGATACCGCGCATCGAACTTCAAAATCACTTACCCAGTGATCCCAGCAGAAGCGAGTAATATTTCTGAGTCGTCTGTGGTCAAATACTAGTATCTTACGAATATCTTCTACTCTTAATAGCCTCGTTTTGCAGCCGTAATGTAGAACAGAACGAGCTGCTGCGCAGTATTTTTGTCTCTTAATTGATAGACCGATGTCTCACCTCCTCAGTAGGTGATATAAGTTGGCAAAAGCCAAACGAGCTTTTCGAATCCGTACTGAGATTTTGTCAGACATCAACCCATTAAGGCTGATCAGACTTCCAAGATAAGTCAAGTTTGCGACGTGTTCATCTACTACATTCCCTATCCTTAGTTCAGGTGTTGACACAGGCTAGTCCTGAAGCATCAACTTGCATTTTTAGGGGGGGAAACGCATCACAAACATTCTGGCATTGGTGTTCAATGCTACCAAAATACTCTTCATTTTATCAGCGTCTTCACCAAACAGGACTATATCATCTGTGTATTCTAAGTTCATAAGTGGACCTCCTGGTAGGAGATCAATGCTCGAAAATTCAGTCGACGACAACATTATTTCCATTAGTATGTCTATGATGAAGTTGAACAAAAATGATGATTTACAATAATAATTAATTCATAATAAAAATACTCTAATTAAAACTATGGTCTTTACTTCGAAGAAAACCACTGGTTTTATAAGTAAATTTAAATTATAATTTGTTCTTTCGAATACATTAAGAGATCATTGAGTATTGACCAATGAATTCTTGTCTAATCCTTAGTTCGAATCAATGTTACCATGAGATGACTAATCACAATGTGATTTGTGTTTGATTTAGGTGGTTGAAAACAATTAACAGGAAACCCTTATTAACCTCATATTTTCATGCTAGTTCACACTTGCCAATCAGATGCAACTATAATCTTGAAGAAGTTGAAGTTCTTCAAGAAATTAGATTATGATCAATAGAATATGATCAGAATCAAGAAATACAAGAAATAACGATTAGTAGTACACTGTGATAAATAAATGTAGCACCCCAGTTCTACAGGATACCTATTGGGATAGAATATAATGTCCTGACTAATGTCAACTAGAATGTAAACTAGGTTAAGAGAATCTTACTGATCATTAACTGCCTAACATGATGATAATAGAAGATTTATGAGAAATAGACTTTACATATTTAAATGAGATACCAATGTATTTTTATTAATTAACAAATAAAATTACAATTATCTTTGAATCAAAGTAGATTTTGTATGTCAAAGATTATCTACGAATCAATACTGTAACTTTAGTCAGTCAAAGTTATGATGATCATCATAATTAAACAAAATGTTATAAAACGTTTAGTCAATGTTCATTTGATATTGTTTACTTGAATATTCCCATTGTTGTGTTAAGACTACAATTGATCAGTCTCTTATTGGTATATGTACATCTTGTTCAAATTGCCTCGATATTGCCTTAATTCACAAGCTTCATAAGCAAAAGTGGATATTGGATAGCAGTGGAATCTAGGATGCACGTTTCGTCCTATTTTGGGCTCATCAACTAGATGTACCTGCATCTCCGAGTTGACGTTCACTCCGGAAGGGACTACAACCTAATACCATTCGCTTCAAACGCCATCGCGTTATTCACTTAGCTACTGAATCCTGATAGTCACCTGCTTGTGTAACAGGGTGGAGTTTAAATTTACTTGGTATTGTTTACTTGATGTTTAGGACTGAGATTGATCAGTCTCTTATTGGCATATGTGCATCATGTATGGATTGCCTCGATATTGGCTTAGTCAATGCTTTTATTCTAATTTCAAATCATTTCATGTTTATTGTCTAAAAACGTATGAATCAATACTTCATTGTAGACAATGATTTTTATAGAAGATTAACTTACTTGAATATTTCACAAAAATCTTTTATATCAAGCCATATTTCTTTAGGATTAGTTACAGAACTAGCTTTTATTGATACTTCAGGTACAATGTCATCACCGCATGATTTCATGTGCAACGAGTTGTTTGTACGTGAACTAGAATTTTGTTGACTACTTCCACTTGTTTCTGGAGTTTTGTTCTGTCCTTTAACTTCTTTTGATCTACTTGTTATCCCTGAAGTACATTGTTTTTTTTTCAATTTAGAGGTGTGGATGACAATTCGAAAACATGAACAAATTCATAATTCAAATAGCTAACACTTTAATCGCTAAGGCTAAAAAAGAGTACCGTATTTGAGCTATTTGATGACCATGAGTAATCAATTAAAATACGGGTATTTGGGTGTATATTTATTTGTGAAATTTAAAGGTATGTAACATCATACAAAGAATTCTAAGATCTACAGAATTAAGTTTATAGATTCAATATCTGGCAAGGTCGTACGCGCCCAGTGTTGAAGAGACTCCTACTGGAATTGAACACCTGTCCAACACATCCCAACTTTCAGGGGTTGTATAGATTACATCGGCTCATACTATCTTGATGGAGTCGACGATCCATCAAACCAACGATAACAAAATTTATCTTAAGGCTAATTAAGATTCTGATGAAGATGTGAAGGCACGGATTGGCAAAGCAAGAGCAGCATATTTACAACTGAAGAATATCTGGAACTCAAAACAATTGGCAACCAACACCAAAGTCAGAATTTTCAATACAAATGTCAAGACAGTTCTACTGTATGGGGCGGAAACCTGGAAAACTACGAAATCCATCATCCAAAAGATACAGGTGTTTATTAACAGTTGTCTACGCAAAATACTTCAGATCCGCTGGCCGGACACTATAAGCAACAACCTGCTGTGGGAGAGAACAAATCAGATCCCAGTGGAGGAAGAAATCAGGAAGAAGCGCTGGAAGTGGATAGGACACACATTGAGGAAAGCACCGAACTGCGTCACAAGACAAGCCCTCATATGGAATCCTCAAGGTCGAAGGAAGAGAGGAAGACCAAAGAATACATTACGCCGAGAAATGGAGATAGATATGAGAAAAATGAACAAGAATTGGATGGAACTAGAAAAGAAGGCCCAGGACAGAGTGGGTTGGAGAATGCTGGTCGGCGGCCTATGCTCCATTGGGAGTAACAGGCGTAAGTAAGTAAGTAATAAAGCAAGGGCGGCATTCCTTCATTTCAAGAATATATGGAACTCAAAAACAACTGTCAACCAATACAAAAAGTCACAATCTTCAATACGAATGTCAAGACACTTCTACTATACGGAGCTCAAACTTCGAGAACCACTACAACCATCATCAAAAAGGTACAAGTATTTATTAATAGTTGTCAACGCAAGATACCTAACATCCAGTGACCGGATACCATCAGCAACAGTCTACTGTGGGAGAGGACAAACCAACTTCCATCTGAAGAAGAAATTAGGAAAAGATCTTGGAAGTGGATAGGACATGTATTGAGGAAATCATCAAACTGCATCACGAGGCAAGCGCTAACTTAGAGTTCTGAAGGGAAGCGGAAAACAGGAAGGTCAAAAAAACACATTATGTAGAGAAATAGAAGCGGATATGAAAAGGATGAATAAGAACTGGAAAGAGATGGAAAGGATTGTTCAGGGCAGGTTTGGATGGAGAATGCTGGTGAGCGGCCTATGTTCCTTCACGAGGAGTAACAGGCGTAAGTAAGTAAGTATAAGCAATATAGATTCAGTCGTGATAGACTTTTTATTGGAAATATCTTCACGTTGAATTATGTTACTGATAGTTCATTCATTAATCACAAAAGATAATCAGATTAAGAAAGAACATTTTCGATAATCTTTAAGTCTACATAAGTCACAGTAGATCCTTCATTGATATTGTTCAAAATCTTATCACTCATTAAGCAATCAACCAATGAACATCAAAGTTCATTCTGATTGATCATCACTAAGATCCCTCAAGGACAGTAAATTGTAATTTATTAAACATTTACACTCTAATTAATGTAACAATAAGTACTATATGTTGTAGAATAATAGACTCACTAGAACTTCAAGAAATACCTCTTGGAGACCGTCACTTGTGAGCATATGATCATTATAATTAGAGAGGGATTTTGTGGATATCGTAATAATTTAATAGTTGAATTCATGAGTCAATTAAGGCTAGACCGCCATGTAAAAACCTAGTAACACTGAATTGCCGTTTTGTCCTAGTATAGGACTCCTCTACAGTGTATATCTATGATCCCATTCACGAGGTTCGAACTCAAAACCTGAATTGTTGATGTGATATTCATTAAAAATAGACACATTTTAATGGACTCCAAAAGCAATATTCTTCCATAACATAAGTTTATTCATTTTAAATAACTAAGAAAAACAGCTTATCAGTTGACGATGGTAGTGTTTTATTATAATGGGATAAATCACAATGTACTAGAGTACTCAATGTTCACAATAACATCCATAAATTCTTAAATGTTTAACCAATTACAATATTAGTCACCCTATCTTTATAGGGTGATTTATATTTTACAACTTACCTTTCTTTGGTATGTCTTCACGTGAACCTCTTTTCTAGAAAAGATTATTTTTAAAAAAATTAGTACTCTAGGCAACATATATATCATTTTTAATCACTACCTATGAATAGGTAAATAAAAATGAAATAAACCTCTATCAGGGGTAATCTATTTCCTTAAGATTACAAGTATATCCTACTGATAAATGTCAGCTAGCATGAAACTTAGGGATGAGACTATAATCTATGAACTGTTTTTGAACGACACTAAAGGGATCTTGAGAGTGTACACCTAGTAATTAGGACAAAATAAAGGTTATAAACCAATGTGAGGAATCAGAATTATGAATTAAAGTTGATGGTTAAGGTTAGGAATTAGATTTAGGGTTATATCACGAACTGACATCGGCTATAATACCACAACTCTATTAAACCAGATGAATGGTTGAATTTCGTGACAAAACCGGATACCTGTTATTTTATACCTGATTAGTTCATTCATAAATTATAGTCTCGCCAACTTAGGTTTAGAGTTTCATGTTGACTGGCTCCAACTATTTAAAAACAACTTCATATTGAGTTGAAATATAGAACACAATAGCTTTTGAGCCATTGAATAGGAATTCATTTGTTCACAAGCTAAAATCCAACAAACTTTCAATATGGACTAATAATTAATCAATGTTATCAATGATAAATGTCTCACGTCTAGCATGATTAAATTCTAACAATCATATATCAGTAGTCCATATCGAATCTTCCTATTGATGTTTGTGATATCTACTGATCAATCTCTTGTTAGCATATGTACATCTTGTACAAATTGCCTTGATATTGCCCTAATTTACAAGGATTATAAACAGTAGAATCCAGTATGACTCATGTTTCGTCTTATTTTGGGACTCTTCAGCTGAATATACCTGCATTCCAGAGTTGATCTTCAATCCAGGATTTACTTTAAAAGATCGCGATGATCCGTTCAACTATAAAACATCTTGATTAATAGAAACTATCCAACACTACCTAGTTACAATGTTTCTCCAGTTGACATAAATTCCTATTAAAAAATGATCTTCAAATTTTTACTTATTTTTCATGAATGATGAATAAATTTTTACTAACTTGAGTTCTAATCGGACTTGGATTATTTGAAGTGGATTCACGTCGACGACGTGTTGGTGATGCTTGAGAATTAGATCTAGTTTTTAATGTTCCACTAGTTTGTTTCCCTGTATCAGGTGAAGAACTTGACATATAAACTGATTCAACAGTAGAAGTTGGAGGACTTGTTCTATAAATGAAAGGAATAATAATAATAATTTGTACTTAAATATAAAAATTCAATTTATTAGTTTAAGGGTAAAAATAGTTGATAAAATGGTTTTGAAGTGTTTCCAGAACAGTGAACTATATCATTAAACAGGACTCAGTAGCTAAGTGGATAACGTGATGACGTTTGAAGCAAACGGTACTAAGTTTGAGTTTCAGAATGAACATCAACTCTGAGATGCGGATACGTTCAGCTGACGAGTCCAAAAAAGGATGAAACGTGTGTCTTGGATTCCATTGTTAACTTCTATCCATCTTTGTTTATAAAGCTTGTGACTTAATGTAATATCGAGACAGTCCACACAGAATGTAGATTTACCAACAAGTGACTGATTAATTGCAGTGCTAACACAACCTACTCCTACACCATAAAACATCACACGTCTGGGCAGTCGGTGGTTGGGTATACATAACACGTGTCCCAGTCATCTCAACTGATGATATTTCACTACATCATCAATTGATTTGCCATCCTTATTTGATACTCGTTTTCTAACAACTGCATTAGTTACTCAGTGGTCCCAGGATATACGAGCAATGCTTCGAAGATACTTATGATCGAATACTGGTAACCTACGAATATCCTCTACTCTTACCGGTCATGTTTCGCAGCCATAAAATAGGGCGGAATGAACTGCTGTGCAGTAAACCCGTCCTTTGGTTGGTAGACGGATATCTCGTCTATGCCACAAATGACGCAAGTTGGCAAAAGCTAGCCGACCTTTCTATATCCGTGGTAAGATTTCGTCACACACCAGACCACAATGGCTGATGAGACTCCCAATATAAGTGATGTAGTCGACACGCTCAACTACATTACCCCCTATCATTAGTTCGGGTGTCGATGCAACCCAATCCTGAAGTATTATTTTGCATTTCAAACATGCTTGCATTGTTGCTTAGAGTGGTCAGAAGACTCTGAATTTTGTCTGCATCTTCAACAAATAGAACTATGTCATCGGCATATTCTAAGTCACCAAGTGAATCTCCCGGTGGAAGTTCAACCCCTGAACTGAGCCATGTTGGTAGGTGTAGACTATCTGGTTGTGATCCGCGAGATGATAACAACCGATGGTTAGAGATCTTCAGTGACATGGCTCACAATCGTTTTCAATAGCTCAGGTGCATCCACTCTTTATACTCTCCCAAATTCTAATCTTCATAATTCTTCATGTCCGTTTTTTTCTTTTTCTCTTTGCAAATTTATTTCATTGAATTATACTCTTTGACTAAAATCTTCAAACCCTAGTGTTTTCGATTACTGCTTATACTTTTACTACCTCTATCACTATGGGATTTGAATGGACAATTGTATCTCTATAGTAGTGTGATATGGCAACTCGAACTGATGTATGTACGTACGTACGAAGTTCTACCTTGTTCTGACTGACTCACTGACTGACTGATATTACTTGGTTTCATTATGTTTTAATAAAAGCACTAGATTGTTTTGAGATGTACATATTAATACTTATTAAATAAGTTAGTGGTTTATTAATACGGTTTGGATGCAGGTACATACAGCTGATAAGAACCCGAATAGAATGAAACGCACGCATTCATCTCTATTTGATTGATAGTTACACTTAATATATATCATTACAACAAAATCTATATAAATACTTATATCATACATAAGTTTCTCCGGTTCATAAAATATATGCTCTTGTACAGGTGTCCATAGAAGTAATGAACGTATAGGTTCTTTCTCTTTATTATTTTGTAAATCATTATTGTTAGATGAATCAAATGGAAAATCAGGTGGTCTTGGTCTGATCAACTTCCATTGAGGTGTAGGTTGTATAGGTGATGGAGGAATGATTGGTATCGTACGTCGTTTAGCTATACAAATTGGATATGAATCTGAATAACTGAATCCATATTGTTTAAGTTTCATTGTAATCTCCTCCTTAAATATTAAGAAATTTTATACATGTATTATTGACTACTTGTAAAAACATATATAAGTAATAAACTATACTTTACAGTTCACATTATCTTCTTTCTTCCTGTACTATATCCTTATATGCAATCTTTCCTTTATATATTAAACCATTGAGTTAATTGCTTCTATGAATTTGGTGTTCATCTTGTTGTGTTAATGAGGTATGGCAACTTGGACCGACGCATGTACGTGCCTGGTCCTACGTTGTAACCGACTAACTGACCATTACTAAATAATTTAATTAATATTTCACACAACTTTTTCCGCTTATAGTCTTTGTTACGTTCTTAGACTATACGATTATCGCGAAGTACGATTACCAAATTAGATACGCTGATTTGTCCCGATTGGTCCTTCTTCCTGTCTAGCTCTACCTGTTAGAGTCCAGAACGCCAATCTCAGCCTCCACGGTACGAATCATATACCAATCAAACAGACCACAACTTACCATAAAATAGAAAATAACATTTGTACAAGATCAAGTCAGAAAGTGGCTGTGATTATGAGAGACTGTAACTAATAGATTGAGAATAACTTAAGAGTGGTAAATTATATAACAGTAACCAATAGGTCAAATGGAAGCTTCTAATGAAAGGAATAAGAATATACATATAATATAGTCGTACAATGAGAATATTCGTGTGATATTATTTCATAAGTAATTCCTAACGGTTACAATTCATTTATTCTCGTCTGGATATAACAGATTCGAATAAAGACAGAATAAATATCGTTACAGAATAACATGAATTCATCTATTTCATGGTTTCTAGTCAGCTGCTTACAATCTAAAATAATAACATTAATCATTAAAACAAATATACATACTGGTATATCTAGAGCTTAGATCCTTGATATACCGCGTACAACTCGAGCATTTAGATACTAGAACCTTCCAAGTCACAAATAAGAAGATAGAAGACGACTGAGAAGGAATGTTATTTCAAACAGTGTTAAATATAGTACAAAGTCTCAGGTACTTATAGATTTTAGTAAAATCGAAATCACCATTATAGTCATCTAACTCGCGCACAGTAGTTTTAGCATTTATATAATAGGGAAGCTACTTGTCAAGATTTTGAAATGTTCTTCCAAAAGATTATTGGATGGAAGATTTTTGGCTTTATCTGAGCTTCTTCGAGCTCCCTCGAATTCACCCGTGAACCATCCTCACACATACTTAATATCAAAAATGTCTAGAATGAACTGAATTGAAATCTAGATAACACTATTGGGTACTGATTCAGCGGTCTAGAAGTTAAGAATTTGCACACGAGACCCAAGGTTCTGGGTTCGAATCTCACGTGTGAAATCGTGGATGCGAACTGCTCACTAATCCCATACTAAGATGAAACGGTCGTCCGATGTTTCCAGGTTTTCAATAATGGTCTAATATTGATCCATTCATGATATCAATCTAAATTCCTAAACTGTATATGTTATTTCTTTTCTTGAATTGATAATTTAAGAAATCATTAATTAAATGTTAAATCGGCTTTCCGAGAACTGCAACAGAGCCTCCGGAGGCCCTGAAGGAGCTAATCAGAGCACGATGGAGCTTTCTAGAATGCCAACGTGGCGTGCTACTATTGGTCAGTAGCATAATATGTCTTTTAGCGGATTGGCTAAAATATGATGTTGATTTAACAAATGTTAACATCTATAAATACCCATGTTTTTCTGTACAAAAATGAACCTTGGAGTAAAGTACTTTTCGCATACTTTATGCCTTCTCTCTCGTGTTCAAGTCTCTGTATAGTTTTAGCTTGGGGGTTTTCAGAATAGCTTAGGAATCGAGCATAGCGTTCAAAATCGTAAGACTTATCATTAAATAACTAACCATATAAGGATAATACACAATGAATAAAAATTCATGTTGATCATAAAGATAGCCAAGCACATAAATATATATGCAATGTTTATACATATATCATTATCGGTTGCCGGGTTAAAATTCTCAAATCAACTCAAAAATGACAATCATTAGTCATTCAATAAAAATAATAACGGGGCAGATTTGTATGCATATAGTATACAATTCTCTATGAACCTAGCACACAACAAGAACATCATCCACTATCCCATCGCCCTTGGCAGATCAGGCAACTTGAAAGTTACGAGAACACCATTAGAGCATACGACAGGCTAGGTATCCCATAATCAATCATTAGTAACTAAACAATAAATTAACAATGATTTCATACAATTATTCTAACCTTTGATGCTGATGGAACAAGTGATGCCAATGATGAAACTGTATTTTTACATGATGCAAATAGTATTGTTTCAGGAATTTTAGGATTTATTAATTCAGATGTATTATGTCCAACTAAATGTAACAATATATAGAATGAATAAAATAAAGAGAAAACAGATTATATTATGAAAATGCTTCAGAAACAAAAGTAAAATCAATGACGTTGTAATGTATTCAAAATCGAATTATTGGTAGGTGGACTAACAACTAGATTCATGTTTTAAAAGAATTCAAACCAGTGTTTATCATTTGAATTGTAACAAATGTTTAGTGTAGTTACTTACTTACGCTTTTTATTCCCAGTGGAGCATAGACCGCTAGCCAGAATTCGCTAACATACTATGTCCTGAACCTTCCTTTTCTAGTTCTATCCAATTATTGTTCATTCTTCTTATATCTGTTTCTATTTCTCGGCGTAATGTGTTCTTTAGTCCTCCACTTCTCATTTGGCCATGAAGATTCCAAATGAAGTCTTGTTTTGTGAAACAGTTGAGTGCTTTCCTCAATTTGTGTTCTATCCACTTTCAGTGATTCTTCCTGATTTCTTCCTCCACTGGAATCTGGTTTATTCTTTCCCACAATAGGTTGTTGCTAATAATGTCAAACCAACAGATCAAAAGTATTTTGCGTAGAAAACTGTTAATAAACACTTGTATCTTCTGGATGATGGATTTCGTAGTTCTGGAAGTTTCCGCCTTATACAGTAAAACCGTCTTGATATTTGTATTGAAAATTCTGACCTTGGTGTTAGGTGAGAGTTGTTTTGAGTTCTAGATGTTCTTCAATCGTAGATATGCTACTCTTGCTCTACCGATCCGCACCTTCACATCTTGCATGAGATCCACCGTGTTCATCAATGATGCTGCCCAGTTATGTAAAAGTTTTTATATTCTCCAAAGCTTCTCCGCCAATCGTGTATTAGTTATCAATCTTCAATATGTATAGAAAGTTTCCAATTTTCAATTTTGATCAATTTATTCTGATGAAAAACAACTGTGTAATGTCATCAATGAATGACTATCTTACTCTCGATATGATAAGACTTTGACAGTTACAAAGTTTTATCAGAACTCCAAGAATTCAGTCTAAATTCAGTGACTAATGTGTATATCATCATTATGAAAACATGAATCCCCATTCAGTGTTTCAGATGTATCGTGATTATTAAATGACTTAAAAATAACCTGAGTTTAATCTCGGTTACAATAGTACCCGCGTATTCATTAGTAGACCCAAATAAGGACGAATTAGCTGTTTAAAACTCCCCATTCATCAATTGTTCTCCAGTTGATGGAAATTCGTAACAAAATCCCTTAATATGCTAGAGGAGGTGAGTTGTAATCGGCTAAAGAGAGAACGTCAACATATCTAGCCATTCTAATTACAAGAAACTCTCATTTTACCTTGTGTTGACTGCCCTGTAATTGGTATCCATAATCTATTGCCTATTCTAATCTACTTCTTAATCGTTCGTTGAATAAGTCAGTCGTAGGTATAATGTGATATTGTTTTATGATTATCTATTATGATCTACTGTTCAGTCTACTACCAATAGTATTGGAATGATCTAATATCAATTTGTACCGTTTAGTATCGTTGAAATTTATTCACTTTGGCTATAACAAACTGTGGTGTATGCTACTTATGTCTGTCAATATAAGTAGTATATAACACCAACCAAATGTTGAATGACAATGGAGATAGAAGGTTAAGAAGATCGAATTAAAGAAAACAGAAACGGAAAACAGAGGAATTGTGAATCGGAAGATTCATACAGAATGTAACGATTTGCGAATGCAGCATCTAATATGTGGTTCACATATTTCATGAAGATATTCTGTAATTTTATATCGGATGATAAATTGGTTGTCCACAACTGGGTGTTCGTCCGTTACACAATAACAACAACTGCTACTATTATTATTGTTATTATTATTATTATTATTATTACGACTACAACTGCTACCACTACTACTACGTTTGTCGTCATATCATTATTTATATTGGCTTAAATCAGTATTTTTATGGTCTTTAAAATATGGTAATGTTATGTGGTTTACACCTATTCTTATTGATTATTCTAACATGAAAAACAATATATACTATGTGATGTTACGCTTTTACTTATCTTTCTTTGATATCAAAGCACTCTGTTGCACGGTTCTGTTGTCCCCCCCCCTCCTATGCCCACATGAGTTTTTCATTATTGAAGTTATCAATTTATTCAATTACACTAGAAAAATCTCACAATCATTCATAATTTGATATTGTCATACTATCTCAAACTATATTCGAATGTAATTTGATAATGACAGAGATGGAAACAATCCTTGTTTACAAACGCAGTAGAGTTGTTCAATATTTTTTTTGATACCAGATGATTGAAACCAGTCGTTGGCGTATACCTTGAACTGAGTTTTAGTTATATATACAGACTGTATAATATCAACAAGACATATGTACGATCTTCAAAAAATTGATGCTCCTCATAAGATTCAAAACCTCGCCGCTTTATTGGTTGTGACCAATCTGTAATACTAAGATATCCAAAGTCCAGTTAGTTAACATGAAAACATAGTACGTGAGCTATTGGTTAAATCTGACTAGTAAGTAAATTCTTTTCACAAATTAATTTTAAAAAAATCGATCAGTAGTACTAAAGACTAGACAACGAAGATTTTGAATAGTTGAGATCATCAGTCAATTGAAGCTAGACCACCATCGAAAACCTGGAAGCACTGGACGGCCGTTCCACTCTGGTATGGGACTCCTCAGAAGTGTGCATCCATGATCCCCTACCGCGAGATTCGAATCCAAGAGCTATTGGTCTTGCACGTGAACGCTTAACCTTTGGACCACTGAGCCGGCTGGCATTCAATGATATTAATGTCTAACTTCAACTGATCCATGAAATTGAGTGACACATCAACCATTGTCATCAATGAGTCACTATCTCACAACAGACCCAGTTGAACTTCACCGGTCACTGCTTCTCACTAGAACTGCAGGAAGTACCCTTTGAAGTCAATCACTAATGATCATAGGTTAATGAATATCAGAAGGTGTTTTAGTAGATATTATTGTAATTTCAACAGTTGAGATTATGAGTCAATTGAAGCTAGAACATCATGAAAAACCTGGAAGTACTGGACGACCTTTTCGTTCTATTGTGAAACTCCTCATCAGTGCATATCCACGATTCCACCTTGCAAAATTTGAACCCTTTAACTATTAATCTTACACGCGAACGCTTAACTTCCAGACCACTAAGTCAGACGATATCCAACACTATTAATGTCTAACTTCAACTAATCCATAAAATTGAGCTCAGTAATCCATCATGTTTAAGCGTTCATTCACGAGACCAATAAGTCCTGGAATTGAATCCTTGTAGTGCCTTGTTGAAAAATCTCACAATAAAACAAAATATAATTTTATTTATTTATTACTTTTTAATCAATAATCACTTACTTTGATCTTTTTTCTCTTTATTTATTTCTTTATTTTTTTCTATCCCTATAAATAATTAATAACAATTATTAAATTGAAATGGTTTTTTTTTTTCTTTCTTTTTTACTACCTTTTTTTTCTTTGAATTTTTCTTTATTTATTATTGATTTATTAATTGATATATCATGATGTTCAACTTTTTCTATCATTTCAATTTGTTCCATTTTTATCAATTTCTCATTTCGTTTGATTACATCATCTGATCTTTCCCAATCTAATAAATAATCACTAAGATAATACCATAATTGATTGATTGAATGTTTCCTTAATAAATAAAAATAGAATAGATAAATATAAGATATAAAATATTTATTTATAATAGATCTATTACTTGATTACAATGGTATGTTTAATCCATCCAGTTAAACATTGTATAGTACTGAAATCACCTATTTCTGTATTAGTATAAGTATTTCTACAACTAGAATAATAATTAATTATTTATTCATTCAATAAATAATTACTCAATAGAGGCTATTTTCAATAAAGCTTTAGTTAATAACATTGGCCATAATTCATAAGATTGTTTACTTTGTGGAAGTAATGGTTTATTATTTTCATCAAATGGTATTGAATCATCAATGATTATTTTACGCCAACAACCCTAGAAATAAATAAAAATGAATTAGTTTTATAATTATTTTGAATTATTTATAGAGATAATGAGAATAATAGAATATATGTTTATGTGGTATATACTACTGATATCGACAGATATAAGTAGTTTTAATAGTTGAGATCATGATTCGATCGAAGCTAGATTATCATGGAAAACCTGAAAGCACTAGACAACTCTTTCAGCCTCTTGTAGAACTCCTCAGTGAAGCACATCCACGATCTTGCCTCGTGGGATTCGAACCCTTCTGATATTAATCAACATATGCTCACTAGTGACTGGCATCAACAGGTATATCCTGGAGTTCTAGTGAGAAGTAGTGACCAATAAAGTACAACTGAGTCTGTTGTGAGATAGTAACTCATTGGTGACAATGGTGGATATCTCGCTCAATTTCTTGGATTAGTCAAAGTGAAACATTAACATCATCGGATGTTAGCCGGCTCAGTGGTCTAGAGCTTAACTGTTGGCGCGTGAAGTTGGATCGTGGATGTGCATTGATGAGGAGTCCCACAATAGGACGAAAAGGTCGTCCAGTACTTCTAGGTTTTCCATGATGTTCACTACATTTAAATACAAAATTACAGCATCTGTTAGAAAAATCTGAAAACCATACAGTAAATACTTCATTCACAAAATGTCAATCAATCGTTTCACACTTCATTGTTCCTTCGTTTCCACATCAATCATTCTTCATTCTTGTTCTCTTTTCTTTAGTCTTCTTAACTTTCTGCTACCAGACATTTCACTTTTGATTGATGATATATACTACTGATATCTGTCGATATCAGTAGTATATACCATAATATGACCGATGAACTGGAAAGATTTGTATATTATCATTTTGCAATTTGAGAATATATAAACCATGAAATCTTTTTGTAACTACGATAAGATTTAAACATCAAAGGATTAGTTAGTTATTTGTTAAGATGGATACAAGATTGTTCAAATTTTGTTAGCATCAAAAGTCTTAACACAAATAATAACCATAGGTACACTTTTTTCTAGTCCAATCTTTTGCATAACTATCGGATTCTTTTAAATTGATTCTAATTGCTTCAAGTTCATTAAATTTCTGTATTCTTGAAGGTTAATTTCTGATTGCCATTAGTGCAGAGCTGTACCATTTTGTTTTGTTCGTTTAGTTCTATTTTGAATAGCAATTATTCCTACAATCCGTCTTCTGTTTGTGTTAGCTATCAAGTGTTCTAGAGATGTTTATAAGTTGCTACCTATTGATTTACATAATGGAAGTAATAGTATATGAGTAACGCATACTTAATTCCTTAAGTATTGCAAGCCTTTACTTACTTACGTTTGTTACTCCTAGTCAGTCAGTCAGTCAGTGCTATTAGAGGTATGAGGGCGGTTATCACTTCCCGGTTGCCCACACCGTGGAAGGGTTCTGCTGGAGGTACCTGAAAAGGAAATAGGATTAGAGGTGGTCACAGTGACCTGAGATCGTGACCGCAGTGCCCAAGGGACAGCTGCTTAAGGTTGGTCACACACGACCTTTTTGTGAGTAGTTTTTATGTTAGCTCCGTACTTGATGAGACCTTACCGCCAGAGACAGATATCCGTGGGATAAGGTGAGGTGTGCATTTTTACGGTCGACCTCTTCTAACCCCATCCCTACTTGTGGGAAGGCAGCACCGCTGTTATGATGGTTGTCTGAAGGAAACATCTTACTGCTGTCACACCTCTGTACAGTCAGTAGTACGACTTCGCCTTCGGACCTTGGATTTGTTGCTTTTAGTTTTACCGTTCTTCAACCAACCTGTGTGGCATGGTAGGACCTTGAGGAACGGTTGTTCCAGCCAGCATAGCTCAGTTGCTTCATCACGATAGGCAAGCCCGACCACCACGTCAAGGTAGCAACAACGGTCAGGTTTACTCCTAGTGAAGGAGCATAGACTGCTGACCAGCATTCTCCATCCAACCCTATCCTGGGCAATTCTTTTCCAGCTCTTTCCAGTTCTTATTCATCACTTTCATATCTGATTCTATTTCCCGACGTAATGTGTTCTTGAGCCTTCCTCTTTTCCACTTACCTTCAGGATTTCAAGTTAGGACTTGCCTCGTGATGCAGTTGGATGATTTGCGTAATGTATGTCCTATCCATTTCTATCGTCTTTTCCTAATTTCCTCTTCAGCTGGATTGTAAGGCTTTACATTACCTCAAATAACAATTAATTCAGTGAGATATATCAACCTGTTACCTGTAACTGCTTCACTTTAATACATACAAAAGTGGAGCTGAATCCAAAAGCTCATCACATCATAGTCATTTCATCCTTTACTGTTTACTATGAGTAGAAATATGTACCAACGATGGTAATCTATAATACTTGACGATTATTATTATTATTATTTTAGCACATAAATATTGGTACTAAGGGGCACCGATAACATATGCGCAATACAAGTCATTTGATTTGTCCGTGGGCTGTAATACTGACCGGGTAGCCAGACCGAAGAAGGTGGTTTCCTTAGGGGACCACACTCGGAGACTTTGACCTGAAGGTCTGATCCACAAGACAGTGCAGCAACCTAAGGTGATGCAGTTTCATGGCAACCAGTGACCAATAATTGGTTCATACGCCATTTGTTCCTTCAGGATCCTAAAGCTCATGTACACCGTTGGTTTGGAATCAGGGTTTCCCAACTCCTCTATGTAGATCCTCCGTGTCCACCAACTCGGTTAAAGAGCCGGATATTCCACTTTCATCTTCTCGATTTCGTAAACAACACCCCTGCCTCAAGAAGGTAGTGAGTAGGACTACCCTGGTAGTGATTGTATACGCATGATCATGTGAAAGAGCATTTTCAAAGAGATACAGGACTCTCCCCATCCTCGGCCATACCAGAGCATTTGATTCACATCAAATACTACACTTTGTGATTCTAAGAAAAGATTTAAATTGTTATCAATCTACCTTCGTTACTATTTCAAGTCTATCAGTGTATATGTACTACTAAACATTAAATGCATTATTATTAAACCAGAATACAAAAAAAACATACCATCCAATACAGTTTAACAATATATTTTCCATAAGGATTATATTGTGGTGTATTATTATTATCTTTAGTAATTTTTGTCATTGCATAAATATGTTCCCATGGTTTCCATTCATAATTATAATTGGTTAAAGGAGTTAAATTCATCATCATCATATTTGATTCATTCAATTCTATTGGAGGATTTGATTCAGGTATTGGTATTCTACATGATAACCATAAATTTTGTATTTCACATATAATCCATCTTAATAACTAAAACAATAATAATAATCATTTGTTTGTTTGTTTCCAAGACTAGGAATTTTGGCGCTTACTTCATTTTTAAATAAATGTTCATTATGATAAAGTAAATCAACATGATTTACAAATTCTGGATCATATACAACAGGTGCCTATTGTAAGAAATAAAAAATAAATGATAAATATAATGGATAAATTGAATTTACATCAAAATCAAAGACTCCTCAAAAGTGTTCATCCACGATCCTGCACCAGAAGAACTCGAACACAGGACTTTCGGTCTCGCGCACGGACACATAACCCTGAGACCACTGAACCGGTAACCAACGATGTTAATGTCAAACTTCAATCGATCCATGAATGGCTGCTCAATTAATTATCTATTGTCTCTATCCGGAACGGATCGGACTCCACTAGTTACGACTTCTCATTAGAAATTCAGAAAATCAACTTAGAGCCAGTTACTAGTGAGCACATGATGGATCGATAAAAGTTAGACATTAACACCTTTGGATACCGGCTTAGTGGTCTAGAGGTTAAGAGTTCGTGCACGAGATCGAAGGTCATGGGTTAGGATGCTGCATGCGAGATAGCGGATGAGCACCGTTAAAGAGTACCATACTAGGATGAAACGGCCGCTCAGTGCTTCTATGTTTAACATCAATCAACTCATAATCTCAAACGAAAACTTAACAATCTCTACAGCTCCATACTGATGAAAATCAGAGAGACTACAATTTATAGACGAACCAATAAAATTTAAAATAACCGGTATTGAATTTTGGCGCTAAACTCATTCAACTATGTGTACAAAGTAGGTTTTCTGATTCTTGACTAACCTAACTAGTAAGAGAAAATATGACTGTGTAGGAAGTTGTATTATCAAAGGTGAAATTAGGTTACTGTTGAAGTGACCATGTTGATAGAAACAGAGTCAATCCGTCTGTAACACTGAGTTATGATAGACCCCTAACACTTAAAATTGAATTTTTGTACAGATATGGTGTGATTTGTTCGTTTCCATTCCATACATCGACTTTCTTATTATCAAGCTTGTAATCAAGGTTTCTGTCGGCATTTATGTTTCTAGTTGAGTTAACGATGGATATTGGAGTTAATTCTTTTGTTTAACATCTAGCTCTTGTATAGATACATTCCAATTTAAGTTGAACTTCACACTTAATATAACCAGGCACAAAGTGAACCCACTCTTGCGGAGAAAAAATGAGCATCTAGTCGGGGAGGAAATTAGAAAAAGACGCTGAGGGTGGATAGGAAATATTTTCAAAAATCATTAAATTTCATCACAACACAAGCCCTAAACGAGAGTCCTCAAGTCAAAAGGAAAAGAGGTAGATCAAAAAGACATGATGCAGGGAATTGAAAGCAGATCTAGAAAGTATGAATATCAGTCGCTCACAAGTAAAAAAAAATGAGCCAAGAATGGAGTTAGCTAAACGTCTGTGGTCAGAAGTCTATGTCCCAAGAGAAATAACAGGTTTAGATAAGTAAGTAAATAAGTACAGTTCAAAGTATGATGAAAAACTATATTCATAAAATACAAACGATATCTGTAATTGAAGGAGCATTGTTACTTACTTACTTATTTACTTAATTACTTACTCACTCACTTCCCTACTTTTTTACTCACTTACTTACTTACTTACTCACACACAGACTCACTCACTTACTCAATTAATTAATTAGTTACGCTAGTTACCACTAGTCGAGGAACATAGGCCAATTATCAACATTCTCCATCCAACTCTGTACTAGAAAATCCTTTCGAGTTTTCTCCGGTTGCTTTTCATCACATTCATATCTGCTTCCGATTTCCGATGTAGTGTGTTCTTCGGACTTCCTCTTTTCCGCTTCCCTTCAGAACTTTAAGTTAGGGCTTGCTCCGTAATGCAGTTTAGTGATATCCACAATGTACTTCCTATCAACTTCCAACGTCTTTTCCTAATTTCCTCTTCAGATGGAAGTTAGTTTATCCTCTCACAGAGTAGATTGTTATTGATGGTATTCCGTCGACGAACATTTAGTGTCTTGCATAGGCAATTGTTTATGAACGCACGAACTTGTTTGATAATCGTTGCAGTTATTCTCCAAGTTTCAGCTCCATACAGTAGAACTATCTTGATTTTCTTATTGAAGATTTTGACTTTGATATCGGTTGACAGTTGTTTTGAGTTCCATATTTTGTTCAGCTGTGAGAATACTGTCCTTGATTTGTCAATCCTCGCCTTGTTGATCGATGATACGTCCCAGATACGTGAAAGACTCCACATCTTCCAGAGTTTTTCCATCAAATGTGATTGATTTGGTTGATGTTCTCTGTGTTGTATTATAGTTACAGATCACATTTCAATATAAAATATATGTAAAACATATATGTCTATAGGACGATAGAAATGATTACATCATAATAAATGGTGCTACGTATTAATGTACTATTATCTGACGCATAAATTATTTTCTTCCTTATCGCTTGACTATTACGTAACCACATTTGCCATTTAATCTCAAATCAATTTATGATGTAATCTTTTCTATCCTCCTATAGACAGTCAGTCAATAACAACGTAGAACTTCGTACGTACGTACGTACGAATATCAATTCCAGTTACCATATCACATTAACACACAGATACAATTGTCCATTCAAATCCCATAGTGATAGAGGTAGTAAATGTATAAGCAGTAATCGGAAACACTAAGGTGTTAATATGTTATTCAAGGAGTATAATACAGTGAAATAAATTTGCAAAGAGAAATAGAAAAAAGGGACATGAAGAACTCAGAAACATTAGAATGTGGAAGAACACAAAGAGTGGATGCACCTGCGCCATTATAAACGAATTTTGAACCATGTCATTCAAGGTATCTAACCATCTGTTGTTATCATCTCGCAGATCCCAATTAGCTAGTCTACACCTACCAACATAGTTCAGTCCACTTGTCAGGGATTTCATGGATTTGTGCCATATTTTGGTTTGGTCGCCTTTAGTTTTCTTCCAACCTACCCGTACACCATAAAACATTACACGTCAGAGCAGTCAGTGGTTAGGCATACGTAACACATGTCCCAGCCATTCCAACTGATGAAGTTTCACTGTTTCATCAATTGATTTGACATCCTTACTTATTACCAATAAGGATAGTATCTTCCATATAAAATTTATCATTAATAATCAATCAATTACATTTACCTTTTCTGTAATAAATTCATTTGGTCTTTTAATACTATATGGTATAATTGATGATGGATATAAAACTTGTGATTCTGGATCAATAAAATATGTAGTTGATGATTGCTAAATAAAATCAATTAAAAGTATTTCAAGAAGAAGAAAAAGAAGAATTTCAATAACATACAGCTGATGATTTACTTTTTTCTTTAGTTTTCTGTGATGAATCCTTTTGATAATTATAATAAATAAAATGTAATAATATTATTCATTACCCATTTTTCATTATTAATATCTTGATCATTCCATTCAGGCCATAAAGGTATAGTTGTATCTCTTGGTGTAGATGATTGATTAGTTAAAGGAACTCTAAATATTGTTATATAATAAAAGAAAGTAATATATGTGTATTGTTATAATTGATTTTTTTTTCAAAGAAAAGAAAAAATAAGAATTTCAATGGTTGAGATCATGGAAAATCTGAAAGTACTGGATGGTTGTTTCGTCTTATTGTGAAACTCCTTAACAGTGCGTATCCACGATCCCGACTTGAGAGATTCGAACCAAGGACCTATGAGTTTGACGCATGGGTGCTTAACCACTAGACTACTGAGATGACCGGCATCCAATGGTGATAAATAAAATATGAATAAAAGTATTACATATTGTTGTATAATCATGTTTCTTATTGTTAACTAATATAGAGATATATTTAGGAAATTCTAATGAACATTTATGATTAATGAATTTTAATAATGTTAAATGTAAAATTGGTAATTAGTCAATATTAGTAGAAATTATGTAGTTCCCCAATACCGTGGTACGGTCGAGAGTGCAGAGTGTCAACTATTCCTCTCGGAATACTCTCAAATAGCCACGAGTACACAGTCATCACCAGTGATGTCCTATTCACTGACTTCTCGCGGCATTAATTTTCTTTACGAAATTGAGAGGACAAAAAGCGAATGTCCGGCACTTTAATCAAGTTGAAGGACATGGAGGATCCACCTTAAGGAATCGGAAAATCTTGATTCCAAACCAATGGTGCATATGGGCTCTCTAGGATCCTGAAGGAACAAATGGCGTATTAACCAATCCTTGGTTACCGGCTACTATGAGAATGCATCTCCTTAGGTTGCTCCACTGCCTTGTAGATTAGACGTTTAGATCGAAGTCTCCGAGTGTGGCCCCCTAAGAAAACCACCTGTTTCGGTTAGGGTACCCGCACAGTATCCCAGCCCTCATGCAAATCAACGATTTGTGTGGGGCATATCTGTTTGATACCTCCTTGTACCAATGTTTATGTGTTTAAATAAATAAATAAATAGAAATTTGTAGATATTATAGTAATTTAATACTTGAATTGATGGGTCAATTAAAGATATACCACCATGGAAAACCTGGAAGCGCTGGGCGGCCGTTTCGCCATGGCATAGAACTTCACAGCAGTGTGCACCCACGATCGATTGAAGTCAAACATTATCACCATTGGATGCCAGCTTAGTAGTCTAGTGGTTAAGCTCTCACACGCGACATTGACAGGTCTTGGGTTTGAGTCTCACATGCGTGACCATTGATACGCACTGCTGAGGAGTCCTATACTACGACGAAACGATCATCCAGTGTTTCCAAGTTTATCATGATGGTCTGTCCCCAATTAACTCATGAATTTAACTACTAAATTACTTCTGTTTCTTCCCGGAAAACATAATCAGCTCTAATTTTATATTGTAGAACCAGAAAAATGTCACTGAGCCCTAGCCAAATCCTCCAGTAGTTGGGTCACTGAATATCAAACAAATCATTGATCCTTGTCTAGATCAAGGACAACCAACACTTATCAGCTGATCGTACGCCATGGACTGTCCCATGCGGTGGTGGTCTTACTTTCACTTTCATCTACTAATATGTTTCTGTAATGACGTCCTTTGTGTTGCACAGTCATCAAAGCTTCTGTAGTACCTTGATACGACGAAGGCGTGGTCCATGCTAGGTGCTGATTGCGAGTTGTGACTTCGATGTTAGCTAGTACATCACATCATTCTCGTCTAACTCTAGTACACCCCCAACCATTCAACATAGATCATCAACGTTGGTGATTTACAATATAATTCTTCAATAGTAAATATTATAGATTATGGACTTAATAAATTAAGGATAACTTATTCATTAAATGATTTACCTATCAATCAATAATCAATAATTAAATATTCTCAGAAGGGGTTTTACGGAGATTTTAAGCAATTTAAATGGTTGAAATCATGAGCCAATTAAAGCTAAAACATCATCGAAAACCTGGAAGCACTGAACGCCCGTTTCGTCCTATCATGGGACTCATCAGTGGTGCACATCCACAATTCTGCCTCGCGAGATTCCAACCTGGGACCTATTGGTCTCGATCGCCAACAATTAACCTCTAGACCATTGAGATGACCGGCATCCAATGGTGTTAATGTCTAACTTCAACTAACCCACGAAATCGAGCGATACATTCACCATTGTCTTCAGTGAGTTACTATCTCCTAAGAGACCTATTCGCTTGCGAGACTGATAGGTCATGGGTTCGAATCTGGTGAGGTGGGATCGTGGATGTGCACTGCTGAGGAGTCCCACAACAGGACGAAACGACCATCCAGTGTTTCCACGTTTTCCATGGTAGTCTAGCTTCAATTGACTCATGATTTCAACTATTGAAAAAGTTCAATATTCAATTATATAAAACATTCAATGAGACTTACTCTTTTGTTTTACGATTAGATAGATTGCTTGGAGATTTTTTACTTGCCATTAAAAAAGAAAATATTCTATTTTTATTTTATGAAATTATTCAAGAAGTTCAATAATAAGTCCTAAGGAAAAAAGAAAATCTTCCACTATTCAACTTCTTTAATATGAGTAAAAATAAGAAATGAATAAATGAATGAAAAGATAGATTGTTTGTTTTGACCTAGACAAATATTGTTGTTACTAGGTTACGTACAAGGTAACCATAATCGATTTTTGAAGGTTATTCGATAATTTAAAACAATTAGTCTGTAGTACCAATGAAATATCACTGATCCTTAGTTCAGTCATCCGGTTGTTGGGTTACTAAATATCGAACAGATCGTCGATCCCTGTCAAGGTCAAGGACAACCAACGCTTATCAGTTAATCATACTCCATAGACTAACTAGCCCATGTGGTAGTGGTCTTACTTTCGCTCGTTTCTACTCTAACTAATATATTTTTCAATAGTTGAAATCATGGATCAATTGAAGCTAGACCACCATCGAAAACCTGGAAGCACTGGACGGCCGTTTCGTCCTAGTATGCGACTCCTCAGCAGTGCGCATGCACGATCCCGCACCCCGCGGGATTCGAACCCAGGACCTATCAGTCTCGCGCCAGGCGCTTAACCAACTAAACCACTGAGCCGGCATCCAACGGTGTTAATGTCTAACTTCAACCAATCCACGAAGTTGTGCCACCGTACACCATTGTCTTCAGTGAGCTGATATCTCACAACAGACCTGGTTGAACTCCACTGGTAACGGCTTCTCACTAGAACTTCAGGAGTATCTCTTGAAGTCATTCACTAATGAGCAGATGATGCACACTGCTGAGGAGTCCCATACTAGGACGAAACGGCCGTCCAGTGTTTCCAGGTTTTCCATGGTGGTCTAGCTTCAATTGATTCATGATTTCAACTATTGAAATTACCAATTCTCCACAAAACCCATTCTAGTAATAATATATTTTTGTAATAAAATCCAAAAAAAAATTTTTTTACTTTTTTTTATCGATAATACAATAAGAAGATGAAGATTATCAGAATGATGTGATATATTTGTTCATTACATTTCGAACATACTGATTATACATAATATACTTGTTAAGAACATTTATATATAAATATAAAAGATCAACAAGACACATTAATGATAAGCCATAACAAAGAAAGATAAAGTACATAAAAACAATGTGATAACCACTCTGAATAATAAATCAGTCAGCAACAACGTAGAACTTTGTACGTACGTACATACATCAGTTCGAGTTGCCAAATCACATTAGCACAGAGATACAGTTGTCCATTCAAATCCCATAGTGGTAGAGGTAGTAAAAGTATAAGTCGTAATCGGAAAGATTAGGGATTGAAAATATTATTTAAAGAGTATAAATCAGTATTACCAGGGTAGGTTAAGGGTAAGAACAAATTGTTTTTTGGAATACATAAAGGGGGTTTCAGTTTCCATATAACCAAGGCTTCAAAAAACTTTAGTATACGTTCTTATGGGAGGCAAAACTCGACTCACACGTCCTCGTCGTGCCTCCTGAATAGTGGAACTCAGTCCAATGAACTAACGTGAGCGGTAACCTGCGTGGTAGATATCGGGCTAATCATCCACTCGACCGATACTCACAAACCCACAAAGAATCACAGCACAATTACTCCTGGATCAAAAACCGACTAAAAGTTCTTAAAAGTGGTGCACGAAATGTACGGGGTTGCTCCCTACAGGGCAAACTCTAACCGATTGCGAAAACAGCTATTCTAGCTCCGGTAGTTGTGATGTGCTTCGATGTGGCCTGTTTCTCTCCAGAAGGGCCTACTAGGTTTCACTAACTTATTTGGCTGGAAGGGGCATACACCCTTGAAGGCTTTTGTACAAATGCTGACTTGATATCAAGATCATGATCAGCTTCAATCAAATAGAGGAAGATGTTTATCTATAATATAATCTTAATTGATCATTAGAATTCATTTGTTTCTGCAGCCATTTAGGTATGTGTTCCGCCACTCATACTTGCAGGTCACGATTGCTCTTTTCTATTTACGTGTTTCGGCACATACATGTAAATCTGTAGACACAACTGGATGTGACACGATCGCTTACGTATTGTTTGGGTTATTGGTGAAACATAGACCTTGTCTTTTGAATAATGACAAGTTGGGCTGCATAAAATGTCACGTTAATGACTTTATTTCACTGGTGCATAATGTTCTACATATAGAAGAAGATTGTGATCACGATAATGGTTCATATTTTGATAATTTTTGTAATTTTTTTGATCACACAGCATTATTCAATCGTTTTAGTTATTAACATTCATTATGTCTATCATTTCCTTATTGGTCATTACTCTTAAGTATGTTATAGGTGTAGGTTGGAAAAAAGCTAGGGGTGGCCAAACCAAAACATGGCATACATCCATGAAATCACTGACAGGTAAACTGAGTCATGTTGGTAGGTGTAGACCACCTGGTTGGGATTTGAGAAACGATAACAACAGATGGTTAGTGATCTTGAACGAAATGGTTCAAAATCGTTTGCAACGGTGTGCGCAGGTGTATCCATTCTTTGTGTTCTCCCACAATCTAATCTTTCTGAATTCTTCATGTCCCTCTATCTTTTCTCTTTCTCAATTTATTTCACTGGATTATACTCCTTAAATAACATCTTCAAACCCTAATCTTTCCGATTACTACTCATACTTTTACTACCTCTATCATTATGGGATTCGAATGGACGATTGCATCTATGTGTTAGTGTGATATGGCAACTCGAACTGATGTACATACGTACGAAGTTCTACGTTGTTGCTGACTGACTGACTGACTGACTGACTTCAGTATGAAATATTAAACTGAATTTGAAAACGTGAGTCACTGGATCAAGACTCATTGTTCAAAATATATTATGTCTTTATCAAACTTGAAAAAGTGCCGACTGATCCACTTTTAGAAGTTGTAGAAGCGTTCTATTGACGATTAACGGACTAGTATAAAACTGTCATTCAATGTTATCTATTGCATTCAACAGTTTTCCAATATTCTGTTATACTATTATGAAACAATAGTCGAAAATGTATGGCTCTTCAACCATTTAAATTTGACAATTTTTGATTGTTTATATTATTCATGTTTAAGAGTTTATTGATTGTAACGTTACTATTAGCATTATTGTATGTCAAAAAATTTCAAAACAAACACATCTCACTAGTCATAGTTTTCTGTTATTTTATTGCTATTATAAAACCCTTTTGTAAACACAATTGATTGATCACTGGACGGTGATCAATGTTATGTGTGTCAAGTCCTTATTGGTGCAGATCGAATGCTATCGACCAAGTCTAGGTGACTCGACATTGCGTGAACTATGCTGAGATTAGATGGTGGTTGGAGATAGTCAACAGGAAACCGTGGACTCGCGTTTCGTGCTACTTGGTACTCTTCAGCAAGGTGTACCTCTAATCTTGAGGGAATGGGTGCTCGCTTCTGTATTACGTTCCGATGACCACTCTAACTACTGAAACCTGAAATTTCAGGTTTTATAATATATCCCATAAACAACTGAAGTTGTAATATGTACTATAAGATACTAAACCGAATTCTTATAAATTCACCGTTTTAATAGTTGAATTCATGAGTCGATGTAAACTAGACCATCATAGTAAACCTGGAAGCCCTGGATGATAGCTTATATAGACTTATGAATTCAACTATTAAGATTACCCCATTCTGATAAAAATTTACCGTTGTTGGCGACACTAAAATTCATGGATAAGATAATATGTCTCGGAGTTTGGCGCGAAATTTACTCATCCTTTTGACCAAAAAACGTCACAGCAATATAGCTGATGTCAGTTCGTGATGAAAACCCTAAATGTAACTCCTAGCCCTAACCATCAATTGTAAATCATAATCCTAATTCCTCACACTGGTTTATAACCCTCATTTGGTCGTGGTTATTAGGTGGACACTCTCAAGGTCTCTTTGGCCTCGCTCAAATGTCATCCATAAATTATTGTCTATTTTAATTATAGTTTACTTTATTAGACTATTTTATGCATCTTCACACTACTTTAAAATTTGTTAGTAGGTTAACAATTTAAACACAATTTCGAGATTTTACGAGGGCAGTGCAGATCACTAGGAAGTATGTTCAGAAAGCTTGGTATCATGTTACGAAACTATATTTTATTCCAACCTATAGCATGGAGTAAATAGGGATTGATAAATGTCATGTGATTTGGTGCTAGGATATTCTATTCAACAAAAATAGTTAATCTGCTCATATCTGTTTGTCTTTGTCACAACTACAAATCTCCACAACCCCTATACTGATAATTAACATGTGCTCACTAGTGACTAGCTTCGTGAGGGAATTCTCAGGGTCCTAGTGAGAAGCCGTGACCATTGCAGCTAATCCGTGTTGGGTAGAGATAGGTATCTACCTCAGTACAATGGAAGATAGTCGCTTAGTTTCGTGAATTGGTTGAGGTTAGACATCGTTAACTCCGTTGGATGCCGACTCATTGGTCTAGAGACCAAGCGTTTGCGCGCGAGGCTGAATGTTCTGAGTTTGAATCCCACGAGAGGGATCGTGGGTTTGCACTTTTGGGGAGTCCCACGATAGGACGAAACGGCTGTCCAGTGCTTCCAGGTTTCCAACGGTGATCTAACATCGATCGGTTCATGATAACAATCAAAAACCTAATAATCTCCACAACCCCTATACTGACAAATATATTGTTTTACCGCTAAATTTCTCTGACTTGTCCATTGCCTAGGGAGCGCATGATTAAAATCTTAATATTTGATATATATTTCACACTTGTTATGTGTAAGCCAGTGTAAGCCGCTCAAGCCAAAGAGCATCTTAAGTACTCAAACGAACCGCCTAATAATCCCGTAGTACTAAAAAGACTCTAACTTAAATCGGTAATAGCGGTTTATGCTATTACCGATTACCATCAAATCGATGTTAAAAACACCAATATAATCCAAACACGCTTTCCCAAC